AAAAATTGGAAATTCCAACCATAAAGAAAGTAACCAAAAGATCTAAAGAACATCAGGGAGATCATGAAGTTATATCACTTAAGAAAGTCAACAAGATTCAGCACGAAGAACTACCAAAAGAAGCAGGACAACTTCTCCATAAGTTGAGAAAGTCGAAATGGTTGGAGAGGAGATGGTGAATTCAAATGCTGTTAGTGAAGTCAAACTCACCAGCAGTCACAAAGTCACAACAGATACTTGGTCATATGAAACTGCCACAAAACAGAGAAAATATCAAAGGGGGAGGAAAAGAAGATAGAACAGTACAAGAATGTGTGGGAGCAGAAAGTGATTATTCCTGAAATAGGAGGAAGAGATGTAGTAAATACGGAGCCAAGTCTGAAAAAGGTAACCAAATCAATATCTATGGAGGAACAGGAAACTGTCAAATTAAAACCTGTTGAGAAGTCAGATAAAGCTGTTGTAGGTCCACAGAAAGATAGCAACATAGAGAAGAGTGAAGAGAGTATTGGTGTCCAGAAACATGAAAGACTCATGAAGGATGAACCTGTTTCAAAGAAGAAGATAGAAGTGACGGTTACAGATCAGACAGCTAAAGAATCCGTAATGCCAAAACCTTCTATGGCTAAAGATGAAATCTCCAAAGAACATGAGAAATTTCCAAAGAAATCAAACAGAATTCTACCACAGGAAGAGGAGCCAGAAACTGTGACACTGAAAACTTTTCCCAAAAAATTTCATGCTGATGTAACCCCTGAAAAGGTTCCTCAAGAACGAAAAGAGAAAAAGCCTGTAGATTTTAAGTATCCAGAGAGGCCGGAAACGCATCATATCCTGAAGGAACCTCACATCCCGGTAAAAGAACCTGGAAAAAGTGAAAAAACATATGAAGAGCCAGAAAGGATAAAAAGCCACCTCCCCATGAGCATCTCCCCATGATGAGTACTACTACTGCAGAAAAGACAACACTGGAAGGTCTCAAGGAAGAGCAGGCAATAACTAAAAACCTTGGAATTATTCCAAAGGATGAAGCAAAAAAGAAGAGATTTCATTGAAACCCGTAAAAGGAAAAATAATTGCAGAGAAAATTACTTCACCAAAGGTAGATAAACCTAGTCCTCAAGTCACTTCACTGACAAAAAAGAGTCCAAAAGATGATGATAATAAGCCAGCAATTTCAAAAAAGATTGTTTGTTCACCAAAGGAAATGGAGGAGAAAAAACCTGAAGAGCTGAAAAAGACACCTTCACCAAAAGCAGAGATGCCAAAATCTAAACCCTCTGGATCCATTCCAATGGAAAGAAAGTCTAGTGCTAAATCAACCAAGAATATTTCACCAAAAGATTCACTTGAGTCTGTAATTCTGAAGAAAGTCTCAAAGACAGTTTCCCCAAAGAAGAAAAGACTAATTTGAAAACAAGTGAAGACAAAGTGCCAGTGGTGAAGGAATTGTCTCCAAGCGTTCTGCATCTACAAAAGATTCCTACACAGCAAGAAGAGGTAGTTCATGAGGCGGTGGATGATGATGAAGAAGAAGAAACCTGGGGATGGGAACTTGCTCCTAGGGACAGTTATGGATCTGAAACCTTTGATGACGTTTTGGAGTTTGGGGCCGTTGAAACCCCAGGAATGGGTGACAAGAAAGGTGAGATGGTATCACCAAAAGCTTACCATCGGTATTTCATGGCTCCCTACAGTCGTTCCAAATAATATCCACTCAACCCAACCTTCATTTTAACCCTTTAACAAGTGTCTTCTTTTTTCAATTTTCAATTTTTCTTCAATTGTCTTTGATGTTTGATGTTTGTCCTTCCCTTAATTCGTTCGTTCTTTCGTTCTTAATTGATCAAATCCTCTTGATAAAATGTTGTGTGTCTGTTCTGTCTTAAAACTGTTCGTCACTATCATTTTCATTCCTTTGTCTTCATTTGTAACTTTTGTTGTGGGTGTCAACTGTCCTGGGCTGTGTTTTTAAACTTTGTTCAAATTTGTCAAACTGTGTTTTATTGTCTAATTAATCCTATCACATATATTTTATAAGGTATATATAATTTATCAACCAAACATTTCAGACCTCTGTGTTTTACTATTTCAAGCCTTGCTTAGTATAACAATATTTCAAACAGATGGAAAACCAAAGGAGGAGCCAGCTCCAGGCAGAGGCAGAGGACTAAGACGTACGTTCATAATATACTGTACATTCATAATATGCATTTATCATTTTACATTGCAAGTGTTTATTTTTGTTAATTTTGAAGTCATTTAAGTATAATTTGAAATTAAACTTGCCCATAATGATACAACTAACTGTTTAAAAAAAATTTTTTATATATTTTTATATATATTATATATATATATATATTTATTGTAGCAAGACAAACTCCTTCTCCTGGTGATGGTGGAAGGGTAGAGGGAAACCTGGTGGTGGTGGTGACAAGCCTCCTGGAGATTCACCATTTGGTTTCCAGCTCAAAGCGGTACCCCTCAAATTTGTGAAGGAGCTCCAGGACATTGTGTTGCAGGAGGCTGAGTCAATTGGCTCCTCGGCTGTATTTGAGTGCCAGATCTCTCCATCTACTGCTATCACCACCTGGATGAAAGATGGAAGCAATCTAAGGGAGAGTCCAAAGCACAAATTCACATCTGATGGCAAAGACCGGAAACTGCAAATCATTGATGTACAGCTTTCAGATACTGGAGAGTACACATGTGTTGCAAAGCTGGGCAACAAAGAGAAGACCTCAACAGCTAAACTTGTAGTAGAAGGTATTTGTGACTGCTATCCCTCAAATCATTTCTATTCAATTAAAATGTAATGTCAATATTGGTGGTTAATATGTTAATATTTTGGAACTAATAATGTATGATTGTTAAAGTTGCATTTCTTCTTTCATCTCATATAGAATTACCTGTGAAATTCACAAAGAATCTTGAAGAAGAGACCTCCGTGCTTAAGGGGCAGCCAATGTATTTGACCTGTGAGTTGAGCAAGGACAAAGATGTGGTCTGGAAGAAGAATGGAAAAGAGATCAAGGAAATTCCGGGCAAAATTCAAATCAACGTTATTGGACTACAGCGTGCCATCACAATTCAGGGCACGAATGATGATGATGCTGGTCTTTACACATGCGAGTGTGAAAACATTAAAACTCAAACTAATGTCAAGATTATTGGTATGATTTTTTCTTACTTTAATGTCTTTGTTAAATTTAGAGCCGATGTGAATTAACCCATGTCTGTATTGAACAGAAATTGTAAGAGACTGGTTAGTGAAACCTTTGCGGGACCAGCATGTGAAACCCAAAGCCACTGCTACATTTAAGGGCGAGCTCTTCAAAGACACACCTAACTGGAAGTGGTACAAGGGTAATGATGAAATCCCAAATGAGCCTACTGATAAGACGGAGGTGAAGAAGGAGGGTAAAGAGATCACTCTTACGGTCAAAAATACCCAGCCTGATGACGTTGCTGAATATGCTGTGGAGGTTGAAGGCCACAGATACATAGCAAAACTAACACTTGGAGGTACAGCATGTAAAAACAACAACGGAGGAAAAGTGTTGATTTCTGGTTATGTTTCCATCTTAAAATGTTGTATATAAACCTTTTAATCTCTATTCAGAACGTGAAGCTGAGATCTTGAAGCCTCTTGCAAGTGTGGAGGTGGTTGAGAAAACGGAGGCCAACTTTGACACTGAAATTTCAGAAGATGATGTGCCTGGAGAATGGAAACTTGGAGGTCAGGTTCTGACAAGATCACCGGTAAGATCTTATTCAAGAATGCTACAAAATGAATCATTCCCAATTCTGGGGAAACTACTTTGAAACTGTGGCTTGGCTTCCCAGGCTAAAAGCTATAAATTGCCAAGCTCCCCATTTTGAGATGTCGAAAAAAACCCAAACCACTTAAAGCTATTTATGGGGGTGATATCTTTTTAGTTAACTATCAGATGAATTAAGTCGTTTTATAATAAAGTCAATTAGGGTGACTATTCAGTTATATTACACAAAATACTAACTTTTTTTAAAGCACATTGTTCAGCAAATTTACTGATTCATAATTTTCTTCTATTTTAGACATGTGACATCAGATCTGAGGGAACCAAACGATTCCTTACTATCAAAAATGTTCAGCTTGATCAGGCTGGTGAAGTTACATACCAAGCTCTGAATGCTGTGACAAGTGCTATGCTCACAGTCAAAGGTAAGAGAACAATGGATGTTTTTCTACAGCATAAAAAAATGAACATGAACATTTACAAATGCAGATGAGTGACGATATGGACAATGTACATTCTTACCTACCAGAGTTGGAAATGGAATTCACAGTCCCATTGAAGGACGTTACTGTGCATGAAAAGAAACAGGCAAAGTTTGAATGCACCATCAATAAGGATGTGCCTAAAGTGATTTGGTTTAAGGGTTCTGATATTGTTACACAAGGAAATAAGTATGAAATCATTGATGATGGAAAGAAACACATACTTATTGTTAATAACTGTGGCTTTGAGGATGAGGGAGAATACAATATTGAGGTCTTGGGCAAATCATCAAAAGCAAATCTGATGGTAGAGGGTAAGTCTTAGTTATTATCTTGGTTAGTGAAATATTGGTCAAAATTCTTTGTGACAAAATTTAACAAGGGTGTTTATTAATGAGTAGTCTAACAAATAGTAAATAGTAAACAAAAATCTTTCATAATAATCTAATAAATTCACTAATAAATTCACACATTTTTAGTATATTCATTCATGTTTAGTATATTGCACCCATAGTTAATTTGTTATGCACTGAACAAATGTCGTAGGTATGAGGCTGAACTTCACCTCAACATTAAAGGACCTAACTGTGAAGGAAGGTAAAACGGCTGTATTTCAGTTTGAGCTTTCTCATGAGAATGTCCCCGTGACATGGTACAAAAATGAAATAAAAGTGCATCCGAGCAGAACCGTTTTCACCAGCATGGTGGGAGTGAAGCATACGCTAGAAATTAAGGAAGTATCACTAGATGATACTTGCCTAATAAAAGCAGAGGCTAAAGGAATATCCACAATGGCTAAGCTGCTGGTGATTGGTAATTTTACCCTTATTTTACCTTACATTTATTTGATCAACTAATCTTGTTCCCCCCCTTATTGTCTCATTATGCACCACAAGAAAACCTTTTGTGTAAAGTATTACTCAATATATTTTAGTTAATGAATATTAACACAGCAACCTGTTTTTACAGAGGGTGATGCATATTTCACTGTCAAGTTACAAGATTTCACTGCAGTCGAGAAAGATGAAGTCACATTTGACTGCGAGCTCAGTAGAGATGTTCCTGTGAAATGGTTCCACAATGAAATTGAAATGAAAGCCTCCAAGATGGTTACCATAAAAGCTGAAGGCAAACGAAGAATCCTCAATCTTAAGAAAGTTGAGGACAAAGAAAAGGGATTATATGTTTGTGACTGTGGAACAGACAAGTCTTCAGCAAACTTGAACATTGAAGGTCAGTAATTAAGGTTATATTCCTAAAATGCAAAAAACATTGCAACTTTTCAGGGGCATGATGGGATTTTATTTGTTGATTTTGCTCTAAAAAATGGATGTAATTCCAGCTCGTGACATCAAAGTGGTGCGACCCATATATGGCGTTGAGCTCTTTGATGGAGAGACAGCTCGTTTTGAGGTGGAAATCTCTGAAGATGATGTCCATGGCCAATGGAAACTGAAGGGCGAAGTATTATCTTCTTCACCTGTAAGCAAAGTTGCATAATTAATAAACAAATTAACAAATAAATTAAATCATCTTTCTAACAGACACCTTACAAAATACTAAATATATTTTTCTTTATGTGCTTTTTGTAAACAGGATGTTGAGATTATTGAGGATGGTGCAAAACATACATTAACACTCTACAACTGCAAAGTTTCTCAGTCTGGGGAGGTTACCTTCCAGGGAGCGAATGCAAAGTGTTCTGCAAATCTTATAGTGAAAGGTAGTGTAAAATATAATGTTTTAGGTTATATTTATATTATTGAAAATGTATTTATTGTAAATGCTTTCTGTACTATTTAATTTTTCTGTGCACCTCCATCATAGATTTGCCCATTTCTTTTGTCATGCCTTTGAGCGATGTACAAGTCTATGAGAAAGATGATGCAAGATTTGAAATTGAATTGTCAAGAGAGGCTAAGGTCACCCGTTGGCTTAAGGGATCTCAGGAGTTGAAGGCTGATGAAAAGTTTGAAATGCTCACAGAGGCGAAAAGGCATATTCTAGTGGTCAAGTCTGTTGCGTACGAGGATGAGGCTAAGTACATGTTTGAGGCTGAGGACAAGAGAACATCTGCCAAACTTGTTATTCAGGGTAATAAACAGATTTTTGTTGTGAGAATCAATATATGATGCACAATATTCTCATTTCCTTTCAAACCTTTTCTGATCTGCATTTATTGTTCCTCTCAGGCATTCGACTTGAGTTTGTCAGACCCATTAAAGATGTCACTGTTAAGGAGCGTGAGACTGCAGAATTTAGCATTGAACTCTCTCATGAGAAGGTTCAAGTCACCTGGTACAAGAATGACGTGCGTTTACATCCAAGCAAAGTGGTGCACATGTCCGAGGATGGCAAGACCCATACTCTGTCCTTCAAAGAGGTGTCTATTGATGACACATCTCTCATTAAAGTTGAGGCTCTTGGGAAAAGCTCTGAAGCAATGCTCACTGTACTTGGTAAGTGTGTATAATGTTTTCAAATACATGCATCTCTTGAAACTTGATTCTAATGGGTCAGTTGTAGCATTAAGAGGTCAAGTACTTTTGTATAATCATCACTAAACTGTATATTTGGCTATCGTTCATGACAGTAAACTGGTGCTGCTTCAATAGCTATGGTGTCACTCTGCAGTCTCTTTTACATTTTTACATCAAACTTAAGTGAAAATTCCCATCTGATATTTTCAGTATTCATTTAGAATTATATCATATTATACTGTATATTACTAATTATATTAATTAGTATAAATTTTATGGTAAGCATAAACAATTTAATAGATGATTAGAAGCTCAGGAATGCTCATCTAAAGCAATAAAAATGAAAACCTCGCTCAAAAGAACAAGCAACAAGAAATATGAGGTGGATCTTAAAATAGAGGAAGATAAAGATTTTGGCAAACTAGTCCATAGAAAAAAATGGGGTCTTCATCACTCTATATACCGTAGGTTCATTTTGCTTTACATCCCTTACGTAGACATTTTTGTATATTGGTAAAACATGTTGAAAATATCATGTTCTTTTCTATGTCAACAGAGGGAGAACCTTACTTTACTACCAAGTTGCAGGACTACACTGCAGTTGAGAAGGATGAGGTTGTCCTAATGTGCGAAGTGAGCAAATCATCTGCTCAGGTGAAATGGTTCAAAGATGGCAATGAGATCACTCCCTCTAAGAATGTCGTCATCAAGGCTGATGGAAAGAAACGTATCCTGACAGTAAAGAAGGCAGAGAAGGCCAACATTGGCGATTACGCTTGTGACTGCGGCTCTGACAAAACAACAGCCAAGCTTAACATTGAAGGTATGTATTTTTTAAATTCATCCATATATAGATTGATAGTTTTTAATTAAAATGAACTTCTATAACCTAGTCTCTACCCCTCTCCTGTTCTCTACAGAACGTGATATTAAGATTACCCGTCCACTGTATAGTGTGGAGGTCACAGAGACAGAGACTGCTCGCTTTGAGACAGAAATTTCTGAGGAGGATGTACATGGAAACTGGAAACTCAAAGGAGATGCCCTGCACCAGTCACCGGTAAGGGTTTCCTGCAATGCATGTTGTTGTACAATTCTTTAAAAAAAAATCATTTACATATTATTTTGATATTTTTAACAATAAATTACATGTTTGTTCCACTCAGGACTGTGAAATTAAGGAGGAAGGCACCAAGCACATGCTTATCCTTTACAATGTCCGCATGGATATGGCTGGTGGTGTAGATTTTAGTGCTGCAAATGCTAAATCAAGTGCTCAGCTAAGAGTTAAAGGTGAGAATCCTCTTAAGTGTGCAAAAAATAAGCATTTGGCCAACATTATTCTCTGTAACTATTGGTTTTAAATTCTTTATGACTTGTGTTAGAATATTTATTCACAACAGAAATATCCAGTTTTAACAACCCTTTTAAAGCAAACCAGCCTACATTCTTGTTTTACTAAAAAAAGAAAATTTTGAGTGACAATAACAGATAACTTATTGGTGATAAGCCAGCAGCCAACAAAACTATTTTAGAAGCCCCATTCCTTATCAGGAGTGGGTGGGGGTGATTGGCAGAGCCGAAACATGCCTCCTAGTTTATCGGACCACAGGCAGTGCAAAGAATCTCAATATGCTAATGCCCTGTGTGATAAACTGGAAAACTGAATAGTATTTCAAGCTTGCAAATTGTAGCTTAGTGACATATCACAATGACAACTTGTAGTAGTAGTATTGTTTTTTGGCATTATTAAGGATGGCCTTTTCTTCCTCTCAAGCACGCACAATTGGCCTTCTGCGACCTCTTCGGGATGTCACTGTCACTGCCGGAGAGACTGCCACCTTTGACTGTGAGCTCTCATATGAAGATATTCCTGTTGAATGGTTTGTTGGATCAACAAAGATGGAGCCAAGTGATAGGGTAAGATTATTTTCTTTGGATTTCAGAAATTTAGACTTGAATCGTTAATTGGGTCATTTTCAATATAGCTTTATCCAATTAAAAACTTTCAAGATTTTATTGTGATTCCAGCTTATGTTATGTCATAATTATACTACTCTAAAACCATATACATTATATACTAACTGTAGTATATAGTAATATAACTATATACACAAATAGTATGTATATATTGGATATGGTTTTAGAGTAGTATAAGTATGGCATGACTATATATAACTAAAACATAACTATATACACTATATAATACTATAATATAACTATATACACAAATAGTATGTGTATATTGTTGTTTTAGGGTGACAATTCCAAGTGAAAAGTCTTTACATAAATATGTCCGGCATATAAGGACTTCCAGCAGTACTTGCTGGTTTCAAGATAACACTGGGCCATTTTGGCCTGCAGGCGCCCTTGTGGTTATTTTTAACTGCTTCAAGAGTGTTGTTGAAGTGTTGGTAAAGTGAACTTCATAATCCTTTATATATTTGATAAAAAATATATTTGCTAATATTTCGCATTCCTAATGCATTTGTTCTTTTACATAGCTTAACAGATAACTAAATTATAGAACAAAATGATCTGTTTCTTAAAGGCATCAAATGTTCTTTAATTTTGCCATTTCCTTTAAAGGTCCCCTGACATTGGGTTATTATTTTATAATGTTTCCTGGGTTGCCCTTATAATGTTAGTATGTTAACATTCCGTCAATGGCAGGGAAGCGTTGTGTCATAAATGACTGAAAATTCTCTCAATGGCAGGAATAGAGTTAATATTTGCTTGTGTTGTTGCAAAAATGGGAAAAGAGCAATTGATGAACCCACTCAACATCTATGCTACATTGTTGTGTGCAGGTGGTCACGAGAGCAGAAGGAAGACTGCATTCCCTGACTCTGAGAGATGTCAAGATGACAGAGGCTGGGGAAGTGAAACTGACTGCAAAGGACTTTGTTACCCAGTCCAAACTCACTGTGAATGGTATATTAAACAAATAAATAAAATATACTAATAAAAATAGTATTTTAGTATAATTTAGATACTATTATAGTTTTTATTATTATTTTGAATCAGTTTTTATTTTATTTTTATTCTCATTTTCATTTTAATTGTAAAGTTTTAATTATTTTGTTGTACTTTGTCATTTTGATTCTGTATAAAACTATATAAATATATATGTATATATAATAGGAGTGAGACGAGACACTTATCTCACGAGATGAGAAATGAGATTGGGTTCACAAGAACGAGACGAGACAAGATTTTTGCACAATGTTTTATAGAAATCATCAGCGACAAAATTCATGACTGGAAAAATTGTCTGCAGGAGCATTTTGAAATGTTTTAACTAATAATCGTGTAATGAATGTCATTTCAATTCTACTTTATGAATATGATAATATAATCAAATATACAAGCATCGTAAAAGGTTTTGCCACAAAATCAACTGACTGGCTTTTCTCCATTATGATATGCAAACAATAAGTGTAAGTACAACCATAATCAAAGTAGTCTCTCAGTATTCAAACAGAGACCAGAGCCACAAATAAAACCACAACCACAGTCCAGAGGTAGGCTATTGTACGCAGCATAATTTGCGCACATCAGTTTTACTTTCACTTTTGGATTCGCAATCGCCTGTATATATATATATATATATATATATATATAAATATATACACAGGCGATTGCGAATCCAAAAGTGAAAGTAAAACTGATGTGCGCAAGTAAAATGTATATATATTTTACAGTCTATGCATTTATCTGACTCTTAGGCTTGTGCAACGAATCCACCGCCATCGTCATGCAATCGACTTGTCCTGGATGAGCAGAGCAGACGTTTACAATAGATCACAATGGTTTTTGTTTTTATGAAAACAGCAAAACGACAGTGGGGACATGTAATGTGAATGAAGCGGTTTTATTTCCATTATTATTTTAGAGAATGAGAGATGCTGCATTGGCAACTAGCTCAAATAAAATACGATTTTTTTTTAATGGTTTTAGTTTTAGCTGACTGTAATACTCACCTGTGCAAACCTGTAATGTTTGTATTCCTATATACATATAATTTTAGAGGTTGTTTTTTGCAGTAGTTGTCAAGAGAGGTTGCTTTGAGTTTCACGTTACCACATTACATATCACAGAGCCACCAGTTGAGTTCACCAAGCCCTTGGAGGACCAGACTGTTGAGGAGGAGGCCACTGCCATTCTGGAGTGTGAACTGTCCAGGGAGAAGGCTGATGTGAAGTGGTTCAGAGACGGACAGGAAATTCGTAAAACAAAAAAGTATGAGATGGTGGCTGAGGGACGCATAAGAAGGCTGATCATCAAGGACTGTAGCCTTGATGACTCCAAGACATATACTTGTGATGCAAAGGAGTTCAAGACGTCTGCTTTCTTAAATGTTGAACGTACGTTTTTAGAAAAAAATCTGACATGCAGAAACTTGAATAAAGCCAACTATTGTAAAGAAATAAAATAAACAACACATTGCATATAATGAATATGTTTATCTATTTTCAGCTCCATTTGTTGAATTCGCTAAGCCTCTTCACGATGTTGAGGTTAAGGAGAAGGAATCTGCTAAGTTTGAATGCGAAGTGTCCCGTGAAAGTGCCAAGGTATTTTTTGGCAAAAAAATCGGTGTAGACTGGGCCCAAAAGTCTAGGGACTACTAGAGAAACTGTGTCTGGTTAACATTTTCATAATTTAATGCAATTGTTTTAATTACAGTTTATATTATTTTATCATAGCAATTTGAGTGAGAACTTTAATTGGAAAATTAGGCTTAAAAAGTTTTAGTTTTGCAGTTTTACTTTAACAACATGCACAGAAGCTGAGAGTATATTGATTCAATATTGTCTGTTGCACAGGTCCGCTGGTTCAAAGATGGCGCTGAGATCAGGAAAGGCAAAAAGTATGAGATTATTGCCAAGGGATTACAGCGTATTCTCATCATCAGTAAGGCAGTGTTTGATGATGAGGCAGAATATGAATGTGATGCAAGAACATCCAAATCCTCTGGAATGCTAACAGTTGTCGGTGAGTTTTATTTCAGTCACTATTCTACAATCAATTCTACAAACACTCAATCACAATACAGATATTTATATCAATTCCTTTTTGCCTTGCAGAGGAGGAAGCTAGATTTACAAAGAACCTATCCAATGTTGAGGGCACAGAAACCGACAGCATTAAGATGATTTGTGAGGTCTCTAAACCCAGTTCAGAGGTTTCATGGTACAAGGGTGACCAGGAGGTCCATGAGGGTGGTAGATTTGAACATGTTGCAGATGGGAGAAAGAGAATTCTCATCATACAGGACCTCCGTATGGATGACGCTGGAGAGTACCACTGCAAATTGCCTGCTTCAGAAACAAAAGCAACTCTAAAGATCAGTGGTACGTTTTAAGCTTAGATTATTTCAAAAAATAAAAAAATCCTACATGCTCCCATGGTCAGGAAAATCTAGAAAAGGAGGGGATTTTTCTTTGCCTTGAAAAGACATGTATGTATATAATGAATGAAATGTACAGTATATAATGAATGTATGTTTTTATGCTGAGCCATTGAATATTTTGTATGCTTTTTGTGATTTCACTCTGTTTAAAAATATTTTTCAAAACCATATCCAGTAATCTCAAATGACTTCAAAAGTCAAAGTTTACTAATCATAAGGTGTGGAAATCCTGATGCATTTAATAATTTTATTGATAATTTAATTAGACACTGATTTACTTGAAATTATCTCCCTGTATTGCTTTAGAATTGGCAGCTGAATTCATTGCTAGGCCCCAAAACCAAGAGGCCATTGAAGGTGAAAAGGCTGAGTTTGTTTGCTCAGTGTCTAAGGAAAATTATGAAGTTAAATGGTTCAAAGGAGACAAAGAACTCACAGCTGATGACAAGTATGAAATTGTCTTTGATGGCAAGAGGAGGGCGCTGATTGTCAAAAACTGTGAACTAAAAGATGAGGGTGCATTCACTGCCCACATTGGCTCTGTAAAGGCTTCAGCAGACTTGTTGGTGATTGGTAAGTTTTTTTTATTTATTTTTTAGTATATTTGTCTGTAATGTGTTTTTGTAAAAGAGGTCCAAATGTTACATTTTTAATAAAACTGGTACTTTTGCTTGTCTCCTTAGAAAAACTGAGGATAATCACACCCCTCAAGGATGCCCAAGTAAAGGAAGGACAAGAGATTATTCTTAACTGTGAGGTGAACTCAGCGGGAGCTAAAGCCAAGTGGCTGAAGAACAGTGAGACAGTGTTTGAGAGTAGCAAGTTTGTTATGGTTCAGAGAGACACTGTGTTCTCTCTGAGAATCAAAGCTGCAGAAAAGATAGATGAAGCCAGTTACACCATTACACTGACAAACCAGCGTGGAGAACAGGCCAAGTGTTCTGCTAACATCAATGTACTAGGTGTGCTATTATTATATGTCTACCTTTTATACCATGTGTATTTTGACTGCAGTATATGCAAAATATTTATACTTGTTTTTTTGTCTTGAATTCACAGAGGAAGCCATCAAGATCATTGAGCCACTAGAGGACTGTGAAATAGAGGAAAAGAAGACCATTACTTTCACTTGCAAAGTGAATAGACCAAATGTGACAGTCCAGTGGATGAAGGCCGGTCAAGAGATCACTTTCAGCAAGCGTATTCTGTATCGTGTGGACAAGGACAAGCACACTCTGACCATTAAGGACTGCAGCCTTGCAGATGAAGGTGAATACACTGTAGTTGCTGGCGCTGATAAGTCCACAGGAGAACTGGTCATCAGTGAGGCACCCACTGATTTCACCACTCAGCTCAGAGACCAAACCATCACAGAGTTTGAGGATGCTGAGTTCACTTGCAAATTGTCAAAGGAAAAGGGCCATGTTAAATGGTACAGGAACGGACGGGAAATCAGAGAAGGACCCAGGTTAGGTTTGAGCCATGAAACTATGAAAAAATACTGTTTGATAATGGGAAAACTTTGGCTGATATCATCATTTTTCTTAGATATCATATGGAGAGAGATGGAAAAGAATGCAAGCTTGTAGTCAAAGAGTGCAGACCAGATGATGAATGTGAATATGCATGTGGAGTGGAAGATAAAAGATCAAGGGCACGTCTCTTTGTTGAAGGTAATTTTTTTCACAGCCAATTTCTGGTATCCATGTTCGTATTGTCCTACGATTTGATGTGCTCATGGCATCTTTCTTTTCTTTCATCAACAGAGAGTCCAGTGGAAATCGTCAGACCACCCACAGATGTATTTGAGCCCCCAGGATCCGATATTGTGTTTGAGGCTGAACTAAATAAAGACAGAGTTGAGGTCAGATGGATGAGAAACAACATGGTCATTGTCCAGGGTGACAAATACCAGATGATTAGTGAGGGCAAAGTTCATAGACTTCAGGTCTGTGAGATCAGACCCCGTGATCAGGGAGAATACAGAATAGTTGCCAAGGAGAAGGATGCCAGAGCCAAGCTTGAGCTTGCCGGTAGGAAGTGTGGGTGTTAACGCAATTTAGTTTTTCATAAAATTGTAACATATTTTTTGAAGTCCTGTACTTTTCCTTACAGCTATTCCAAAGATCAAGACCACAGATCAGAACCTTGTAACAGATGCTGGAAAGCCATTTGTGATGACGATTCCCTACGATGCTTATCCTCGTGCTGAGGCAGAATGGTTTTACAATGACATCAGCCTACCAGGGCAAAACATTGACACATCTAATGAACGAACAGAGTATAGGCTCAAGGACCCAAAGAAGTCAGACCAGGGTCGTTACAAGATTGTCATTAAGAATAAACATGGAACAGGAGAGGCGTTTATTAATCTGGATGTAATTGGTGAGTAGGAAATTCAATTAGATGATTTACAGACAATTTTAAATGTTGTAGATGTCTAATAAAAGTGTTGTTTGTAGATGTTCCGGGACCTGTGAAGAACTTGCATGTTGTTGACACTGCTGATGGTGAGGTCAGCCTTGCTTGGGAGGAACCGGAAAGTGATGGCGGAAGCAAGATCTTGGCTTATGTTGTTGAGAGACGAGATGTCAAACGCAAGACCTGGACAATGGCCACAGACCGTGCTGATATTCCAGAGTATTGTGTTGGTGGATTGCAGAGGGACAACATGTATTTCTTCCGTGTATGTGCTCGCAATAGAGTTGGGAATGGAGAGACTGTTACCACAGATGAGGCAGTTCAAGCCAAAAACAAATTTGGTGAGCTATGCTTTGTTTTATTTTTAGATTTGCTTGTTAAGTCTGTTATGCATCACTGTTTCCAACAACAAACTGTGTTAATATACACTCATAGAAAATCATGCTCCTAACCTTATCTCCATGCCGAAATCTCAGATGGCCAGACAATGATTCATCTTTTATAAATCTTTTAAATATTGGTGTCCGGGATGCTGTCAGTTGAGAGTTTTTAAAAATCTTAGCTAAATGTGTGATATGAATGAAAGGTGCTCACAAATGGTTGTTGAAATGGTATTTTTAATTGAACTGAGTAGAAGCTTGGACCCAGAAACAGTACATCATTACATAACGACTTAACAAGCGGATTGTGTGGTAAGAGTTGAGACTGTAACAATTAATCAAAGATTTTATTAAAAACATATTTTTGTTCATTCTTCTGCTTCTAACAGATGTGCCTGATGCACCTCAAAAGGTTATGGTTGGAGTTGTCAATAGGTTAGGTGCCACTGTGTCTTGGGAACCACCACTCTTTGATGGAGGATCTGAGATCACATCTTATATCATTGAGCTCCGTGACAGAACCTCCCTGAAATGGGAGCCTGCTATGGTGGTCAAAGCTGAGGATCGCACAGCCACACTCAGTGATGTTGTTGAAAACAAGGAGTACATCTTCAGGGTCAGAGCTGAGAACAAAGCTGGAATTGGCCAGCCAAGTGCTGCCACAGATCCAGTGAAGATTATGGATCCCATTGGTTCGTAGGGTTTATATTTTTTTCATTATGTCTTGAGTTGTTGCAAAACCTGGAGTCAAACTTTCAATTTTGTTTCCTATCACAGAGAGGCCAAGTCCACCTCTGAACTTCAACTACACAAATCAGACCAAAGACTCAGTTCAGCTGTCATGGGAAACGCCCATCAGCAATGGAGGTAGCATGATTACAGGATACATCATTGAGAAGTGTGAAGATGGCACTGACAAGTGGCTGAGATGTAACGCTAGACTTTGCCCTGACCTTTACTACAGGGTATGTCATCTCATTTTGAATTTAACATTACTAATTTATTATCTTGTTAATGAACTGTTTTTAATGTGTTAATTTATGTGTCCTATATCCTATATTAAGGTTTCTGGTCTGAAGTTTGGTCAGAAATATCACTACAGAGTTTGTGCAGAAAATGCTGCTGGGGTGTCTGAGCCAGCTGATGCAATTGGGCCACTTTTAGCCGATGACCCTCATGGTAAACCATTTAAACTTTAGCCATATCCCCTTAAAACACAGATGAAATACACACAGACATTATTTTAACTGCTTTTTCATTTTATTTTTTGTCCTCAGTGGGTCCCACCATTGATCTTAGTGGTTTTAAAAATGGTCTTGAGGTCATTGTCCCCAATGCTCTTACCATCCGAGTTCCCATTACGGGATATCCTATGCCTAAACCCAAGTGGACATTTGATGACAAAGAGCTCACCACAGGTGACCGTGTTTCCATGGTCACAAAGCCTACATTCACAGAACTGGTTGTTGCACCAAGTGTGCGTCCAGACAAGGGAACATATACCTTACAAATGGAGAATGATGTGACAACCATATCTGGAGAGATCGAAGTCAATGTTATTGGTATGCAAATTTTCATTTTAATATCTTGTTTATGGTTTTGCACAACAATTAATGTACAATCCTATTTTTACATCTTTCAGCATGTCCAAGTGCACCCAAAGACTTTAAAGTTGCAGAGGTGACCAGACATCATGTGCATCTAATGTGGGAAGCACCAGAGTATGATGGAGGCAGCCCTGTAAGTGGGTTCAATATTGAGAAAAGAGAGGTTTCCCGCAAGACCTGGGTCAAGGTGAGGTGTTTTTAACAGTTACTTGTTAACACTATATGTACACTCAGTGAAACATTTAGGTTCTAACAACATCTACACTTCAGGTGATGTCAGGCGTACAGGACCTTGAGTTCACTGTCACAGATGTCATTGAGGGCAAAGAGTACTTGTTCAGTGTTATTGCTTGCAACAAATGTGGACCAGGAGAGCCAGCATACATTGATGAACCTGTGAATGTGTCATCCCCAGCCAGTAAGTCTTAACACACAGGCATAATGTTTTTATAATACTTAATATCCATCTGTGTTAATATCATTCAATTAGTTTGAGGGTTATGAAATGAAGAACAGCATGACAGTGTATGAAACTTGTTTGAAATACAGCTGTGCCTGATCCTCCTGAGAACCTGAAATGGAGGGACAAATCAGCAAAGACCATCTTTCTGCTTTGGGAACCTCCCAGATATGATGGTGGTGCTGCTGTTAAGGGCTACATTGTTGATAAATGTCAGCGTGGCACTGACAAATGGGAAGCCTGTGGAGATCCCATGCCTGAGCTTAAGTGAGTAATGATTCTTCACGAGCATCCCCGTAGTGGAACATACTTGCAACTAAATCATATAATTGTTTTTTTATAATTATTCAGATGCATCTGTAATCTGTCTCATTACACATATCCCAGGTTCCAGGTGACTGGTCTAATTGAAGGTCAATGGTATGCCTATCGCGTGAGAGCTGTGAACAGACTTGGAGCCAGCCGACCATGCAAGGCTACAGACGAGATCCTTGCTGTGGATCCTAAAGGTTAGTGATCAAGATCCACTGATTTAATAGTTAAAGGAGAACTCCAGCGAACAATGAACCTTTGGTCTAATAAAACATCGGTACATAGTCAACCGTTCTCTGAGATTTGTTTTCATGATAATCAAATGTAAAGAGTTTTATCTCTAAAAACTGTTTAGCGTATAATGCTAGTAATGGGGGCATTGACTAATTAAAAAGAAATCGCTAATTTATACCACTAACAAGGCTCAAAATAGCCCCACACTAACGCAGTAACATAATGAGGCTCCATACATGCAAAACGAAGCATTGAAAACTTTGTAAGTGTACAGACCGTTTAATAAGAAGATACTTTATGAAGACAGTTCACTTGGTGTATACAGACAGGAGTCATCTTAAAAAATAGTCTCGATAAGTCAAACCACGAACGTCGTGCTGAGTGATCTGAACTGTATGAAGTTCAGCGAACTTCTGAACTGTATGAACGGCGTTCGGGGATCGACTTATCGAGACTATTTTTTAAGATGGCTCCTGTCTGTATACACGAAGTAAACTGTCTTCATAAAGTATCTTCTTATTAAACGGTCTGTACACTTACAAAGTTCTCAATGCTTCGTTTTGCATGTATGGAGCCTCATTATGTTACTGTGTTAGTGTGGGGCTATTTTGAGCCTTGTTAGTGGTATAAACTAGTGATTTTTTTTACTTTGTCAATGCCCCCATTACTAGCATTATACGCTAAACAGTTTTTAGAGATAGAACTCTATACATTCGATTATCATGAAAACAAAGCTCAGAGAACGATTGACTCGGTACCAATGTTTTATTACACCAAAGGTTCATTGTTCGCCGGAGTTCTCCTTTAAATTGTAGTTAGAATCTGCTATATTCACATTTTTATTTTATTACAGAGCCACCAGTGATCCAGCTGGATGCTAAGCTTCTTGCAGGCTTGACTGCTAGGGCTGGGACTAAGATTGACCTGCCAGCTGATGTGCTTGGCAAGCCAGAGCCAAGAGTAAAATGGACAAAGGCTGACCTTGTCCTGAAACCAGAGGATAGGATAAGCATTGACACAAAACCTGGCCATTCAACACTTTCCATTGCAAACACAACCAGATCTGACACAGCGACCTATATCATTGAGGCTGTCAATACAAGTGGCCGTGCCACTGCAACGGTTGACGTCAACATTCTCGGTAGGGTGTTGCTTTACATAATCTGTATTTTCAGAATAATGCAGTAGAAAGAAATTGGTAGTAATTGTATGTATTAATTTCTTTTCATCATGTTAAAAAAACAGACAAACCTGGCCCTCCGGCTGCTTTTGATATCTCTGAAATCACCAATGAATCCTGCTGTCTGGCCTGGAATGCCCCCAGAGATGATGGTGGCTCTCCAGTAACCAATTACATTGTTGAGATGAGACCCACAGATAAAGAAGAGTGGCAAAAACTGTCTGCTACAATAAAACAAACTGCTTTCAAAGCTTGTAAACTGGTATCTATGAAGGAATATGTCTTCAGGGTGTCTGCTGAGAACCAATATGGCATTGGGACTCCTGCAGAGCATGTGCCTATTGTTGCAAAGTATTCATTTGGTAAGAGTACATGTCACTATATTACACATTTTCACATAAGTTTCTTTATAACACCTTATTTACTAAATGAATTCTCTTTGTCACTCAGATACTCCTGGGGAACCAACCAGGGTTCAGCCTTCTGATATCACAAAGGATGCTGTAACTTTAACTTGGTATGAGCCTGATGAAGATGGTGGAAGCCCCATCACAGGTTACTGGGTTGAGAGGTTTGATCCTGAGACTGACAAATGGATCAGGTGTAACAAGCTTCCAATTAAGGACACAACATACAGGTAGGATAATTTTTTTCATTGTGTCTGCATTTAAAAGGTGAAGGAAGGGTAAAATAAATATTCAAAATAAGTTTACCTTTTAAGGGTGAAAGGTTTGGCAACAAAGAAGAAATACAGGTTCCGTGTTTTGGCTGAGAATCTTGCTGGACCAGGAAAGCCAAGTGCTGAGACTGACCCAGTTTTGATTAAAGATCCGATTGGTAAGTTCTAGTTTTATTTTTCCAACATTGAGGCAATTAAATAATTAAAACTTAAAGTCATGAATTTCAAACAATGTTGTTTTAGATCCTCCTTGGGCTCCTGGGAAACCATTCATCAAAGACATTGCCAAGACATCAGCCAACCTGCAGTGGACCAGGCCTGAGCATGATGGCGGTGCTAAGATTGAGTCCTACATAATTGAGCTTCAAAAGAGTGGAACTGAGGAATGGGTTCGTGTAGCTGAGGATGTACCAACAACCGAGCATTTATTGAAGGGTCTGATGGAGAAGCAAGAGTATTCATTTAGAATCAAGGCCATCAATATTGCTGGAGAAAGTGAACCCAGTGATCCAAGTGACCCTGTTGTATGCAAAGAGAGACTTTGTAAGTGTTGACAGACAGTTTGAAAACTGATTTGTCTAAACATTATGGTCATTATAGTCAACAATTATATATCATATCAAGATCTAGATATCATTATCTAGATATAACAATAAGCATAACATTTAATTGTATTTTTGGACTGCACAACAAAGTATTGACCAAGTTACATGCTCATTAAAAATTCAATATCAGAATTTAGTCATATTCTAATTATGTATAAATATGTACATGTCAATGCCATAACTTGAGTTCATATACAGTAAAATGCACAGAAGCACTGTGCACAGTATGAGTTCAAGCATGTAAATATGTTTTTCTAAATAATGACCAGAGTATTAATTGTAAACCTGATCAATGTCCATTGTCAATGTAAATGTTACTGATTATATAAAGTCTTATCACATTGAACCAAGTATTCATACCCCAGTTTTCAAATTATACTTTCTCTTATTTTTATATTCAACTGCAATGATGATAATAATAATATTTTTGACGTTCTCATTTGACCAGATCCTCCAAATGCCCCACGTTGGCTTGAGGTGGTTAACATTACTAAAATCAACTGTGACCTGAAGTGGACTGAACCAGATAGTGATGGTGGCTCTCCGATCACCAACTATGTTGTTGAGAAGAGAGACGTCAGACGCAGGGCCTGGCAGGCTGTGGACACCACAGTAAAAGATACCAAATATACTGTCACTCCACTTAATGAAGGCTCTCTCTATGTGTTCCGTGTTGCTGCTGAGAATGCAGTTGGAGTAAGCGAGTTCAGTGAACTAGAGGACTCTGTTTTGGCCAAGGATACTTTCAGTAAGCTGAAATACATGTCATATATAATATGTTTTAACATAACAATATATACCTTTTTTGGTAACACTTTACAGTAAGGGTACATGAATTATGCATTCATTCATGCATTATTTCTCATGAATCATCAGGAACTTACACAAGTTCATCGTTTTTCATTCATGACTTCATGAATGAACAACACCTTAATTAAAACATTAACTAAGATAAGCACATCACCATGAATTATGATTTATTACGCATGATCATGATGTTTTCTTTGTTCTTTGTCTAGGTCAGTGACCTAGTCACCACTTTATTTAAGGGGCCACACACATGATGAAGTCATTAATAGATTAATGCTTAGTTAATGATGACTATTGGACAGACACCATAATAGACCAATCACAGCTCATAGCACACACATTCTGTAAATCAAATACAGAAGTCATCATTAACTAAGCATTATCTATCAATGACTTCATCATGTGTGTGGCCCCTTAACTAAAGTGGTGACTAGGTCCTTTGAAACACTGATGAACAATGTGCTATTGAAAGGTGGCATAACTGTGAACAAAGAAAACATCATGATCATGCGTAATAAATCATAATTCATGATGATGTGCTCGTCTTAGTTAATGTTTTAATTAAGGTGTTGTTCATTCATGAAGTCATGAATGAAAAACGTTGAACTTATGTAAGTTCCTGATCATTCATGAGAAATGAATGCATAATTTATGCATTAACTTATACATGAATTCATGATAATTCATGTACCCTTACCGTAAAGTGTTACCCATTTTTTTAATGTGTCATTATGTCCTCTATAGCAACGCCTGGACCACCCTACGCGTTGACTGTTGTGGAGGTGTCCAAGAGACATGTTGACCTGAAATGGGAGCCACCCAACAGTGATGGTGGAAGACCCATCACCAAGTATGGACAAATTTTACTTTGGTTTTGTTAAATGCAAACAAAATTATGTGTTTTCACATGGTGTGCAAGGCAAAACAATTGTCTCATGAATCGTTCTTTCAATAGGTATGTTATTGAGAGGAAAGAGAAGTTAGGCACACGCTGGGTAAAGTCTGGAAAGACATCTGGCCCTGAATGCAAGTATAGGGTGACTGATGTTGATGAGGGCAGTGAGGTGCAGTTCCAGGTCCGTGCTGAGAATGAAGCTGGAGTTGGCCACCCGAGTGAACCTACTGTTTTCATGGTCATTGAGGATCCCATAAGTATGTTTAGTTAATGCATAATTAAATAGCATGTAACATAAAGTGATAGACGATTATGTACACCACATAATATATATTGATTTATGTGTTGTTGTTTTTTAGGTCCACCTTCTCCCCCAATTGAAGTTCAGATTGTTGATGCCAGCAGAGAGCACATCAACATTACATGGAAAGCTCCAGAAAAGAATGGAGGAAGTCCAGTCACAGGCTACCATGTTGAGCTGTCTGAAGCTGGAACTGAGAAGTGGATGAGGATTAATGCCCGTCCTGTCAAAGAGCTTAGTTTTAAGGCTGAGGAAGGCATCATTCCTGAGAAAAAATATGTTTTGAGAGTTCGGGCTATTAATGCTATTGGAGTCAGTGATCCCTCTAAAATTTCAGATGATGTCTTTGCCAAAGATCCTGACAGTAAGGACTATTAAAATATTAACTGTGAATGAAAGTGTGTGTGTGTGTGGGGGGTACTTATTTTTCCCGCACCCACTGGTCTGATTCTGGTATTTAATACATTTTTCAATATTTTAAAGGTGCACCAACCATGGATGTCGAGACTCAAGATATTGTAGTTGTTGAGGGTGAGAAGATGAATATAAAAATCCCATACAGAGCAATTCCAAAACCATCAATGGTCTGGAAAAAGGGTGACACTGAATTAAAAACCGAAGACAGACTGACATTGACATGTGAACTTAATCGTGTTCACCTGGAGCTTCTCAAGTGTAAACATGAAGATGCTGGCATGTACACTGTTACTCTCGTGAATAGTCTGGGTTCAGTAACTGGCACAATCAACGTAAACGTAATCGGTAAGAAACTGTGTAACTATATAATTTGGATTTAACTGATTCACACTTATCATACCAACTGCTTAAAAATCAAGCTTAATGGCTCATTATATTTTTCATTAAAAGGCCTGCCTGGACAATGTAAGGACATCTCTTCGAGTGAGGTCACCAAGAACTCTTGCAAAATCTCCTGGGAACCTCCAGAGAGTGATGGTGGTAGCCCAATCTTGCACTATGTTCTAGAGCGTAGGGAAGCTCAGAAGAAGACATTTTTGCCCGTGATGTCGGGAGACAATGTTTTAAGCTTTCTGGTCAAAGATCTTATGCTCAATGGTGAATATTACTTCAGAGTGAAGGCTGTTAACAAAATTGGATGTGGCGAGTTTCTTGAACTCCGCAATCCTGTTTTAACCGAAGAACAGAAACGTAAGTATACATTTTATTGTAATTAATTTTATTTTATGTACACTCTATCTGGTCATGTTTGTTGTTCTTTTTTCAATTATCATTATTTTTACTATTATTATTACAGAACATCCAGACCCACCAACTGAGGTTGAGGGACACAATCCCACCTCAAATTCAATTACTGTTACTTGGATGGCACCAGCATATGATGGTGGATGCCCAATCACAGGGTACATTCTTGAGAAGATTGAAAAAGATGGTGACAGATTTGAGAGGTGCGTTCCAAATCTGGTACCTGGTTTCTCCTACACTGTCACTGGCTTGACAGAAGGAAAAGAATACCAGTTCCGTGTCCGTGCAGAGAACATTGCAGGACCAAGTGACCCATCTCGCAGTACACTACTGATTAAGGCTGCTGATCCTGTTGGTATGTTAAAAACAAATCAAAATCTGTTACAGCTCTAGTTGAGTATAAAAACTTTTTGGTGTGTCAAATAAAACATTAAATGTCATTTAAAAAAATAATCTTTATTACATTTTCTGCTTCAGAACCACCAAAGGTATCACTTCATGCCCGTATTGCATCTGGTCTCAATATCAAAAAGGGTGAGGAGATTAGATTGGATGCTTACATATCTGGATCTCCCTACCCAAATGTAACATGGCTCAGAAATGATGAGAATGTCAGGCAGCCGCCAGCTAAGAAGAAACCAGAAATTGTGAAGAAGAAAAAGAAGAAGTCTGTGCAGCCCGAACCTGAAGAAGAATTCCATCCACCACTTTTAGATCGTCTGTCATTTGATCAGACCAAAAGCAGTGAGACTGCTCTGATGGTGCGTGATGCCATCAGATCTGACCATGGACATTTCACTATTAGAGTTGAGAATGCCCATGGTTTTGCAGCAGCATCTTGTGATGTCAATGTTCTTGGTATGTTATTTTTTAAACTACTATGGGTTTCTCTTTTAGCATTTAACAACAAAAAATGATGTATTAACATTTCTGCATTTTATAACTTACAGATAAGCCTGGCCCCCCTGTAAACTTTAGGTTTGATGAGATCAGGAACATCTCTGTTGTTTGTATTTGGGATGCACCTCTTGATGATGGTGGCAGTGAGATCATCAACTACATACTGGAAAAGAAAGACAACACAACAGATGAAATTGGTTGGGTAACTGTGACCTCGACTCACAAGGGATACAATTACCCTGTAACCAAGCTTATTGAAGGAAAGGAGTACATCTTCAGAGTCACAGCTGAAAACAAGTTTGGCTGTGGACATCCATGCTACTCTGAACCACTTATTGCGAAGAATCAATTTGGTAAAGTTATATTTTAGCTATACTTTGAACAGTAGTTGGCTTATATTATAGTTTATTTGAGTTTTTTGATTATTGTTTTTTAGAACCACCTGATGCTCCCAACATGCCAAGAATTGGAGAGGTCACTGCCAGCACAGTTGCTCTCAGCTGGCATGAGCCAAAGGACAATGGTAGCCCTATCTTGGGCTATTGGGTTGAGAGACGTGAAGTCACCAGCAAATATTGGATCAGAGTAAACGCCAATCTTCTTAGTGCACTGACAGTTAAGGTTGAGGGTCTTATGGAAGGCCTTGTTTACGTCTTTAGAGTCTGTGCTGAAAATCTTGCTGGCCCAGGAGAATTCAGTGTACCAACTGACCCTCAAACTGCAATGGATGCAATCTGTAAGTGTAGCAATTGAAAACTAAACATTGCACAAAGTATGGCTGTCAATTGATTTAAATATTGACAGCCATGTTAGTTTAATATTTTTTGCATTATCAACACATTTATTCCCTTTGTTTTAAGTTGTAATTATTTGTTTTGGTAGTTTGTATAGATTACATTAACTGTGCAAATTTATGCTACAGTGGGCTTTACTAAAATAAAATAGCAAATTCTTTGTCAACCTGAACTCATGATTAATACTAACTGTATTTAAATGACCTTTTAATTTGAGAAAATTTAACTATTTTTGCAGTGCCACCTGGTCCACCTGTACCAAAAATTGTTGATGTCACAAATACTACTATTGATATCAGTTGGATACCTCCATTGTACAACGGTGGTGGAGAAATCCTGGGATATCATGTTGAGCGCTGTCTGGTTGGAGAGAAGGATTGGGTTCGCTGCACTGAGTTTAGATGCAAAGACCGCAAGTACACCGTGACTGGACTGACTGAAGGAGCTGATTATTACCTTCGTGTGTATGCTGTAAATGATGCAGGACATGGAGCCCCAGGCATGACTGAACCTGTTCAGGCCAAAGAACCTGAAGGTACTGTATGTCAAAAAACTTATGGAAAACTTGACATTTTCCACAAATAGTGTGCAAAAAAAATCAAATAGTCAACCTAAATTAAGCTGTTACTCAAGATTATTTAACACTCATTTGTGCAATTATAATCAAATATTTAAATCTGCATTAATTTAACAGAGTCACCAGGAATTGAGTTTGATATCTCTGTAAGGAATGGAGTCATCATTAGAGCTGGAGAAACATTGCGTCTCCCTGCTGTTGTTACTGGGCGACCTGTACCAGAAGTTAAGTGGACAAAAGATGATGCAGAGCCAGATAAAGAGCATGTAGTTATTGAGACAGAAGTAAAGAACAGCACTTTAAGCATCAAAAATGCTTTGAGAACTGACCATGGCATATACCAGATCACAGGCACCAACCCTAGTGGAACCAAGTCTGCCTCTGTTAAGGTGGATGTGATGGGTAAGTACTATTCTTTTTTTTTTTTTTAAAGTTTCAGAAAATGTATTTATTTATTTTTATTCTAAAATGTGGGATTTTCTTTGTGTGTGTTTGGACACAAGATGTTCCCGGACCAGTGGTGGATCTTAAGACAGTTCATGTGAGCAAGAAGATGATTTCATTCACCTGGTCAGATCCTCTGGATAATGGTGGAAGTGACATAATGGGCTATGTTGTTGAGAGAAAGGATGCCAAAATGCACATTTACAGACAACCCCTGGAAGTCGCCAGTTGCAAATGTGACGTTGTTGGTCTGCTTGTTGGAGAAGAATATATGTTCCGTGTAGTTGCAAGGAACAAGTATGGCCTTGGGGCTCCTGTTGAACTTGGACCTGTTTTAGCAGTGGATCCCAAAGGTAAATACAACAGAATTATAGTGAATTTATATCTTGTATATGAATATATTTGAACTACATATTTTGATATTTTTGTATTGTTTTAATAATCATACAAAATGGATAAACAACTTTCTTGAAATTGTAGGAGTTCCATCTGCCCCAGAGAAATTGCACTACACGGAAAGGACCAAAAACACTATTACTTTGACTTGGGAACCTCCTCGTAGTGATGGAGGTTCTCCAATCCGAGGCTACTATATTGAAAAGATGAGACAAGACAGCAATGAATTTGATGTCGCCAACCGTCAAATCTGCAAAGACCTCACCATCACTCTGGAAAATCTGTCTGAGAACATGATGTACGACTTCAGAGTGAAAGCTGTCAGTGAGGTTGGTGATGGAGAACCATCCAAACCAATCAGTGTCAATATTCAGGATGACGAACGTATGTATCACTCCTAATAATAGAAATCATTGACCAATTCTGAATGCTTGAAGTTGTAGTTTGCTAATAAAAACCGTGCCTTAACATTTTTCATTGATTTTTTTCCTCTATTTTAGATTCACCAACTGTTAAGTGGTTGAAATTCTTTAAAAGTGATGCCATTATTGTCAAGAAAGGAGCAGCTATTGAAATTCCTGCTGAAATTTTTGGCCTACCATTGCCTATATTTGAGTGGACAAAGAATGGAGTAGTTATTGATCAACCCACTGAGACAATGACATTGGAATCAGAGGAGATTAACAGACAAACTATCAACACCAAAATTGGTATTCCTGAAACTGTAAGACAAGACACAGGCATATACAAGTTAACTGCCACAAATACCCGTGGAGTAGGTCAACGCAAAATCCGTGTGGATATCTTGGGTAAGCCTTTAAATTTGATTCAGTTCTTTTACTTAAGCTTATTGATTTTCCACCGCATGGGAAGTAGTATTGGGTGTTGAAAGTGACACAGTACTTTTTCCTCTAGTTAAGTTATGTATTGGACAACTCTTTATTTTCAACAGTTCTTTTTCTAGATTATCTTTAAGATTACCAATCAAGATTATCTAGATTGACTGTGGTGTTCTTTTCCTAGATCGCCCTTTGCCACCAAGAAACATTGTGGTGTCAGACATCAAAGCTGAGTCTTGCTACCTTACCTGGGATGCTCCAGAGGACAATGGTGGAAGTGATCTCACTAACTACATCATTGAGAAGAGAGATGCCAGTAAAAAGAAGTCTGACTGGGAACAGCTGACATGCTGCATTATGGACAGACGTTATGGGGTTAATATACGCTGTTAACACTATTATGAGACAGTTCCTTTTAGAATGAAACTGTGCTATGTGCTTAAAAATGCTCTAAATGTTTTTTGATTTTTTTCCTCCTATTCTGAAGGTGTACAAGTTGGAGGCCTATGGTAATTACCAGTTCCAGATCAAAGCTGAGAACAAATATGGGGTCAGCGATGGTTGTGAATCAGAAAAGGTTGTACTCAAAGATCCATTTGGTCTTCCCGGTCCACCCCAGAGGCCAAGGATTATTAGACACACCTGCTCATCCATGGTGGTCACTTGGGAGCCTCCAAAAGACAATGGTGGCTCAACTATTCAAGGCTACTGGCTTGAAAAGAGAGAGAAAGGTGCTGTATACTGGAGTCGTGTTAACAGAGCTCCAGTAACAAAACCAGCAGTCAAGGGCCTGGAATACAATGTGCTGCACCTTATTGAGGGTGCCGAGTACAAGTTCCGTGTTATGGCTCAGAATGCAGCTGGCGTTGGACCTCCAAGTGAAGCAACAGAATCCGTGTTTGCGATTGATCCAAGAAGTAAGTAATATTGATATTAATGTGTTGATATGTTAATGAAATCCAGTTCCTGATGGATAAAACTTTCTTAAATGTTACTTGTAGATCCACCAGGTCAACCATCAGCACCTGTAGTAAAAGACAAATCAACAAGCAGCGTGACCCTTTCTTGGACCCCACCAGAAAAAGATGGAGGAAGTCCAATAAAGGGTTACATTGTTGAAGTTCAGGATGAGGGTTCACATGAGTGGAGAAGGATCAATACACCGGAGAAGCTGATCCTGAGTAATTCATACACTGTCTCAGGGCTTAAAGAGAATAAGAAATGCAGGTTCAGGATTGTTGCTGTAAATGCTGCTGGTGAATCTGAGCCAAGTCAAAGAACTTCTGATATCATTGTACAGGATATTCTGGGTAAGTCTTACTTTTGTGTACATGTGTTACAAAAATATAGAATAATATTTAATACATACATGTGTAAAAGGATATATGATTAAAGATATATGTGTTACCCAACTTGTTCACAGAGGAACCTGTCATTACATTGGAGGTCACAACTCATGAACTTCTGAATTGTCGTGCTGGAACAACCATCAAGATTCCAGCCACCATCTCCGGCAAACCTGTTCCAAATGTGACATGGGACTTTGATGGAACCGCTCCAACAGAGAAAAAGAATGAGCGTCACACTCTGCCAGAGGATTCAGAAGTAGGATAATTCATATTTCTTCAAAACACTCAGTTTTTTTAGTCCAAAGTAACTAATTCATTTTACATTTAAACTCTGCAGATATCATCCAGTGATACAACATCAGTAGTGACAATCTCTGAATGTAAATTAAACCACTCTGGACGATATATCATCACTGCACACAACCAGGCTGGCACTAAAATAGTTAAAGTGCGCGTGAATGTACTTGGTAAGCATATTCAAAATCCCTAAAATGAAAACATCAAAACCTGATATAATAGGAGTATCATTAGAACACAGAAAATCTAGAAGTGTGTATTGTATTACATATCTTGTCTCTTTTGTCTAGATTTGCCTGGAGCTCCAAAAGACATCAAAGTCAGTGACATCACACGTGGAACATGTAGACTAGCCTGGATGCCTCCAGACTCTGATGGTGGTGACAGGATCAAAAGCTACTTCATTGAGAAAAAGTTAGTTGAAGGAAAGGCTTGGACAAAGGTCAATCCAGCTTGTGCAACGCAGTCCTTAGTTGTGCCAGACCTCATTGAAGGACAAGAATACTTGTTCCGTATAAGAGCTGAGAATCGCTTTGGTCTGGGGCCTCATACCACAACCACTCAGGGGATTAAAGCTAGGGATCCTATTCGTAAGTGTATTTTCTATACAAGTCTGTCCTTAAAAATACTTTAATACAGTTTATTCTGACAAACACTATATTATTGCAGATCCTCCGGATCCTCCCACAAGAGTTAAAATCGTTGATGTGTCAAAGGGCATTGTGACTCTGACTTGGAAGCCACCAAAAAATGATGGTGGTGCACCTGTGACTCACTACAATGTTGAGCGTCTGTGGTGGGATAGCAGTGGGAACCAGCAAGAGTCTTGGAGACAGTGCAACCGTCGTGATATTGATAACACCACTTTCAAAGTGGAGGATCTCCACCAGGGTGCTGAATATGAATTCCGTGTTAAGGCTGTGAATGAGGTTGGTGCTAGTAGACCATCCTCTACAGCAGGACCTATCATTGTTAAGGACCAGAACAGTATGTACAGAGCAACACACTAAGTAATTCAGCAAATTTAAGAGTTGCCTGATGAACCAATTCACCTTTCTTCCCTTCCCCTTTAGGGGCACCTTCCATTGAGCTTCCAGAATTTATGGAGGTTGAACAGGGTGAAGATATTCATATTGTTGCCAAGATTAAGGGATGTCCATTCCCAACACTCACATGGCAGAAGGCTCCACCTCACAAGGGTGAAAACAAGGTTGATATTGAGTATGATGAGCACATCAACAAGCTTGTGTCTGATGATAGCTGCACACTGCTGATCCAGCAGGGCAAACGCTTAGATACAAGCCTCTACACTCTTACTGCTAGCAACAGCCTTGGTACTGTTTCCAAGGAAATGAGGCTTAATGTTCTAGGTAAATTGCAACAACCATTTTTTATATGAAGACCTGTGTTGTTTTTATAACTAATATTATTCTCTTATTTTAAACAGGCCGTCCCGGGGCTCCATCTGCACCCATTAAATTTGAGGAAATTCATGCTGAACAAATAACACTGTCGTGGTTGCCTCCTAAGGATGATGGTGGCTCCAAAATTACAAACTACACTATTGAGAGACGTGTTGTCAACAGGAAGAATTGGATTCCTGTTACTAGTGAACCCAAAGAGAGAATATACACAGTTGAGAATCTAATGCCTGGTCATGAGTACATTTTCCGCATTAGGGCTCAAAACAAATATGGTGTTGGTGATCCTCTTGATAGCGAACCTGAAGTAGCCAGAGATGTGTTCTGTAAGTATTCATTCAATGTTTAATGTTGATGTAATTAGAGACATTTTGTATGTTTAGATTACGTTAATTTCACTTTGTAACATTGACAACATTTTATGTGCTTTTTAAGTGCCACCTGGTCGATGCGAGAAGCCAACACTCTCTAGCGTCACAATAGACTCCATGACTTTGAACTGGGAAGAGCCAGACACAGATGGAGGTTCTCCAATCACAGGCTATTGGCTTGAGCGTAAAGAAACTACATCTAAACGCTGGAGCAGAGTAACTCGTGATCCAGTCAGGCCCATGCCACTTGGTGTGTCTCACAAAGTTGTGGGACTCATTGAGGGATCTCAGTATTTGTTCCGTGTGATTGCAATAAATGCAGCGGGATGTGGACCCCCAAGTGAGCCATCTGATCCAACATTTGCCAGAGATCCAATAGGTAAGAGAACAAGATTGAGATTCAACAGTATAATTTTTCATTAACAGAGAATCCCACTATGATAAATCTGTTTTCTTATAGCTCCTCCTTCTCCACCAACCCCAAAAGTCACTGACTGGACTAAGACTACAGCAGACTTGGAATGGATTCCACCCTTGAAGGATGGAGGTTCAAAGATAATGGGCTACTATGTCGAATACAAAGAAGAGGGCACAGAAGCTTGGGTTAAGGTTTGTTAAAGACCAAAGTATTTATATTTCAGCAAAACATGTTCATATACTTTTTATAGATTACAAAAAAGATCTTCCTTCTGTTCCAGGCCAAAGACAAGGAAGTTAGAGGTACTAAATTGGTGGTCACTGGACTGAAAGAGAATGCATTGTTTAAGTTCAGAGTTTTGGCATTCAATGCTGCTGGCTTGAGTGAACCTGGTGAAGTTGCTGATGCTATTGAAATGAAGGACCGTATAAGTAAGTCTCAGTGATTCAACTTGTAAAAACAAGTTTTTCTTTGCTTGTGTGCAAAAAGATCTAAAATCGAAAATAACAATTAAAATTAAAATTCATGCACTCTAAAAAAATACTTAAAAGTCTAATTGTTTTGTTTTTAGCCCAAGGGCCAAGTATATATATATATATATATATATATATATATATATTACAGTAAGTTGTTACGAACCCCGCTTTTAAAATGCTCGTTAGGAGAGGGGGTCAGTAACATAAAGACACGGAATGCAAAATGTACCAGTTTAACAATTTATTAGTAGCACATAACTTACGTGTCAGAAGGCAACAAATACTGATTGACAGACATTAACAACCATAGACCCACAAAACATTCAGACAAACGGGATTAAAGCACAGGTTAGCAGCAGCATAAATATATTACAAGTATAAATATATTACAGAACACATGTTGGACTCTGAGGACACCTTTAACATCCCAAGTTAAAGGGATAATTCACCCAAAACTAAAATTTATGTCATTAATTACTCTCTGTCATGTCGTTCCAAACCCATAAACCCTTTGTTCATCTTTGGAATACAAATGAAGATATTTTTGATGAAATTCTGTGGTTCATGGGGGGCTCTATTTACAGCTATTTAGTTAACACTTTGAAGGCCTAGAAAGATAGGAACAACATCGTTGGTTCAACCTAAATTTTATGAAGTGACGAGAATTCTTTTGTACGCCAAAAAAACAAAATGATATTATTCAACAATTCCTTCTCTTCCGTATCAGTTTCTGACGCGCATTCATGAGAGCACCACGACGCATGTGTGTGGAAATCTGGGATCCTCTGTTGTACAGCGAGGAGATTTGTCTCATCGTCTGAATTATCCAAACTCTCAAGATGTGCACACACTATCCTGTTCATCAGGCATCGCTTGATACTGAGCATAATCTGAGCATGTCTCTTCCTCTACACAGCCCTGCGTTTCCAGGTTATATGTCACATTGCCAGCTCTTGTGTCATCACTACACATGCGTGCGTCGTGATACTCTCCTTAGCACCACGGAGACTGATATGGAAAAGAAGAAATTGTTGAATAAAGTCGTTGCTAAGTTTTTTTGTTTTTTTGGGGGGCACACAAAAAGTATTCTCGTCACTTCATAAAATGAAGGTTGAACCACTGTAGTCACATGGACTATTTTAGTGATGTCTTTCCTACCTTTCTGGGCCTTCAAAGTGTTAAATAGCTGTCATTAGAGCCCCTGCGCTATTAGACTTCATCAATAAACCTAGTTTGTTTTGGGGTTTGGAAAGACGGGTTTGGAAAGACACGAGGAAGAGTAATTAATTAATTTTTGGGTGAACTAACCCTTTAATTAATAAAATCATCCCTTTTATGCTGGCGTCAGTAACAATTTTACAGATCAAATGAAATGTACACAAACCTATATGTTACTGAAGAAATGCACCAATTTAATGGCTCTGAGAACTGCTCTCTCCTAAAGAGGATGTAAAAAGCCTGTAATAAATAACTCAACTGCAATATGATGTATGTAATATTAAATTAATGACAATTTTTGTCATTTAGTTTTGCCAGTCCTTGAGCTGGACATTTCAGTAAAGGAGAAGATGGTTATTCATGCTGGAGGTGTTATTCGTATCCTGGCTTATGTGTCTGGCCAACCTCCACCTGTGATAACATGGAGCAGAGATGGGCTCCCAGTCCCACCAGAAGCTGTTATTGAAACCACTTCAATCAGCTGCTCAATGGTAATCAAAGACTGCACAAGGGCACAACGAGGTGTTTATACAATAACAGCCAATAATGATGGAGGAGAGGTGAAGAGGTCTGTTATTGTTGATGTTCTTGGTAAGTGTGAATTATCAGACACAAATGGTCTATACATTACTATGAAGTAGCTGCATTAGAGAATTTACATTTTCTTATCTATGATGTCTTCTTCAGATGTCCCAGGTCCGGTGGGGGCACCACTCACAGCAGAAAGTCTTACAAGTGAATCATGCAAGCTGAACTGGTTTTTCCCTGATGATGATGGTGGATCTGCCATCTCCAACTACATAATTGAGAAACGTGAAGCAGAACGCAAGGCTTGGACATCTTGCTCCTACACAGCTGGCAGACAAAATGCTGTCGTAAATAATCTGGTGCTAAAAAAGGCATATTTCTTCAGAGTTGCAGCTGAAAATGTAATTGGCGTAGGACCTTTCAGTCAAACATCATGCGAAATTGTGATTCAAGATCGCATCAGTAAGTATTTTTCTTAATATTTTTTTCCTGGATTTAAAATAGCTTTAAACTATTGACCAAGTAATGTAGCTGTAAAATAGTTTTCAGCATGGATGGTAGCTAATCACTATTTGGACTCTTTTTACTAGATGTTCCAGACCGTCCAGAAGACATTGAGGTGACTACCATCACTAAAGACTATATCAGTCTGACTTGGAAGCCACCTAAGTACGATGGAGGATCTGAGGTGATATCTTACATTCTTGAGGCTCGCATGATTGGCAAAGACAAGTTTGTCAGACTGACCAAAGAGAAACTGATGGATAGGAGATATACTTATGATGGTCTCAGAGAAGGCGACACCTATGAATTCCGTGTCAGTGCAGTGAATGAAGTTGGTACTAGCAAACCATCCTTCTCCACTAAGCCAATTACATGTAAAGATGAACTTGGTGAGTGAAGTGTTTTTGTTTTTCAAGTGTTTTCCATTATGTACACCACTATTATTATTATAAACTTTTAATTCTATTTATTAAATATTAATGATGTCAATTTTTAATTTTAGAACCTCCTACAATTGAGCTTGACTTCCGTGATAAGGTTGTTGTGCGTGTTGGTGAAAGCTTTGCACTCCAGGGGCGTTACTCTGGAAAACCAGCCCCATCTGTCACCTGGTCAAGGGATGACAATGAACTGAAAGCAGACAACCATATCAAGTTCAGAAATACTCTTACCACAATGTGTCTGGGTATTATGAAAGCTCAGCGTGGGCACAGTGGCAAATACTGTGTGACTGTTGAAAACTGTACTGGTGCTCGTAAAGGCATTTGCAATATCACAGTTGCAGGTAAGTCTCATGAAACTAAAGAATGTTCACAAAATAATATGTTCATAAAATAATATGATGAGTAAAAATACATATTTTGGGCTTATAACTAACAAGCAATATATCTATGAATATTTTGTGCATTTTTTAGATCGTCCATTGCCTCCAGAAGGCCCAGTTGTCTTTGAGGAAGTTCACAAAGATCACATGGTTATTTCTTGGAAGCCCCCTCTTGATGATGGTGGATGTGAAATTTCTAACTACATAATTGAAAAGAGAGATGTAAACAGAGATATGTGGACAACTGTAACATCTGCCACCACAAAAACCCACTGCAAAGTACCTAAGCTTGTAGAGGGTCGTGAATATATCATGAGAATTAGTGCTGAGAACATGTATGGCATAAGTGACCCACTGGAGTCAAAAGAGATGAAAGCTAAAGATCTATTCAGTATGTAAAAACACTAACAAAAAAAAAATCAATTGAACATTAAAGCTGTAAAAATTGGTTTTGATCCTAATATCTTGCACATAATTACAGGGGTACCTGAGGCACCTGAGCAACCCACTGTAAAAGACGTTTTTCGTGATTCAGCACTGGTGATTTGGAACCGTCCTCGTGATGGTGGAAAGCCCATCACAAACTATATCTTGGAGAGGAAGGAGCCTTCAGCTAAAAGATGGTCTCGTGCAACCAGAGATCCAATTTACCCTGCTACACAGTATAGGGTACAAGACCTGGTTGAAGGCTGTGAATATGAATTCCGTGTAATGGCAGAGAATGAAATTGGCACTGGAGATCCTAGCCTTCCAAGTAAACCTATTCTTGCTAAGGATCCCATTGGTAAGTCCTAGTGTTATGATGGTTTCCCCTTTTTAATGCTTATCTTTTGATAATTATTTATTAACTTATTCAACTTATTCTTAATAGTTCTGCCAAGCCCACCTGTTTTGCCTGAAGCTGTTGACAAGACTAAAGATTCTGTGAGTCTATCATGGCGTGTTCCTCGTCATGATGGTAAAGGCAAAATTTTTGGTTACTTGATTGAGTATCGGAAGCCCGGTGCAGTCGAATGGATCCAGGCAAATGAAACTCCCGAATCATGCACAGACACCAAGTTTGTTGTGACAAAACTACCAGATGGAGGAGAGTTCGAATTCAGAATTATGGCTGTGAATGCAGCTGGAAAATCTGAACCTGCATATGTCAAGGAACCAGTGAAAGTTCATGACAGACTTGGTAATTTCTTAATATTTGTTTGCATATTCAGAAAATACAAAAGAGTAGTATTGGAAAGTAGTTTTTTTTAAAAATAATACTACTCTCCTCTTATATCTTGAAGTATGTTTTTAACATATTGGAAAGTAATCACTTAAAAATGTATTGATTCTTATTTCTATCTTTCTCATCTCAATTTTCATGCAGAGGAGCCAGAGTTGCTCTTACATGGCAATATGGCTCGTGATCACCTTGCCATGGTTGGGACAGACATCACACTCAGTGCCACAATTAAGGGCATGCCAATACCCACTGTCTCTTGGAAAAAGAATGATAGTGAAGTTCCTGCTCATTGCCTTATTGAGGTCACAGCAAGCGGAAGCAAACTTCACATTAAGAAGTGTACCCGTGCTGACAGTGGCAATTATACTATCACTATTCAGAATGCAGCTGGATCGAAATCTGCTACCTGCACTGTTCTTACTCTTGGTATGAAAGTTTTAAGAACATATCTTAATGATAGAGTGAACCCTTGGTATTTCTAGCTGATGTGATCCTAATGATCTGAGTGATCTGTTTGGTTTATATTCAGTGAGCATATCTGCAATATATTGAGGTCCTTACCCATTGATTGATTTATATACTAGTTATAATACTATAAAATCAATCCTAAATGTAACTGGAAGTCAGTGTAAAGGCCTGAGGACTGATGTGATATGTTCATATTTTCTGGTCCTGCTCGGAATCCTAGCAGCTGCGTTCTGTATGAGCTGCAACTATTATGGTCTTTTCAGGAAGGCCAGTGAGGAGGCTATTACAGTAATCCACCCTGCTGGTGATAAAAGCATGAACAATTTCTCTAAGTCTTGGAAATAAAGCATCTTATTCTTGAAATATTTTTTAGATGATAGTATGCTGATTTAGTAATTGCTATGACATGACTACTGAAACTAAGTTCTGACTCAAGAGACACACCAAGATTCCTGACTTGATTCTTAGTTGTTGGACCCCTAGCGTCAAGGTATGCATTCGCCTTGAGAACTTCATCTTTGTTTCCAAATGCAATGACTTCAGTTTTGTCTTTATTTAACTGAAGAAAGTTTTGGCATATCCAACTGTTTACTTCATCAATGCATTGGCACAGGGAGTCAATGGGGCTATTATCGATAGGTGATAGGGCTATGTTGAGCTGTATGTCGTCTGCATAGCTGTGGTAAGCAATTTTGTTCTTTCTCATTATTTGGCTCATTGGTAGCATATACAGGTTGAGTATACAGGAGTGGTGCAAGAATTGAGTCTTGAGGGACTCCGCAAGTCATGGATGTCCACTCAGACTTATGGTCACCTATACTCACATAATAACCTCTCCCTTCTAAGCACCACCCAGTTTTCCAGTCTGCCAAGAAGTATGTCATGATCGACAGTGTCAATTGCAGCACTGAGGTCGAGTAGTACCAGCACTGATAATTTGCTTGTATCAGTATTTAAGCGAATATCATATTATTATCTTTATGAGTGCTGTCTCTGTGCTGTGATGCGATCGGAAACCAGATTGAAAATTGTCAAAGCATCCATTCAAGATAGATAGACTGATAGATAGATAGATAGATAGATAGATAGATAGATAGATACAGTTTAATAGATACCTATAGTAGTGCCACAATGACTCTTTTTTGTTTTTGATTTAGATAAACCTGGACCTCCAAGGAATCTTTCCATCTCTGAAATCACAAGTGAGTCAGCTTACCTGACATGGCAAAAGCCAGAAGACGATGGTGGTGCTGTGATCTCCCACTATGTTGTGCAAAAGAAAGATGTGGCAGCTGAGAACTGGGTTTCAGTGTGTGCTGCATCCAAAAAGCTGAGCCTCATGGCTCAATATCTGATGGAAGGAATTCAGTATCTCTTCAGAATTGCAGCTGAGAATCAGTTTGGTAGGAGTGCATTTGTTGAAACCACCAAGCCCATCAAGGCTGTTGATCCTCTTTGTAAGTATTACATTTAATATTACTTTTGAAATGCTTGACTTTTTATACCAGTTTGTTAAATTAATTTGTATATTTTTACTTATAGATCCCCCTGGTCCACCCAAGAATCTGCATCACATGGATGCAGACAAAACTGAAGTATGGCTTCAGTGGGAGTGGCCTGAACGTACTGGTGGAAGTGAAATCACTGGATTCATTGTTGAGCATCAAGAAGAAGGTTCCACAGACTGGGTGACCTTCAAGACCGTCAGCAATCCTCAATGCCATGTAACTGGACTTGTGGAGGGCAAAACCTATAGATTCCGTGTAAAATCACAAAATGCAATTGGCATTAGTCGGCCTGACACCACTGTGCCAATTACTTGCCAGGAAAAAACCTGTAAGATATATGAAATATTTTATTATGTAATTTTATTTTTTTAACAGAAAAATTGCAACATAATTTACATTTTATTATGCTAATATTCTTACATACATTTTATATGCAATATCTTATATATATATATATATATATATATATATATATATATATACAATAATATACATTTTTTATGCTAATATTCTTTTTCAGTGCCTCCAACTATTGAAGTTGATGTGAAGCTTATTGAGGGTCTTGTTGTCAAGGCTGGAAGTACAATTGTCCTCCCAGCAGTCATGCATGGAATCCCAACTCCAACAGCCAAGTGGCAAAGTGAAGGAAATGAGCTTAAAACCGAGGGCACATTTAAGATTGTTACTGAAGGAAATTCAACTGTCTTGACTATTAGTGAATGTGTCAGAAATGACAGTGGAGAGTTTATACTCACTGTGACAAATCCTGCTGGAAGCAAATCTGTTGCTCTACATGTTACAGTCCTTGATGTTCCATCTGCTCCAGTTGGTCCTGTAAATATCCTTGAGGTTACCCCTGATCATATGATAATCCAGTGGCGTCCACCAAAAGATGATGGGGGTTCACCTTTGATGAACTATGTTGTAGAGAAGAAGGATGTCAAGAAGCCTTGGGAGCCATGGTCAGTTGTGAGTTCTGGAAGTTCCAGCACAAAGGCCAAAGTCCCACGTTTGGAGAAGGGACGTGAATATATTGTGTGTGTACGTGCCGAGAACAAAATTGGCATTGGAGCTGCCCTTGAAAGTCCTCCCACTATTGCCAAGCATATGTTTGATCCACCAGGCCCTCCTGGCCAACCAACATGTTCTGATATAACAGAAAATGCAGTAACAGTGTCATGGACTGAACCAGAAACAGATGGTGGAAGTCCTGTGAGTGGCTACATTGTTGAGCGCAGGGAGATGACCGGAAAATGGATACGTGTCAATAAAACACCAGTCTTGGATGTTAGATACAGGGTGTGTGGTTTGTTTGAAGGCAACAGCTATGAATTTAGAATCTTTGCTGAAAATGTTGCTGGTGTAAGTGAGCCTTCATATCCATCAGACCCTGTGAAAGCTAAACGTCCAATTAGTCCTCCAGGGCCTCCAAGCAACATTAAACTGAAAGACTGGAGCAAGTCATATGCAGATGTGGTATGGACCAAACCTTCCAGAGATGGTGGCAGCCCCATCTTAGGCTATGTTGTTGAATGCCAGAAATCAGGTTCTGCACAGTGGGACAGAATAAATAAGGATCTAATTAAGTTTTGTGCATTTAGAGTACCTGGACTTAGTGAAGGCACAGAGTACAGATTCCGTATTAGAGCCTCAAACAAAGTTGGAGATGGTGAGCCAAGGGAACTCACAGAAACTGTGCTGGCCAAGGACATTCTTGTTCCCCCCGACGTAACTGTTGATGTTGCTTGTCGTGACCTCCTAACAGTTAGAGCAGGGCAAATCATCAGCCTTGTGACCCGTGTAAAGGGCAGACCTGATCCAGAAATCACTTGGACTAAAGATGCAAGAGCTTTAGTCAGAGATAAACGCACTGAGATGAACAATAACTTCCCTCTTGTTGAGCTGGTTATTCAGGAAGCTGTTAGAGCTGATTATGGAAAGTATGCAATTCAAGCAAAGAACAGCAGTGGTCAAGCACATGCTACAATTATTGTTAATGTACTTGATATTCCTGGAGCCTGTCAGAATTTGAAGGTTGCTTATGTAACTAAAGAGTCATGTATGGTGTCTTGGGAAAATCCAGAGGATAACGGTGGCACTGAAATTACTAATTATAAAATTGAGTGCCGACAACCAAGTCAAAGGGGATGGACAGTTGTTACATCTGACTGCACCAAACGACTTGTCAAAGCTCCACTTGTTGAGAATTGCGAATATTTCTTCCGTGTGAGTGCAGAGAATAAAATTGGTGTTGGTCCACCAACAGAAACAAAAGCACCAGTCCTTGCTGTTGACCCAGTTGAGAAACCTGGTGAGCCGGAGAACTTCCAAATCACTGAAATTGGCAAGACATTTGTCTTCCTCAAATGGAAGAAACCAGAATATGATGGTGGTAGTCGTAACCTTGCTTACCATATTGAAAAGAAACCTAAAGAAGCAGATGAATGGGAAAGATTACACAAAGGTGCCATAAAGGAAACCTATTTTATGGCTGACAGATGTATTGAGAACCAAATTTATCAATTTAGAGTTCAAACAAAGAATGAGGGAGGAGAGAGTAACTGGGTGACAACAGATGAAGTTCTTGTAAAGGAGGAACTTGTACAGCCAGAGCTCAAAGTCAAACTGATGGGAGTTCTTGTTGTTAAAGCTGGAGATGCAGTTCCAATTGAGGCAGATGTTATAGGTAAACCTCAGCCTGATATAAAATGGTCTAAAGAAGGTGTCACTGGAGATATCACCAAAAGCCCAAGAGTGCAAGTTGAAACTGGCACCAACTTCACTAAATTCCTGCTCACAAGTTCAAGACGGGGAGACACTGGAACATATATAATTACAGGAACAAATGCTGCTGGAACCTGTACTGCTGAGGCCAAGGTGAATGTTCTTGATAGACCAGGTCCTATTAGAGATCTGAAAGTGTCAGAGATTTCTGTGGACCGATGCAAGCTTACATGGGAAGTACCAGAAGATGATGGTGGTTGTGAGATCTATAACTACATTATAGAAAAATGTGAGGCAAAGAGAGCAGTTTGGTCAATTCATTCAGCAGCTGTAATAACCAATTCAGCTAAAGTTACTCGCCTTATCGAAGGAAATGAATACATATTCCGAGTGAGAGCTGAAAACAAAATGGGTGCTGGCCCTGCTGTAGAAACTGAGTCTATTATTGCAAGGACCCAGTTTAACAGACCTGGTGCACCAGATGCTCCAGAAGTGACTAAAATTACAAAAGAAGAAATGGTTGTTATGTGGTGCTCTCCTGATAATGATGGTGGGAAACCTATCACCGGTTATATTCTTGAGAAAAAAGAAGAGCATGCCATTCGGTGGGGCCCTGTTGTTAAGTCCCCAATTGCAGGGACACAGATGACTGTTACAGGTTTACTGCCTAATCATGAATACCAGTTCCGTGTTAAGGCTGAAAATGAAATTGGGGTTGGGGATGCAAGCAAGCCATCCAGATCATTTACTGCAAGAGATCCAGTTGGTATGTCCAATTAAAATATTTGATGAAATGTGTTTTTGTCTTTACAGCCACATTTATTATTTGTTTTTTTTATTTGCAGATCCTCCTGGTCCCGTTAGTAACTTAAAGGTGGCTGACAGCTCAAAGACATCAGTTACTCTTGCTTGGACAAAGCCTACATATGACGGAGGTGCTCCTCTTATTGGATATGTAGTTGAGCTCAGAGTCAAGGGCACAGGCAAGAAGGGGGAGGAAGGCTGGAAAAGGTGCAATGTTGCTGCCCAGTTGATCGGAACAGAATTCACAGTCTCAAGCCTGGATGAGAAGCTTGAATATGAATTCCGTGTTTCTGCCCAAAATCAGATTGGCTTGAGTCAGCCAACAAATCTTGAGGGAGCTGTGACACCAAGAGAAGTCTTGGGTGAGTTTCCATAAACTTTTCTAAAAACTTTTCAGCAACATTCCCTTTTAGGGCCTAATTTCTGTGTGTGTGTGTGTGTGTGTCCTCCTCCAATCTCCAGAGGCCCCTGAGATTGATTTGGATGCAGAACTGAAGAAAGGGTTGACAGTTAGGGCTGGATGCCCTATAAGATTAGTTGCAACGATTAGAGGAAGACCCGCTCCCAAGGTCTTATGGAGGAGAATGGGTTTAGATAATGTTGTTCAGAAGGGCCATGTTGATCTCATTGACACTATGACATTCCTTGTCATATCTGAAAGTTCTCGGAATGATTCAGGCAAATATTCATTAACTGTGTCCAGTCCAGCTGGAGAAAAGGCAGTGTTTGTGAATGTCAAAGTACTTGGTAAGTAAAAAAAAATAAATAAAAAGCTCCCGTTTATTCAATGTTTCAGTCACGTAACTTTTTCTGTTTATTTTTATATAATGGGAATTAGTGGGGGGAAAAAACATGACTGAAACGGATGAATAAAATAATATATGAATCAATGAAAATACTTAAAATATCAAACTTTTCATTCAAGTATATAAATATATTTTTGTTTGTTTGTTTGTTTTTGCATTTTAAAAACAGATACACCTGGACCTGTTGTTGGTCTTGAGGTTACTGACATCACAATGTACTCTTGCAACCTCACATGGTCTCCACCTGAAAATGATGGTGGCAGTAACATCACTCATTACATGGTTGAAAAACGAGAAATTGATCGTAAAACTTGGGGAACAGTGAAAGCTAATGTTGAAAACACCACATTTAAAGTAAGCAATCTCGTCCCAGGAACAGAGTATTACTTCCGGGTCATAGCTGTAAACGAGTATGGTCCCGGAGTCCCACGAGTTACACCAAAATCTTATCTGGCCTCTGATCCAATCAGTAAGTGCATTCTTAGCCAGAACCATTTTTCAAAGGCTTTGTTGAAACAGTATTACTATAACAATTGTGTCTCCTTCCTTAAGGCAAGCCTGACCCACCACAAAAGGTTGATATTCTTGAGATTACTAAGAACAGTGCAACTGTGGGATGGGTGAAACCATTGCGGGATGGCGGAGCTAAAATTGATGGTTACATTATTGACTATCTTGAGCTTCCAATGCCTAAACCTCCTAAGAAACCAGTAGAGGGTGAAGCTGAGGCAGAGCCTGGCGTAGAGCCTGTGGCTCCTCCTCCACCTGAACCTGTGGTTGAGGACAAGGAGGAGGAGGAGGAGAAGAAGGAGGAATGGACACCATACACAGTCGTAAAAGATTTGGCCATCTCTGTTGCTGGTCTAAAGGAAGGAAGAAAATATCGTTTTAGAGTTGCAGCAAGAAATGCCATGGGTTCTAGTCTTCCCACAGAGACAAAAGAAGCTTATGAGATCAAGGAGCAGATGCGTAAGTTATAAAATTAATGTGTTACTCAGTCATTAGAATTAATAGACTTCAACTAAAACCCTGTTCAATTTTGTGTTGTTTTTTTCCCCCAGTGGAGCCCAAAATCATCATGCCTGAACTTGTCACTGCAAAGGCAGGAGCAAAACTGAGGGTTGAGGCTCTTGTATCTGGAAAGCCAGCACCAGTGTGCCAATGGAAACGGGGAGAAAATAATGTAGTTTCATCAAGCCGTCTTGCTGTGCACAAATCTCAGAACATGTGTGTGCTCATTATTAAGGATGTTTCGAGACAAGACAGTGCTGAATACAGCCTTGTTGCTGAGAACAGCACTGGAAAAGTTGACCAGACTTTGAAAATCATCATCAGAGGTTAGAACTTGTCTTCATCACCACCTTCAATAAAAATGGGCTATGTGAACATGCAGTTAATTTTTCTACAAACATTCTTTTGTGTTAGATATTCCTGGACCACCTGAGCCACCATTTGAGATCAGTGACATTGATTCTGATGCCTGCACACTCTCTTGGAACAAACCTACTGAAGATGGTGGTAGCAATATCACTAATTATGTGGTTGAGAAGTGTGATGTAAGCAGAGGTGACTGGGTGACTGCGCTTTCCAGTTGTGGGAAAGCTGGCTGCAGAATCGGAAAGCTTATTCCTGGAAAGGAATATGCCTTCCGTGTTCGTGCTGAGAATAGATTTGGTATTTCAGACCCCCTTACATCTGAAAGGATGGTTGCTAAATTCCCCTTTGGTAAGTTGAAATGCAAGCATTAGCAGTGTCTGTCAACATGTAACTGATGACAAAAATGAGACCTATTTGTCAGTGTCTAAAAATAAATTTTTTTTTTATAGATATTCCTGGTGAACCTTTGAACTGTCGCATCAACAAAGTGAACAAGGACTGCATGTTTGTGGCTTGGGATAAGCCTGAGTCTGATGGTGGCAGTCCAGTTACTGGATACTACATTGAACGCAAAGAGAGGAACAGTCTCCTTTGGGTGAAGGCTAATGATTCTGTTGTTCGCACAACAGAATATCCTTGTGCTGGCCTAATTGAGGGTCTGGAGTACACTTTCAGAGTGTCTGCTATAAACCGAGCTGGACAGGGTAAACCAAGCAAGAAAACAGAGTTCATCACAGCAAGAACTCCTGTTGGTATGTGCATGTAAAATATATTTTTTTTTTTGGTATACGTGTTTGCATATTAGATATTTATGTTATATATATATATATATATATATATATATATATATATATTTGTTGTTTTGTTTTTAAATTCTAGATGCTCCTGGAAAGCCTGAGGTGCTTGATGTTACTAAGAACACAGTTACACTGGTTTGGACTAAACCAAAGAATGATGGTGGAAGCAGGATAATTGGATACTATGTTGAGGCCTTAAGGCTTCCAGGAGACAATTGGGTGCGTTGCAACACAAGCAGTCAAAATGTTCCTCGTGAGGAGTACACCTCAACTGGGTTAGAAGAGGGTGTTAAGTACCAGTTTAGGGTAATTGCCAAGACAGCAGTTAACATTAGCAGGCCATCTGAAATTACTGACCCCATTCTGGTGTCTGCAGAAAATGGTAAGTATTTTTATGTTATATATATATATATATATATATATATATATATTCAATTGCTATTTGTCTTATTGATTTTCTGTAATGTTTCCTTGTCTATAGTGCCTCCAAGAATAGAGCTTTCAATACAGATGAAAAAGATGTTGCCAGTAAAGGCTGGGTCCGATGTTTGTCTTGAAGCTGAAGTTTTTGGCAAACCAATGCCCAAGGTTACATGGAGCAAAAATGGAGAATTGTTAAAAGCTGACAAAGAATTCAAGATGTCTCAAAAGAGACATCTCTTTTCTCTGAGCCTTGATGCAGTCACTAAACTTCATACTGGAAATTATGGAATTCTTGCAGCAAATGCAAGTGGTTCTACGACTGCAGAAATACAACTCAAAGTTTTAGGTGAGTAAAATTATATTTTTATTGTTTAGCCTAAATACTACTAAGTGAATTGGACATATAGCTTATTCATGTCCTTTTTGCAAAAATAATAATCATGCATTCCCCTCACATAGATATACCTGGCCCACCAGCCTCTATCAAGTTTGACGAGATATTTTCAGATCGGGTTAAGTTGTGCTGGGAGGCTCCACTTGCCGATGGTGGTTCTCCAATAACAAATTATGTTGTTGATAAACGGGAGACAAGCAGGGCAAACTGGGCCCAGTTTTCTGCTACAGTCAGTGGTAATACAACGGAATGTTCTGTGGAGAGACTAATTGAGGGGCACGAGTACCAGTTCCGTGTTCGTGCTGAGAACCACTATGGTACTGGTGATGCCATTGTATCTGATCCTGTTGTGGCAAGGAATCCCTTCAGTAAGTACCTTACTATTGGTTTATGTATTTTGTTGCTTGGAGATATCATTTCTATGTTGTAATGTACTTGTTATTTACAGCTGTTCCTGGAGCATGTGACCCACCGGTCCTTACAAACATCACAAAGGAGTGTATGACTGTAAGCTGGAAGGAACCATCTGATGATGGAAAATCCCCTATCCTTGGATACATGGTTGAGAAACGTGAAACCAAGGAAGCGAACTGGACCAAACTGAACAGAAAACCCTTGCTAGAGAGAACACTTGAGGTTGGAGGTCTATCTGAGGGAGCTCAGTATGAGTTTAGAGTCATTGCTGTTAATAAAGCTGGCCTTGGCAAACCCAGTGAACCATCTAATGCTGCCTCTGCTCTTGATCCTTTGTGTGAGTATTAGAATCAATTCACAATACCTTGAATATCAACATATATGTGAGAGCTTTAATCAGTACCTCTTACTTATTTACAGATCCTCCAGGCCCACCCATTTCTCCCAAGGTCACAGACACCACCAACAGCACAATTAGACTAACTTGGACTAAGCCTGCAAATGATGGTGGAAGTGAAATTTTGGGATACCTTGTTGAATGCAAGAGAACTAATACTACAGACTGGATAAGATGCAATGTACCAAAGAACCTTCAGGATACAAATTATGTTGTGACTGGACTCTTGGAGAACTCAGAGTACCAACTTCGTGTTACTGCTGTAAATAAAGTTGGATTCAGCCAGCCTTGTGAAGTTCCTGAAAAACACATTGCCAAGGATGTTTTTGGTACGAGCTTTAAAATCATTTATTGTATATTTTGTTAATTCTAATATATTTTAGGAAAAATAAAAATACAGTACATTATTAAAATTTTGTGTAACTTATTCCTGAAATATATAAATGTATTTTTTCTGTTATTCCAGTTGCTCCTGAGGCTGAGCTTGATGCAGAGCTGAAGGACACTGTTGTGCTAACGGCTGGAAGTAAAATGAAACTTCATGCCACAATTAAGGGTCGACCAACCCCCAGGGTCACCTGGGCCAAGATGAACACCAACATTAAGGACAGACAAGGAATCATAATGAAGACGACAGACACTGATACATTGGTTTGTGTTGAGAAAGTAAACAGATACGACGCAGGGAAATACATTCTGAATCTTGACAGTGTAAGCGGAATGAAGATGTACACAGTTATTGTCAAGGTCCTTGGTGAGTTCTGTGATAACTAGAGTTTTATTTTTATTCAGATACAGTTTTTTTTCTTAATATTTTATATGAACTAAAGTATATACTCTTATAAAATTTAACAGATACCCCTGGACCTCCACTTAATCTGATGGTAAAAGAGTCATCAAAGGACAGTGCCTCCATCCTATGGGATGCACCTCTAATTGATGGTGGAAGTGAGATTACAGGTTACATTGTTGACAAAAGAGATGCAGAAAGGAAAGCATGGTCAAATGTTTCAAACACTTGTACTAAAACATCTTTCAAGATTGATGGTTTAGAAGCTGGTAGATCTTATTGCTTCAGGGTTCTGGCTCAAAATGAGTATGGAATTGGTGAACCATGTGAAACTGTGGATGCTGTTAGAGCTTCTGGTAAGGGAAGATCATTTGTGATCAAGTAATCCTCAATTGCAAAAAAAATATTAATTTAAATATGAATGTTATAACAGTTTTGATTATATCTATTATTAAGTAAACTTATCTATATCTTCCAGAACAACCTGGACCAGTTATGGACTTTAAGACTTTGCTGGTAACCAAGGACTCTTGTACTCTTTCCTGGAAAAAACCATTCAGTGATGGTGGAAGTCGCATCATTGCGTATGTGCTTGAGGTCCTTAATGGTGAAGACAAATGGAAGGAGCTTCTTCGATCAAAGAACATGCAATATAGTGCAAAAGATCTTGTTGAAGGAAGGGAATACAAATACAGAGTATTTGCAACAAATGATTCTGGTGATGGTCCCGTGAAAGAACTAGCTGTGATCGCAAAAGATGTCCATGGTGAGATTTCATATTTTGTATTTGTATGAAAATGCCCTTGAGATCTTTCTGTTATGTTGTGTTTCAAATCTGCTCCTTATCCATTTCCATTTCTATACTATTATAGTTTATCCAAAATGTGACTTGAGGGAATTGCCTAACTTGAACTACATTGCAAAAGAAGGAAGCAATGTTCGTCTCAAGATTCCTATTAGTGGAAAGCCTGTCCCTGTTGTCACATGGAAGAAGGGAGAGGATGAAAATCTCACAGACACAGGAAGAGTGTGTGTAGAATCGACAGCTGTAAACACAACTCTCTTGATACGTGACTGCCAAAGGACAGATGCCTCAAAATACACTATCACTCTTCGCAACACTGCTGGGACTAAAGAGTCCACAATTTTTGTCAGAGTTGTTGGTAAACCAGGAATTCCAATTGCACCAATAAAATTCAAAGAAGTGACTGCAGATGGTGCAACCCTAAAATGGGGTGCTCCTAAAGATGATGGTGGATCAGCAGTTACCAACTACATTCTTGAGAAACGTGATTCCGTTACTAACATGTGGGTTACAGTGTCTTCATCTGTGGACTCAAACACTTTCAGAGTGACTGGTCTCCATGAGGGAACTGAATACATCTTTAGAGTGAGTGCAGAAAACAAATATGGAATTGGCGAAGGCCTCAAATCAGAGCCTATGGTTGCCAAGCATCCATTCAGTGAGTGGACTTTAAATTTATATATTTAATATATACTATAGATAATATCAAAGTGTAAAAATTTCACTTTCTTAATCATGATTATTTCCTCAGATGTACCAGATTCTCCTCCTCCCCCACAAGTCATGATTATGCGTCATGATTCATCAACCCTTACATGGTTAGATCCAAGGAAAACTGGAGGCTCACCAATCACAGGTACAGAAATAAATAAATGAATATGAGACAATAATAATCCTTTTTTCATAAAAATATAGCTAGGAGTAAACAATGGTAGAATAATTAGATAATTAGAATTAAACAGTATTTTTGCTTACAGGCTACCATGTTGAATTCAAGGAAAGAAACAGCATGTTATGGAAAAGAGCAAATCCAACCCCTTTGAAGATGAGAGATTTCAAAGTGACTGGCTTAACAGAAGGTCTAGAGTATGAGTTCAGAGTTATGGCTATTAATTTGGCTGGAGTTGGAAGACCAAGTCCTGCCACAGAGCCAATGGTTGCCTTGGATGCAATTGGTAAGTTAATGTTATTTTAAAAAATGTTTAGCCTAAAAAAAAAACCCTAACCCATACTATTTACCCACCCTAATGTGTGTATGGTTGATTTAATAATTTATTTGAGCATATTTCATTATAGATGCACCTGGGAAACCGGATGTGATTAGCATCACTAGAAGCACTGTAACACTTCAATGGACTGAACCTCAGTATGATGGTGGACACAGGCTAACAGGCTACATTGTTGAAAGACGTGATCTCCCAGCCAAGGTCTGGGTGAAGGCTAATACTATAAATGTTGTCGACTGTGCATATACTGTTGCAGACTTGCAAGAGGGTTGCAAGTATGAATTTAGAATCAGAGCAAAGAATGGTGCTGGAGCCATAAGTCAACCCTCTGAACAAACAGATACCCTTATGTGTACGGATGAATATGGTAAGTCTCAATTGCTCTTTTTAGTGCATGCATTGTGAGTAAATGATGTTTCATATCATCCTGGAAAATATGTAAAATAATTATGCTGATTAGTGTGTACTGACTATTTTGCAGCGGCACCAACAATTATAATCGATCCAACAGTCAAAGAGGGGCTCACTGTCAAAGCTGGAGATACAATTGTGATCACTGCAACAAGCATTCTGGGCAAACCCCAACCAACCTCTGTGTGGTCAAAGTGTGGAAAGTATTTCAAGCCTTCAGATGTGTGTCAGATAGAAACTACACCTTCTTCTTCTACTCTTTCTATCAAGTATGCCAGTAGGAAGGATTCAGGAGAGTACACAATCACAGCAAGTAACCCATTTGGTGTCAAAGAGGAAAATGTGAAAGTAACAATTTTAGATGTTCCTGGTCCACCGGGGCCAGTTGAAGCGAGTGGAATTTCATCTGAAAAAGTCACTCTGACATGGACACCACCTCATGAGGATGGAGGATCTCCAATTAAACATTACACATTGGAGAAAAGAGAAACAAGCCGTCTTCTTTGGACCATTCTTGCCGAAAAGGTTGTTGACTGCCACTTTGTTGCCAATAAACTTATTCAGGGAAATGAGTACATCTTCCGGGTTTCTGCTGTCAATAATTCTGGAGCTGGTGATGCCTCTCATTCTGAGCCAGTGAAAATGGTGGATAGATATGGTATGCTTATTTTAAAAACTCTTTCTATTTTTTACTTCCTCACTTTGTGTGTGATGCTGAACAACTCCATATGTAATGCAGTAAGGTTCTCAAAAGATATATGAATTATTTCAGGTCCCCCAGGACCGCCAGCCAAGCCAGAAGTTGAAAATGTTTGTGGAAATTCTGTTACCATTGGTTGGAGAAGACCAGCCGATGATGGAGGAAGTGATATAACAGGGTACATGGTTGAGAGGAAAGAAAAGAAGGGCATGAGATGGACACGAGCATCAAAGAAAACAATTGCTGACCTTCACTTTGAAGTGAAAGGGCTGAAAGAGGGAGTTGAATATGAATTTAAAGTAACTGCTGAGAATAAGGCTGGTTTTGGTGAGCCAAGTGAACCTTCAGTGCCTGTGAGGACAAAGCTTGTTGCAGGTAAGTGATTATTTATTGTTTTATATAATTATTTAATATGATTACAAATATTTCCCTTACATGTGTTTTATTACTTTCCAGATGTACCTGGTCCTCCAGTCAACCCAAGAGTCACAGACACAACAAAAACAACAGCTGAATTGCACTGGGGCAAACCACTTAGTGATGGTGGCATGGAAGTCACAGGATACCTTATTGAACACAAAAAGGAGGGAGAAGAAGAATGGATCAAAGATACAGCTACGCCTTTGAGGATAACTGAGTTTGTTGTACCCAATTTGCAAGCTGGAATGAAGTATCATTTCAGAATTAGCGCAATGAATGCAATAGGTGTCAGTGAACCAGCACAAACAGTGGATCATGTTGAAATTGTGGAACGTGAAGAAATCCCTGATTTAGAACTTGATGTAGAACTCAGAAGAACGTTAGTTGTTAGGGCAGGTGCCTCTATTAGAATATTTGTTCCTATTAAAGGACGTCCAACTCCCGCAGTGACTTGGACAAAAGAGGACTCACCATTGAAAACTCGTGCAATCATTGACAATACTGAATCATACACCCTGCTAGTAATTCCTGACTGTAATAGACGTGATGCAGGCAAATATGATTTAACATTAGAGAATGCTGCAGGAAAGAAGACGGCTTCGGTGGTTGTAAGGGTTCTGGATTCACCTGGACCTCCACTCAGTCTGAAACCTAAAGCAATTAACAAAGAGAGTGTCACATTGGAATGGGAAATGCCTCTTATTGATGGAGGTGCCAAGATCACCAACTACATCATTGAGAAGAGAGAGTCTACTCGTAAGGCATATGCTGCCGTGATCACACAATGTGAGACATGCTCTGTCAGAGTTTCTGATCTGGGAGAAGGTTTGGAATATTATTTCAGAGTTTTTGCTGAAAATGAGTATGGCATTGGTGAAGCAGTTGAAACCCCAGACCCAGTCAGAGTTTCTCAAGCACCAACTCCACCAGAAAATGTAACTTTTACTGATGTCACAAAGCACACAGTTAATCTTGCATGGACTAAACCAAAACATGATGGTGGAAGTAGAGTTACTGGGTATGTAATTGAGGCACAAAAGAAAGGTACAGATCAGTGGGCCCATGTGACAACTGTGAAGACTTTGAACTTTATTGTAAAAAATCTAAATGAAAATGAAGAGTATGTATTCCGTGTGATGGCCGTGAACAGCTCTGGGCGAAGTCATCCTCGTGTAAGCAAGTCTATTGTTATCAGAGAACAAAGTTCATTGCCAGAATTCGACCTCAGTGGTGTGTGTCAGAAGACAGTTATTGCCAAGGCTGGTGCTGATATAAAGGTTGAGGTGCCTGTTTCTGGACGTCCTAAACCAACAGTTTCCTGGCAGAAAGACAGTCAAGCCCTCAAATTAACACAAAGAACAATGACTGAAACTACTTCTACCTCAACTATCTTGATCATAAATGAATGTTTAAGAAGTGACAGTGGAATATACTCAATGACAGGAAAGAACATTGTTGGCTCAGTCACAGACAGCATCACAGTAAAGGTGCATGATGTGCCTGGACCACCAAAGGGACCAATTCAACTGGACAAAATATCTCGTACTTTCATTGAGTTCTCATGGGAATCTCCTGAAAATGATGGAGGTGTACCAATCAATAACTATGTAGTTGAAATAAGGGAAACTACCAGCCAGACATGGGTAGAACTTTCCTCGTTGATTATTCGTACAACATTTAAAGCAACTCGTTTAACTACAGGAGTTGAATATCAATTCCGTGTCAAGGCCAAAAACAGATATGGTACAGGGCCCCCAATAACTTCAGAGTCAGTGGTTGCTGCATATCCTTTTAAGGTGCCTGGGCCACCTGGAACACCTAATGTTGTTGCTTTCACTAAGGACACAATGACAGTTGGCTGGAATGAGCCCGTTTCTGATGGGGGAAGCGAGGTCATTGGTTACCACGTTGAAAGGAAAGAGAGAAACAGTATTGTTTGGCACAGAATTAGCAAGGCACTTGTGGTCGGAAATCTGTTCAAATCTACAGGACTTGAGGATGGTGTGGCATATGAATTCCGTGTGATTGCAGAAAACATAGCTGGAATTGGAAAACCAAGCAAATCTTCTGAACCAATGCTTGCTCTTGATCCAGTGGATCCACCTGGTCAACCTGTCCCAATACATGTGTCGAAAAACGCAATTACTATTCAGTGGACAAAGCCAGAGTATGATGGTGGTTTCAAAATTACTGGCTATACTGTGGAAAAGAGAGATCTTCCAGCTGGGCGCTGGATAAGAGCTAACTTTACAAATATCATTGAAACCACTTTCACAATAAGTGGTCTAACACAAGAAGCATCTTATGAATTCCGTGTACTTGCAAGAAATTCAGCAGGCTCTATTAGTAACCCATCAGATCCATCAGACCCAGTTATTTGCAAAGATGACATTAAAGAACCAAGAATTATGGTTGATGCTAAATTTAAAGATATTGTCCTTGTCAAAGCCGGAGAACTATTCAAACTTGAGGCTGATGTTGCAGGCCAGCCATTACCATCCATGGTTTGGACAAAAGATGGAAAAGATGTTGAAAACACATATAAACTACAGATTAAAATGACAGAAATGGCATCAGTCTTGATCAACAAGGATTCTGTCAGAAGGGATGGGGGTGAGTTTATTCTGACAGCAACAAATATTGGTGGCTTTGTTAAGCATGTTTTCAATGTGAAGGTTCTTGATAGACCAGGACCACCTACAGGACCTCTGGCAGTTTCTGATGTTACAGCCGAAAAGTGTGTGCTCACATGGAATCCACCTACAGATGATGGCGGCGCAAACATTGAACACTATGTTATTGAAAAACGTGAGTCAAGCAGACTTGCTTGGACAAATGTGGCATCCGAATTGCGGGTTAATCAGTACCAAGCAACAAAGTTACTCAAAGGAAATGAATACATTTTCAGAGTTATGGCTGTTAACAAGTATGGTGTTGGAGAACCTCTTGAGTCTGAAGCAATAATTGCAGAAAATCCGTATGTACCACCAGATCCTCCACAAACACCTGAGATAACAGCAGTCACTAAAGATTCAGCTGTTCTCTGTTGGGGTGCACCAGCTAGCAATGGGGGAAGTGAAATCACAAACTATCGCATTGAGAAAAGAGACAGAATTAGTTTGCGCTGGGTAAAATGCAACAAGAAGAATGTTACTGACTTGCATTTCAAGGTTACTGCTCTTGTTCCAGGCCATGAATATGAATTCAGAGTTTTTGCTGAAAATGCAGCAGGAATAAGTGAACCTAGTCCTTCATCACCATTTGTCAAGGCCACAGATACTCTTTTCAAACCAGGTCCACCTGGCAATCCAAGAATCCTGGACACAACAAGTTCTTCCATCACGCTTGCATGGAACAAACCAGTTTATGATGGTGGTTCTGAAATTACTGGCTATATTGTTGAGACATGTCTCCCTGGAACTGAAGAGGAGGAATGGACAATTGTCTCTCCTGCAGATGGTGTAAAAGGAACATCATTTACAATTAAAAATCTTAAAGAAAATCAGGAATACAAAATCAATGTGTCTGCTTTAAATAGCGAGGGTATTGGAGATATAGCACCTGTACCAGGTTCACCCAAAGCAGAGGAACGACTCATACCACCAGAGGCTGACCTTGATGCTGAACTTCGTAAGATTGTGAACATCAGAGCTTGCAATACATTAAGACTTTTTGTGCCAATAAGAGGTAGACCAACACCAGAGGCCAAATGGTCAAGAGAGAATGATGAGCCTTTAGACAGAGCTACCATTGAAACTACATCATCTTTTACATCACTGGTTATTGGAAATGTGAATAGATTTGACAGTGGCAAATACAATTTGACTGTAGAAAACAGCTCTGGAACAAAGACAGTCTCTGTGATAGTTAGAGTTCTAGACACACCTGGAGCACCACAAAACTTTAAAATAAGTCAGATTACTAAAGAATCTGTTTCACTTGTTTGGGATCCTCCACTTAACAATGGTGGCACAAAAATTAAGAATTACATTGTTGAGAAGCGTGAGGCTACAAGAAAGGCATATGCTACAGTAAATGCCAATTGTCACAAAACTACTTGGACAGTTGACCAGCTCCAAGAAGGATGCAACTACTACTTCAGAGTTCTAGCAGAAAATGAATATGGCATTGGTCTTCCTATTGAGACCGGTGAATCTGTTAAAGTGTCTGAGAAGCCACTTCCCCCTGGCAAGATTACACTTCAGGATGTTACAAAGAATAGTGTAACATTATCATGGGAAAAACCTGAACATGATGGAGGAAGCAGAGTGGTTGCATATGTTGTAGAGATGCAGAGCAAAGGGAGTGAAAAATGGACACAAGCTATGATTGTCAAGGTACCTGAAGCAGTTATTACTGGGCTTGCACCTGGTGAAGAGTATATGTTCCGCGTTTCTGCAAGAAATGAAAAGGGAACCAGTGATCCTCGTCAAATTGGTGTGCCTGTGATTGCAAAGGACCTTGTAATTGCTCCATCTGCTAAGATGTTGTTCTCCACATTCAGTGTCCTGGCAGGAGAGGATTTAACAATTGATATTCCATATAATGCTCGTCCCAAAGCTGCCATTTCATGGCTAAAGGAATGTGTTCCACTTAAACGAACAACCAGGGTTAACTTTTCCTCTACGGATACACAACTGAATTTAGTAATCAAAGAGGCCTGTAGAGATGATGTTGGCCAGTATAATGTTAAACTATCAAATACAGCTGGTGAGACAACAGTGGATATTGGAATCGTTGTTCTTGACAAACCTGGTCCACCAACAGGCCCAGTTAAAGTTGAAAAAGTAACATCCGACAGTGTTACCATTTCTTGGAAGCCACCAGAGTATGATGGGGGCTGCACCATTAATAATTACATAGTAGAAAAGAAGGACACATCAACAACTAATTGGCAGGTTGTAGCAGCAAATATAGCAAGAACTCAAATTAAGGCAGGAAGACTGAAGACAGGGTCTGAATATCAATTTAGAATTGCAGCAGAGAACAGATATGGAAAAAGCCCTCTGCTCGTGTCTGAATGTGTTGTTGCACAGTATCCTTACAAACTACCGGGCCCTCCTGGAACACCTTTCTTGCAGTCTTCCACTAAAGATAGTATGGTGATAGTGTGGAATGAACCTGTCATTGATGGTGGAGCAACAATCTTAGGGTATCACCTGGAGAAAAAAGAGAGAAATAGCATTCTTTGGATGAAATTAAACAAAAGTCTAATAAAAGACACAACTTTAAAGACCACAGGGCTTGAAGAAGGCATGGAGTATGAATTCAGAGTTTATGCTGAAAACATTGTTGGCATTGGGAAGGCTAGTAAGATCTCAGAGGGATATGTTGCCAGAGATCCTTGTGATCCTCCTGGAACACCAGAAGCCATTAGAATCACAAAGGATTCTATTACAATTGCATGGACCAAGCCAGAGTATGATGGTGGGAGCAAAGTCACTGGATATATTGTAGAAAAGAAGGAATTACCTGCAGGACGCTGGATGAAAGCAAACTTCACCAATGTCATAGAGACTGAGTATACTGCAACAGGTCTTACAGAGGACCAGAAATATGAGCTCCGTGTCATTGCAAGAAATGCTGCTGGAGTTTTCAGTGATCCTTCATATAGTACTGGACCTATCATGGCAAAAGATGAGATTGAACCACCATGTATCAGCATAGATCCAGAGTACACTCAAACAATTGTTGTAAATGCAGGAGATAACTTTAAGATTGATGCAGATGTTCATGGAAAACCAATACCAGCAATTTGTTGGATGAAGGGTGAGCAAGAACTTGGAAACACCATATATCGTGAAATTAAAAGCACAAATAACTATACCTGTTTGACTGTAAAGGAGGCCAAACTTGCTGATGGAGGTCAATATACTCTACTACTGCAAAATCCTGGAGGAGAGAAAGCTGTGCAAGTCAATATATGTGTCCTGGATAAGCCTGGACCACCTGAGGGACCCATCTCTATCACAGGTGTAACCAGTGAGCAGTGCTGCCTTGCTTGGAATCCACCTAAACAAGATGGTGGCAGCAAGATCAGTCATTATATTGTTGAAAAAAGAGAGACTAGCAGACTGCTTTGGACAGTTGTTGAACCCAAAGTACAAGCTGTAAATCTTAAAATAACAAAACTCCTTGAAGGAAATGAATATATCTTCAGAGTTTTTCCTGTGAACAAATTTGGTGTTGGTGAGCCCCTCCAATCAAGTGCAGTTGTTATCAAGAATCCATTTACATCCCCAGATGCACCAAAAGGAGTAGAAGTTAATAATGTCAAGAAAGATTCTATGGTATTAACCTGGGAGGCCCCAGCAAATGATGGGGGTACTCCTATCACTGGTTATATTATTGAGAAACATGACAAGGAAGGCATTAGATGGACCAGATGCAACATGAAAACAGTTACTGACCTCACATTTAAAGTTACTGGACTCATGGAGAAGCATCTGTATGAATTCAGAGTTTCTGCTGAGAATACTGCTGGAGTTAGTGAAGCAAGTTCTGCAACTGTATTCTATAAAGCCCTGGATCCTGTATTCAAGCCAGGTCCACCCCATAATCCAAAAGTGTTAGATATGACAAAATCATCAGTTGCACTTGCATGGGGAAAGCCTATTTATGATGGTGGCTGTGAAGTTCAGGGATATATTGTTGAAGCATGTGAAGTAAAAGCAGCCATAGAGGAGGTAATGACTCAGATAGAAGAAGGAAAGGCTGCAGGTGAATCAGTTGCCGAAGAATGGACAATGTGCACTCCACCAACAGGTGTTAAAGTCACACGCTTTACTGTGGAAAATCTGAAAGAAAAACAGGAATACAAATTCAGGGTTTGTGCTGTTAACAAGGTTGGTGTTGGGGAGCATGCTGATGTCACTGGACCTATTCTGCCAGAGGACAAAACAGAGGATCCAGATCTTGATATTGATGCTGAATTTAGAAAGGTTGTACGTATTAAAGCTGGAGGTTCTCTTAGGATGTTCATCCCTTTCAAAGGAAGACCAACCCCACAAATCAAATGGGAAAAAGATGGTGAGCAGATTAAGGAAACAGCACAGACTGAGATCACCAGCAGTCACACTTCTCTTGTTATTGATAAAGTCAACAGGGCAGACAGTGGTAAATATATTGTGACTGCAGAAAACTCTGCAGGTGCAAAATCTGAAACAATTATTGTGAAAGTCCTTGACACTCCAAGCGCTCCACTCAACTTCAAAGTGAAAGAAATTACAAAGGAATCTGTTACTCTTATGTGGGAGCCTCCATTTTTAGATGGTGGAGCAAAAATCAAAAATTACATTGTTGAGAAACGTGAGAGTACAAGAAAAACATTCTCTGCTGTTGTAACAAATTGCCACAAACTCTCATGGAAAGTTGAACCACTTCAAGAAGGTTGCAGTTACTATTTCAGAGTGCTTGCAGAAAATGAATATGGTGTAGGGCTACCTGCAGATATCACAGATCCTTTGAAGGTTTCAGAGGTCCCACAGTGTCCTGGAAAATTAAGTGTTGTAGATGTTACTAAAACAAGTGTGTCTCTTTCTTGGGAAAAGCCAGTTCATGATGGTGGCAGTAGAATACTTCAATACCTCGTTGAAATGCAGGTCAAGGGTAATGATAAATGGTCTGGTTGTGCCAACGTAAAAACATTGGAAGCTGTAATCAAAAATTTGAACCCTGGAGAAGAGTACACTTTTAGAGTAGTTGCGGTCAATGAAAAAGGAAAGAGTGACCCAAGAACACTTGCTGTCCCTGTGGAAGCAAAAGATCTTGTCTTTGGGCCTGATGCAAGACCTTCATTTAGCAACTACAGTGTTCTTGTTGGAAAGGACCTTCAAGTTGAAATCCCAGTTTCTGGTCGTCCAAAGCCAAAAATCACATGGACAAAGGATGGTGCAGCCCTGAAATTCACAACAAGGGTTAACATTTCTAATACAGCATACAGCACTGTTCTTAACATCAAAGAAGCAGCAAGAGAAGATGGTGGAATGTATGGAATAAATGTGTCCAATATTGTTGGACAAAAGGATGCAACCATTGAAATCATCACTCTTGATAAACCTGGCCCACCAACTGGCCCTGTGCGATTTGATGAGATAACTGTGTCAAGTGTTACATTGTCATGGGATCCTCCAAAGTATACTGGTGGTTGCCCAATTTCAAATTACATTGTGCAAAAGAGAGACACAACTACTACAACATGGGAGAATGTTGCAATTTCATTGGCACGAACAACACTTAAAGTACAACGACTCAAGACTGGATCTGAATACCAATTCAGAATCATTGCTCAAAATCGGTATGGCAAGAGCTATGCTTTGGACTCTCCAGCTGTTGTTGCTCAGTACCCATACAGAGAACCAGGACCTCCAGGAACTCCATTTGTGTCATGCCTATCAAAGGACCATATGATTGTTGAGTGGCATGAGCCAGTTTCAGATGGAGGCAGTAAAGTTATTGGATATCATCTTGAAAGGAAGGAGAGAAACAGCATTCTTTGGACAAAGATAAATAAGACACTGATTCAAGAAACACGATTCAAAACCAGTCCTTTAGAGGAAGGTATCGAATATGAGTTCAGAGTCTATGCTGAAAATATTGTTGGGATTGGCAGATGCAGCAAAATCTCAGAGGGCTTCTTTGCTCGTGATCCATGTGATCCTCCTGGAACCCCAGAAGCTTTCCATGTGAGCAAAAATTCCATAAGTATCCAATGGACCAAGCCAGAGTATGATGGTGGAAGTGTTATCACTGGTTATACTGTTGAGAAACGTGATCTTCCAGAAGGACGCTGGATGAAAGCAAGTTTCATAAATGTTATTGAAACCAATTTTACTGTCACTGGGCTGACAGAAGGTGCCAAGTATGACTTCAGGGTAATCGCAAAGAATGCGGTTGGAACTATCAGCAAACCATCATATAATAGTGGACCAATTGCTGCCTTGGATGAGGTAGAGCCACCAAAGTTCTCAATTGACCCAGAATACACGCAGACTCTTATTGTGAATGCAGGAGATACATTCAAACTTGATGCTGATGTCCATGGTAAGCCAGTTCCCACAATCCAGTGGTTTAAGAATGACAAAGAGCTTGAAAACACAATTAGATGTGACATCAAAAACACTGACAACAGAGCACTAATTATTGTAAAAGATGCAGCTAGACAAGATGGTGGAAACTACACTCTTCAGCTCACTAATATTGCTGGCTCTCAGAATGTTCAATTCAACGTGAAAGTGCTTGATAAACCAGGCCCACCAGATGGTCTTCATGTCAGAGGTGTGTCCAGTGATAAATGCACACTAATATGGCGTGCTCCACTTGATGATGGAGGAAACACTATAACTCATTACATTCTTGAGAGACGTGAGACAAGTCGACTTGCTTGGACTGTGGTCTGTAATGACTGCAAAACAACAACATACAAAGTGACAAAGCTCCTTGAAGGTAACGAATATATATTCCGTGTCATGGCTGCCAACAGTTATGGTGTTGGTGAGCCAGTTGACGCACCATCTGTAATAATGAAAGATCCATTTAGTCACCCTGGATCACCACAAATTATTGAGGTAACAAATATTGCAAAGGACTCCATGACTGTTTGCTGGAGTGCACCAGATACTGATGGTGGAAGTGAAATTCTTGGATACATAATTGAGAAGAGAGACCGGTCTGGAATTAGATGGACAAGATGCAACAGACAAAAAGTAACTGATGTATGCTTCAGAGTGCATGGCCTCATTGAGGATCATGAGTATGAATTCAGAGTGTCATCTGAAAATGCAGCTGGAATTGGAGAACCAAGCTTGCCAACTTCATACTACAAGGCTTGTGATCCCAAATACAAACCTGGCTCACCCACGCATGCACATGTTGTTGATACCACCAAAACTTCAATTACAGTAGCATGGGGAAAACCGCTTGATGATGGCAGATGTGCAATTCAAGGATATATTGTTGAGATCTGCAAAGCTGAAGAGGAAGAATGGATTATGTGTACTCCCCCTACTGGCTTACGTGTCAACAAATTTGAAATTACTAAGCTAACAGAACAACAAGAATATAAGATTCAAATATGTGCCATTAATAAATTAGGTGTTGGAGAGCCTGCAGTTATTGCAGGAACTTCCAAGCCTGAGGACAAGCTAGAGACCCCTGAAATTCACCTTGATTCAGAGCTGAGGAAAGGCATTGTCATTCGCGCTGGAGGATCAGTAAGAATCAATGTACCATTTAGAGGTAGACCAGTACCAGATATGAAATGGACTAAAGATGAAGGTGAATTGTCAGAAAAGACAGTGCTTGAAAAGGGTCTTAACTTCACCCAGCTTTCAATTGACTCATGTGATAGAAGGGACTCTGGAAAATACACTGTGACTCTACAGAACAGCAGTGGCTCTGTATCTGATTTTGTGTCTGTTAAGGTGTTAGATACACCTGGAGCACCACTAAACCTTGTAGTTAAGGATATCAAGAAAGACTCTGTCACACTTGTTTGGGAACCACCACTTATTGATGGAGGAGCAAAGATCAAGAATTATGTTATTGACAAGCGTGAATCCACAAGAAAGGCCTATGCAAATGTAACAACCAAGTGCAGCAAGACAACTTATAAGGTGGAAAATCTTGCAGAGGGAGCCATGTATTACTTCAGAGTTATGGCTGAAAATGAATTTGGTGTTGGTTTGTCCGTTGAAACAAAAACTGCTTCAAAGGCTTCTGAAGTACCTCAGCCAGTTGGAAAGGTTATGTTGACCGATGTGACAAAAGTAAGTGCATCGCTGGCCTGGGAAAAACCAGAGCATGATGGAGGTAGTAGGATTGCAGGCTACTTGATTGAAATGCAGCCAAAGGGAACTGACAAATGGGGTGTAGCAACAAATGTAAAAACATGTGAAGGAACAGTCAATGGACTAACTGGTGGTCAGGAATATTTGTTCCGTGTTCTGGCATACAATGAGAAAGGCAAAAGTGAGCCAAAGCCCCTTGCTGCTCCAGTTATTGCCAATGACCTCACAATTGAACCAAGCTTTAAGTTGCAGTTCAATACATATAGTGTCAAATCTGGAAAGGATTTCAAACTTGAAATACCTATTTTTGGACGTCCAAAACCAAAGATCACTTGGTCAAAGGATGGGCAGTCACTTAAAGTAACATCGAGAATTACTACTTCCAACACACCAATATCGACAATCCTACAGATAACTGAAGCCTGTAAAGATGACCTTGGAAAGTATTCAGTTACTGCAACAAACAGTGTTTGTTCAGTTACAGAAGATATCAGTATTATTATCCTGGATAAACCTGGTCCACCCACCGGACAAATAAAAGTGAACGAAGTAAGTAACAGTTCTGTGTCCATATCATGGGAGCCTCCAGAGTATACAGGGGGCTGCCAAGTAAAGCATTACAGTGTTGAAAAGAGAGACAACACTGAAACTACTTGGCAAGTTGTTGCTGGATCAGTTGCCAGGACATCCCTCAAAATTACTAAGCTGAAAACTGGTGCTGAGTATCAATTTAGAGTCATTGCTGAGAACAGATATGGTAAGGGTGCTCCTTTAGAGTCAAAGTCCATTGTTGTGCAGTATCCTTACAAACCACCTGGGCCACCTGGTACTCCATATGTGAAATCTGCCACCAAGGATCAAATGACAATTGAGTGGAATGAACCAGTCAATGATGGTGGCAGTTCAGTGATTGGATACCACCTTGAAAGTAAAGAAAGAACAAGTATTCTATGGACAAAACTAAACAAAACCCTTATCACTGATACTGTTTTCAAAATATGCAATCTTGAAGAAGGCATCGGATATGAATTCAGAGTATATGCTGAAAACATTGTTGGTATTGGCAGAGCAAGCAAAGTTTCAGAGAGCTTTGTTGCCCGTGACCCATGTGATCCCCCTGGAACGCCTGAGGCTGTTGCAATATCTAAGAACCACATTAAGATTCAGTGGACAAAGCCTCAGTATGATGGTGGCAGCAAAGTGACTGGATATATTGTTGAAAGAAGAGATTTGCCTGAGGGCCGATGGATGAGGGCAAACTTTACCAATGTAATTGAGACAGAATTTACAATCACAGGCTTAACAGTAAACAATCAGTATGAATTTAGAGTAATTGCAAGAAATGCAGTGGGTGTCTTCAGCGAGCCTTCAGACAGCACTGGGACAATTACTGCTACAGATGAAATTGAACCTCCTAGTGTTTCAATGGATCCTAAGTACAAGGATGTCATTGTTGTCAATTCTGGAGACAACTTAGTTTTGGATGCAGATATACATGGAAAACCCACACCTGATATTCAATGGCTAAAAGAAGGAAAGGAAATGGATAAGACACTGCGCATTGAAGTAAGAAGTACACAAAAACATGCTTCTATTACAATTAAAGACTGTACTAGATTGGATGGTGGACACTATGACCTAATTCTAAGCAACAGTGGTGGAACAAAAACAATTCCAATAACAGTAAAAGTTCTTGATAGACCAGGTCCACCAACCGGACCGCTACAAGTAGCTGGCATCATGTCTGATAGGTGTAATCTGTCCTGGTCTGAGCCATCTCAGAATGGAGGTGCTAATATTTCTCATTACATCCTTGAGAAAAGGGAAACTAGCAGGCTATCATGGACTGTTGTTGATTCCAATATTCCTACTGTGGGTTATAAAGTGACCAAGCTCCTCTCTGGTGATGAGTATATCTTTAGAGTTATGGCTGTCAATAAATATGGCATTGGTGAACCTCTGGAATCTGAGGCAATTATTGCATGCAATCCTTACAAGCCACCAAGTGCACCATCAACACCGGAGGCAAGTGAGATAACAAAGGATTCAATAACTTTGTCCTGGGGTGCCCCAGAGAGCAATGGTGGAACAGAAATTACATGTTATCACTTAGAGAAGCGTGACAAAGATGGTGTAAGATGGACAAAATGCAACCGGCAGAAGCTTTCAGATCTGCATTTCAAAGTAACTGGTCTGTCAGAGGGACATTTCTATGAATTCCGTGTGTCTGCTGAGAATGAAGCTGGTGTGGGAGTATCTAGTGACTTATCACTGTTTTATAGAGCAATAAATGCCACAACTCCCCCAGGTCCACCTCATCACCCTAAAGTGACAGATCACACAAACTCATCTGTCTCTCTGTCTTGGGGAAAACCCGCTACAGATGGTGGTTCATATATTAAAGGTTATATTGTTGAGATGAAAGAGATTTCTTCAGAGGAATGGATCATATGCACGCCTGCAGCTGGTATTCAAACAACATGCCTCACAGTTGAAAACCTAAAGGAAAATGCTGAATATAATTTTCGTATTTGTGCAATTAATTCTGAAGGCATTGGTGAGCCTGCTGATGTTCATGGATCGGTGACTGCATCTGAAAGAATTGAAGCACCTGAGATTGAACTTGATGCTGATCTCAGAAAAGTTGTCTCTGTTCGTGCAGGAGGATCCCTTCGTCTTTTCATTACAATTAGAGGTCGACCTGAGCCATCCGTCAAATGGGAAAAGGATGATGGAACTCTAACTGAGCGTGCTCAGATTGAGTCCACAAGTTCATACACCATGCTTGTAATTGACAATGTCAACAGATTTGACAGTGGAAAATATGTCTTAACACTTGAGAACAAGAGTGGTACAAAATCTGCATTTGTGAATGTCAGGGTGCTTGATACACCAAGTGCTCCACAGAAGTTTGAAGTGAAAGATGTAAAGAAAGATTCAGTGACTCTCTGCTGGGACCCACCACTTACAGATGGCGGGGCTAAAATAACCAATTACGTGGTTGAGAAGAGAGAATCTACAAGAAAAGCTTTTACAACTGTCACAAGCAACTGCACACAGACTTCCTTTAAAGTTGATGAATTGCAGGAAGGAGGCATTTTCTACTTCCGTGTGTGTGCTGTTAATGAGTATGGCTTTGGTGTGATGGCAGGAACAAAGAATCCTGTTAAGGTTGCACAGGCACCTATGCCTCCAGGAAAAGTAACTATTGTGGATGTCACAAAGAATAGTGTGACACTTACTTGGGTGAAGCCTGTACATGATGGAGGCAGTAAAATCATCTGCTACAATGTAGAGATGCAAAGCAAGACTAGTGACAAATGGGGTGTAAGCTGCACAGTTAAGGTTCCAGAGGCTACTGTGAGCAACCTAACACCTGGTGAAACATATTCATTCAGAGTTATTGCAATGAATGAGAAAGGCAGGAGTGAGCCTCAAGAACTTGGTGTACCTGTTGTAGCTAAAGATATTGAAATTGAACCCTCTGTTCATCTGTTGTTTAATACTTACAGTGTTAAAGCTGGAGCTGATCTTACTGTGGAAGTTCCTGTGAGAGGCAGGCCTAAGCCAGTTGTGTCATGGAAGAAGGATGGCCTTCCTTTGAGGCAAACAACCTCTCTTTCAATTGTAAACACTAAGGTGTCAAGCAAAATTGTCATCAAAGAAGCTGCTATTGAACATGTTGGTAAATATGAATTCACTCTTGCTAATACAGCAGGCACCATGTCCACAGATATCGGCATTGTTGTTCTTGATAAACCTGGACCACCAGCTTCAGTGAAGGTTGACGCTGTGACTTCTGACAGTATTACATTGTTATGGGCCCCTCCAGAATATGATGGTGGATGCTCCATCAATAATTATATTGTTGAGAAGAGAGATACCAACACAACAGAGTGGCAGATTGTTTCAACAAATGTTGCCAGAACCTCACTCAAGGTACCTCGATTGACAAAAGGTTCTGAGTACCAGTTCCGCATCTATGCAGTGAATCGGTATGGAAAGGGCAAGCCAATTGACTCTCCAGGCATTACTGCGGAGTACACATTCAAACAGCCTGGCCCACCTTCTACACCCCGTGTTGCTCATGCCACAAAGGTCTTCATGCTTGTCACATGGAATGAGCCAGTTAATGATGGTGGTAGCACGGTCCTTGGCTATCATTTAGAACGCAAGGAGAGAAGCAGTATTCTTTGGACAAAGGTGAACAGGACACTCATCAAGGATACTGAATACAAAGTAACGGGTATTGAGGCAGGTATGATGTATGAATTCCGTATCTATGCTGAAAATATTGCTGGAATTGGCAAGGCAAGCAAAGCCAGCGAGGCCATAGCTGCACGAGATCCTTGTGATCCTCCAGGTCAACCTGAGATAACTAGCATTACCAAGTCTTCTGTATCTCTTTCTTGGACAAAGCCTGAATATGATGGTGGAGCCAAAGTCACTGGTTACTTAATTGAACGTAGAGATCTCCCAGAGGGTCGCTGGATAAGATGCAATTTTACCAATGTTGTAGAGACTTACTTTGATATTACTGGACTTACATTGAATGAGCAATATGATTTCCGTGTTATTGCAAAGAATGCTGCTGGGCTATTCAGTGAGCCATCCTACAACACCGGTCCTATTACAGTTAAAGATAATGTAGATCCACCACGCATTATGATGGATGTCAAGTTCAGAGATGTTGTGGTGGTAAAATCTGGGGAAACCCTGAAGATTAATGCTGACATTGCAGGGCGCCCTCTACCAGTTGCAGCTTGGTCAAAAGATGGTCATGCAATTGAACACAAGGCAAGAATTCAGATAACTGGATCAGATACTAGCACTATGATATTAATTAAAGACTGCAAAAGGAGTGACTCTGGGCAGTATGCTTTGACATTGCAGAATATTGCTGGAAGTGTCACAACACCAGTAAACTGTGTTATTCTTGATAAACCAGGACCTTCAGCAGGGCCATTGTCAGTAACGGGCCTCACAGCAGAGGAATGCACATTGTCATGGGGCCCACCGCAAGAAATTGGTGGCTCTGAGGTAATACATTATGTTATTCAGAAAAGAGAGACCAGCCGACTGGCATGGACTCTTGTACATGGAGAGGTCAAAACCACAACATTTAAGGTCACTAAGCTCCTAAAAGGAAATGAGTACATATTCAGAGTATTAGCTGTCAACAAGTTTGGACTTGGTGAAGCCCTTGAAAGTGAAATTGTCAAGGTCAATGATCCATACACTATCCCAACAGCCCCATCAAATGTTGAAATTACAAGTGTAACTAGTGAGGAAATTAATCTAACTTGGACAAAGCCTGCATCTGATGGAGGCAGTGAGATCCTTGGATATATAATTGAAAGGCGAGAGAAATCTGGTCTTCACTGGGTTCGTGTGAACAGGGAGCTTGTGACAAACCTAACAGCTGTGATATCAAAAGTAAGAAGAGGATGTGAATATGAGTTTAGAGTTTATGCTGAAAATGCGGCAGGTGTAGGTCCAGCCAGTGACCCATCTCCTTCAGCAAGAGCAGAGGATGAGCTTTTGGTGCCATCCCCACCAACTAAACCAAGGATTTTGGATCATACCAAGAATTCTATTACTATTGCCTGGAAAAAGCCATTATCTGACGGTGGTGCACAGATCCTAGGATACACTGTAGAATATAAGAAATCTGAGGATGAGGAATGGATAGTGGCTATTCAGATGACAAAGAGCAATGAATTCACCATTTCTGGTCTTGCAGCTGATGTAGAGTATGTATTTGCTGTTAAAGCAATCAACAAAGTTGGTGTCAGTGAGCAGTCACCTGTCTGTGAGCCCCAGTCAGCAACTGAGAGAAAGGAGGAACCTGAGTTTGACATTGACATTGAAATGCGAAAGACTTTATTAGTCAAGCATGGCAATTCGTTTACTTTAACAGCACCATTTAAGGGAAAGCCAGTTCCTTCAATTACGTGGAATAAAGAGGAAATTGATCTCAAAGCAAGGGCGAGCATAGAAACAACGGAAACATACACATCTCTTACTATTGAGAAAGCAACAAGAAATGACTCTGGACAATACATTGTTACTTTGGACAATGGTGTTGGAACTGCATCTTTGCCCATGGTGGTCAAAGTCCTTGATACTCCTGGGCCACCAACTAACGTGAAGATTACAGAAGTCACAAAAGACTCTGCTACAGTTACTTGGGGACCTCCAGAGAACGATGGAGGAGATGCTGTTAAGGCTTATAATGTTGAGAAACGTGAAGCAAGTAAAAAGGCTTGGGTATGTGTAACAAGCAACTGTCACAGTCTAACATACAAGGTTGAAGACTTGCTAGAAGGTGCAATGTACTACTTCAGAGTTACTGGAGAAAATGAGTTTGGAACAGGTGTACCAACTGAAACTAAAGATGGAACCAAGATCACAGGTATAAACCACTACCAGATTTATTTGTCTTAAAATTAGAAAATAAAAGGTTTATATGAATATATGTATTCTTTCTGTTTTAAATATGATTTTAACTTTGCACCAACAGAAAAACCAAGTCCACCTGCTAGACTCGGCGTTACTGCAGTAACAAAGAATAGCATCACCATTGCATGGTCAAAGCCAGAGTATGATGGTGGAAGCCGAATTACTAGCTACCTCATTGATGCCCTTGAAAAAGGACAACAGAAATGGGTTAAATGTGCCAATGTTAAAACCAACACCCACATAATTAAGGGCCTGAGGGAAAATGCAGAATACTTGTTCAGAGTTCGCGCTGAGAATCACGCTGGACTCAGTGAACCAAAAGAAATGATAATCCCTGTGGTTGTGAAAGATCAGTTGGGTGAGTCTTAATTAATTTAATTTATTCCGTGTTTATTATATTCAAATAATCTATTAATATTATAATTAAATTTTCTTTCATTGTTCTTAACAGATGCCCCTGAGTTTGATATGAAGAACTTCCCACATAACACTGTTTATGTGAGAGCAGGATCAAATCTTAAATTTGAGCTTCCTCTCTCTGGTAAACCAATGCCAAAGGTCACAATGACAAGAGGCAATGTTCCAGTTAAGTGCGGCAAGAGATTCAGCTTTGAAGTAACCCCTGAAAGCCTTAATGTCAGCCTCAAGGAAAGTATTGCAAGTGATGCTGGAAGATATGACATTGTCGCCTCAAACACAAGTGGAACAACTAAGATGTTTGTAAACATACTGGTCCTGGATAGACCAGGTCCTCCAGTTGGTCCTGTTGAAGTTAGTGGGGTGGGAGAGACAAGCTTGTGTCTCAAATGGCTCCCACCTCTGTATGATGGTGGCAGTCCTGTCACAAACTATGTTGTTCTTAAACGTGAAACAAGTACTCCAGCATGGACAGAAGTGTCATCCACAATTGCAAGAAGTGATATTAAAGTCACCAAACTTACAAAGGGAGAAGAATACCAGTTCAGGATTAAGGCTGAGAATCGCTTTGGCATCAGTGACCATATTGATTCTCAGTCAGTTACAGTTAAGCTTCCATACAGTGAGTACTTGGATACTGTACATTTGCAATTGTTTCTAGTTATGTCTCAATTTTTTTTTCTAAACCTCTGCTGGTTTACTGTATGTTTTAGCTATTCCTGGTCCACCATCAACACCATGGCTGAGCCATGTGTCAAGGGAAAGCCTCACTGTTTGCTGGAATGAGCCAGTAGTAGATGGTGGAAGCTTGGTCTTTGGATACCACGTCCAAATGAAAGAAAGAAGCAGCATCCTTTGGCAGACGGTGAACAAAATAGCAATCCCTGCAACTCAAATTAGAGTGACAAATATATGTCCTGGAATGATTTACGAATTCAAAGTAGCTGCAGAGAATGCAGCTGGTATTGGAAAGTTCAGCAAGACATCAGATGAAGTGCTGGCGATCGATGCCTGTGGTAAGCTTAAATAATAATACTAATTAAAAGACAATTCTGTACAAAGGATTTGTGTCAAGTTTCTCTAAATTTCTGTGCCAAATAATCTTTGTTTTATTTTAGAACCACCGGCAAATGTGAGAATTTCTGAGGTTACAAAAAATTCAGTAAGCCTTGTATGGCAGAAGCCTCCATTTGATGGTGGAAGCAAAATCACTGGCTACATGGTTGAGCGAAGAGATGCTCCAAATGGCAGATGGACAAAGGCAAACTTTACCAATGTCATTGATACAAATTTCACTGTGTCAGGCTTGACTCAGGATCAGTCATATGAATTTAGGATTTTCGCCAGAAATGCAGTTGGCTCAGTTAGCAACCCATCTCTAATTGCAGGACCAGTAACTTGTGTTGACATTTCTGGTAAGTGCATTGCTTCAACATTGCTTGTTTATTTAATGTCATTCCTAACAATGAGTCTCTTTATTACACACATTTTTCCATTTTTCCCTAATTCTAGGTGCTCCAGTAATTGACCTGCCCCCAGAGTATTTGGATGTTGTGCAATACAAAGCTGGTGCATCATTCAAAATCAAAGTGGGAATATTTGCTAAACCCTTGCCAACTATTGAATGGCTTAAAGACGAAAAGGAATTAGTGTCAAGTGCACATCTGTCAATTGAGAACACAACTGACTCATCAGCCATCCTCATTAAAGATTCTACTCGTCGTAATACTGGAACCTATGAGCTCAAAATCAAGAATGTGTTTGGCACAGCATCTGCTTCTGTCAGAATACAGATTTTAGGTATGTAATAATTTTTTGTCAAAAATACGTATAAATGTAATTTCAATGTCTTATCCACCTCTTTTAATGACCTACTTATTTCCTAATTGTAAATTAATAAATTTTCATTCCATAAATAGACAAACCTGGACCTCCAGCTGGACACATTGAATTCAAAACTGTCACTGCTGACAAGATAACAATTGCATGGGAACCAGTAACTGATGAGGGAGGTGCCAAAGTAACTCATTACATTGTAGAAAAACGAGAGACAAGTAGAGTAGTGTGGTCTACAGTTTCTGAGGCAATGGAAGCACGTACTGTCACTGTCCAAAAGTTGGCCAGAGGAAATGAATATGTATTCCGTGTCAGAGGTGTTAACAAATTTGGAGCTGGAGATCCTCTGGAGTCTGAGCCTGTTATCGCCAAAAATGCATTCGGTAAGGAAATAGTCAATCGAAAATCAAAATGATTGAACTAGATGATATATACTTTTGGTAAATTAGATGATTTTTATAACACCACAACTATTAAAGCAATGCTATTTTTTCAGTTACTCCCGGACAACCTTCTACACCTGAAGCAACAGATATCACCAGAACATCAATGCAGGTCATTTGGGATAAACCTAGTGTGGATGGTGGTAGCATGGTTACAGGATACTATTTGGAGAGACGTGACAAGAAGAGTCTGCGCTGGGTAAAAGTGTACAAGGACCCCATTAGTGATACAAAATCAAAGGTCCATCATCTTACAGAAGGAAATGAATATCAGTATCGTGTATGTGCAATCAATAAAGCTGGGGAAGGTCCATACACAGATGTTTCTGACTTCTACAAAGCTGCTGATCCAGTTGGTATGTATTACTGTATAATTTTTTTCTCAACTGTTAATTTTACTAAATTCATAAATAATTTTGGGTCTTTTTATAATTTTTGGAGTTTTAACCAAGGTTTTTTTTCCTCCCAAGACCCGCCATATGAACCAACTAAACTGAAGGTGGTTGACTCAACTAAAACATCAATCACACTTGGATGGTCAAAGCCAGAGTATGATGGAGGCAGTGAAATCACCAGCTATGTTGTAGAAAAAAGAGTGGGCATAGAAGGGGAATGGACAGTGATTAGCCATAAGGGAGAAGTGAGAACTACAGAGTATGTAGCTTCAGATCTTAACCCAGATATGGACTACTACTTCCGTGTATCTGCTGTTAATTGTGCTGGCTGTGGAGACCCAATAGAAATGGAGGATCCAGTTCAAGCCAAGGATATTCTTGGTATGTATTCACGTTGAAATGCTTGTAATATCTTTGTATAATTTAATTGAAAATAATGTTTTCTGTAACAACACTTTAATTCCAATGTTGCAGAGGAAGCCCAGGTTGATACAGATGTTGCAATGAGAACTCACTACATTGTGAAAGCTGGTAAAGATGTTGAAATCATGGTTCCCCTCAAAGGCAGACCTGCTCCAAGCATCTCCTGGAAAAAGAAAGACCAGAATATTGACAATGATCCTAGATACGACATTCACAACACAGACTCTTCATCATGTCTCATAATTACACAAGTAACTCGAAGTGACACAAGTAAATATACCATTAATATATCAAATGGTGTAGGAGAACCAAAGTCACTAACTGTGTCTGTTAAAGTACAGGACACTCCAGCTGCTTGTAGGAATTTGATCTTGAAAGATGTCACTCGTGGAAAAGTTACTCTTTGTTGGGACCCCCCTCTACTGGATGGTGGTGCTGAAATTACCAATTATGTTGTTGAGAAAAGAGACTCTTCAAAGCGTACATATGCCTGTGTAACAAATAAATGCAAAGAAACCACATGTGTAATTGAAGAACTTTCTGAGAAGGCATTGTTCTTCTTCCGTGTATTAGCAGAAAATGAGAATGGAGTTGGAGATCCATGTGAAACAGCAGAGCCGATTAAAGCCACTGAGACCCCTGGTCCAGTAAAAGATCTTTGTATGAAAGACTCCACCAAGACTTCAGTAACACTGCAATGGAACAAACCCGATTATGATGGTGGTAGCATCATTACAGACTACATAATTGAACAGAAACTCCAAGGTCAAGAAGAATGGGTTCCTGCTGGCACCAACAAGCACTGTGAATATGAAGTTAAAAAGCTTAAGGAACTCTCTGACATGTTTTTCAGAGTTAGCTCCAAGAACGAAAAGGGTACTAGTGACTTTGTTGAAATTGGGCCAATTAAAGTAAAGGACTACATTATTCCACCAGAAGCAAACCTTGAAGAGTATCCCGGTGGACAGATCAGTGTGCGTTTGGGACACAATGTACACATTGAATTGCCATACAAGGGTAAGCCGAGACCAGCCATTCTTTGGTTAAAGGACAACTTACCACTGAAGGAGAGTGAAAAGGTCCGCTTCAAGAAGACTGAAAACAAGGCCACTCTTATGATAAAAAATGTGGTGAAAGAGAATGGAGGCAAATACACACTTACTCTTGACAACACATTCTTCAGAAAATCATTTCACGTACATGTTATTACCCTTGGACCACCCTCTAAACCTATTGGACCAATCCGCTTAGATGAGGTCAGAGCAGAAAGTATCGCCATATCTTGGGATGAACCAAATGATAATGGAGGTGGAGAAATCACTTGCTACACTGTTGAGAAACATGACACCTCTCAGACAGACTGGAAAATGGCCTGTTCAAGTGTAACTGGAACATCGTTTAAGGTCCCCAACCTGATCAAGGGTATTCAATATCAGTTCAGAGTCTGTGCTGAAAATAGATATGGTGCAAGTGAACCTACAGTTTCACAAAATGTCATTGCCAAGCATGAGTTCAGACCACCCGGCCCACCAGGCATTCCAGTGGTTTACAATGTTACAAACGATGGCATGACTATTCAGTGGGAAGAACCAGTCTTTGATGGAGGTTGTCCAGTGCTTGGTTTCCATGTTGAAAAGAAGGAGAAGAACAGCATAATGTGGCAAAAAGTCAACACAGTTTTAGTGAAAGAAAGGGAGTACAGGGTTCTTGGTCTTATTGAAGGCTTGGAATACCAGTTCAGAGTCTACGCCCAGAATGATGCTGGATACAGTCGCATGGGTGATGCAAGCAAACCTATTATGGCTGTTTCTCCAGTTGGTAAGTTCAACTTTAAGACATATTTTTCACACCAATCTTGCAAGTTAAAAATATGACAATTTACAGTAGCTAAATATTAATAAATTTGTGAATTTTAACTTCAGATCCTCCTGGTACCCCTGACTACGTTGATGTAACAAGTGATTCAGTTAAACTGAAATGGGAAGCGCCCAAACATGATGGTGGAAGCAAAATTGTTGCCTATAATGTGGAGAAACGGCAGGGCAAAGGACGGTGGTTAAAGAGCAATTTTACAAATGTGACTGACACAGAATTTACAGTGACCGGTCTTGCTTGCGGTGAACGCTATGAATTTAGAGTCATAGCAAGAAATGCTATCGGCACAGTGAGCCCACCCTCTCAGTCTTCTGGTTATGTTGTCATCAGAGATGAGAGCTGTAAGTTCATGCAGTTTATGTTGTGTTTCCCATCGTCCAGTGGTCAACATTTTACATGCAATGTTATGCTGGTCTGTATAAATTAAAAAGTACAAATTCTTTTGTCTTTCAGTTCCTCCAAACATCCAGTTTGGCCAAGAATATTTTGAAGGAGTCTCAATTAAAGCTGGAGAAAACATCAGGCTCAAAGTTGCTATCACTGGAAGACCAACACCAAAAGTTACCTGGTTCAGGGATAATATTGAATTAACCAAGAAAATGGTTGATATCACAACAATTTCTGGATCAAGTACCCTCTTTATAAGAGATGCTGACCGTAGAAACCGTGGTCTTTATACTGTGGAAGCCACAAATCCTTTAGGAAGTAAAAAAGAATCAATGAAAGTTGAAGTATTTGGTATGAATACTTTTTGTGCCTTATCCATCTTATTTATTCATCCTACCCTTTAATCACTACATTTCCTTAAAGTCCCTGTAAAGGCAATTCTACAAAAAAGTTCTAAACACATTATAAATGTTACATATGTATTGCTAAAACATATTACAAAGACTGTGAACTGTGAAGTACTGAAATGTGGAGTTAGACCGTTAAACAGTTTTTCACCATTGCAATTTTTCGGATTGTTTGGGCGGGGCTAAAACAGGGCTCGATGACGCACTGGAGCCCATGAGCTCCTGGACACAGCCCTATTTGATGACGCACAGAGTCTGATCTCTCCCCTAACACACAATAACACTCCCCGAGCACATTCGCATTCACCGCTCAATCGCGAGTGCCTGTCAGCACTATTAGTTACTACAGCAGAGCCTACAGTTTGCTACCTAGCTATGCTTTCGACACGGACATGCATAGGCTACCTGGATGCGATCATGTACAAAACAGATCAGTATCTTCATTTAAATTCCCTAAAAACGATCACATCAAGAAGAGGTTTTTAGAGAGCCTACCTTGATGAAGAGCTGAGGATCACCGCCAACACCCGCCTCTGTAGTGATCATTTTACAAAAGTGTGCTTTTGAAAAGTGTGGGGGATAGATGTGTCATTTAAATTTGGGCATGTTACGTACCCCTGTCCCTCTAAGGGGGTTCGGGGGCATGCTCCCCCGCAAGAAAATTTGGTACATTTTAAGGTTAAATGCATCAATTTGGAGCACATTGAGAGCTCAAAATTAAGAGCTTCAACTGGATTCGACCCAGGCCTGTGCACATTGAACAACGAAAAAGCATTGACTTGTTGCTTACCTAAAGAGGGCTCAAACATCTTTATAGTTATGATATAGAGTCTGTCATTATATTCTATATTACGCTATCAAAATTACAATACTTTTGTCCTAATTTCTTCACTTGTAAGAAATAAACCCTTGAGCTTTTATTTAGGAGAAAACACAGAACACCATGCTGATTGTGTGAGCAAAGAGCGCGTTTTTTTTTTTTTTTTTCAAATCACGCAGCATTACAAACAGAATGCCTAACGCAAGTCTTGTACTGTTTATCCAAAAATACGAAATATAATAATGAAAACACTGGACATGTCAATAAAACATAAACATAACATCTTCCCAAACACATATCAAGCTTATTTAAAAACCTCGAAAGCATAAGCATAAGCCGGTGTCATGTTTGAGAGGAGACAGCCGCAGCGAGCGCACACACACACACACACTGAGCGCCAGAGAAACGGAGGAGCGACTGTAGGAAGGCGTTTGTGTAAAACTGCGGAAAAACGGAAGAAAAAGTGCGGGTGTTGAACACTCTCACCGAGAAAAGTGTGGGTGTTAAAACACCCACATCCCCCACGGTTGCGACGCCCCTGTTCCTCAGAGACAACTGGGATTCACTGATAATCCACTGTTACTGGTGAACGGGGCCGAAACGACTATCTTCCGCCTCAGTGTTCATCCTCCCGTCGCGAAAGCAGTTTCACTTAATATCACCGTTGACAGCTCCCGCTAGTGGGCGTGGTTTCAGCACAGCCAGCGGACACGCCCCCAGCGTTTGAGAACAGAGATAACTGCTAATTTTTTCAACATTTTGATAGCTTATTTTATGTACTTGCCGGCTTTTTTATCATTCATATTTGGCTGGGTGGCTAATAACACATTTTTCTGTGGTATGACATACTCAGAACACATACATAATTTTGACTTTACAGGGACTTTAATATCCATATCATAATACCATATCATTTCATATCATACCATATGCTTCAGTAATTTCTATTTTTCAGATACACCCGGAGAACCTGTTGGTCCAGTCACATTCTCAGATATCTCTGAGGGCAAAGTAACACTTTCATGGAATCCACCTGAGAATGATGGCTGTTCTGAGGTCACTCATTACATTGTTGAGAAGCGTGACACTTCGAAACTTTCATGGGCACTTGTCACAGATGAGTGCTTGGGATGCACATACACTTCTACCAAACTGATCAAGACAAACGAGTACCAGTTCCGTGTTTCTGCAGTCAATAGGTTTGGTGTTAGCAGACCACTGGATTCAGCTCCTGTGATTGCACAGATGCAATACAGTAAGATAATAAAAAGCTTAAAATAAATATTTTTCTCAAATTTTATATATACAACACTGTAAAAATATTTTTTTCTGTAATTTCTTTCTTTTTCATCCCTGCAGGTGTTCCAGATTCTCCTGGAACTCCAGATGCAACAGATGTCGATGGAGAGAGCATCACAATCAACTGGGCTCCTCCAACACATGATGGTGGAAACCCAATAAAATATTACATTGTGGAAAGACGTGAAAAGAAGACTGGTCGTTGGCTGAAAGTCCTAACAAGGAAACCCATTTTTGAGGCTGCACACAGAGTGACTCATCTAACTGAGAATGTGGAGTATGAATTCCGTGTGTATGCTGTAAATGATGCTGGAATTGGAGCACCAAGCAACATTTCAATGCCAATTAAATGTACTGAGCCAACAGAAGAACCTGATGCCCCATCTATTGTCAATGTGACTGACACTACCAATACGTCTGTCAGCTTGGAATGGACCAGACCTGCCTATGATGGTGGAATGGAAATCCATGGCTACATTATTGAAATGTGCAAGGGATCTGAAGAGGAATGGCGCAGAGTCAATGAGGATCTTTGTGCTGTCACAAAATACACTGTCATTGGTTTGGAAACCACTGCAGAGTACAAGTTCCGTATTTGTGCCGTCAATTCTGTTGGAAAGGGTGAAGCCAAAGAAATATCTGAGTCTGTACAGGCAGTAGACAGGTTCTTGGCACCAGAAATTGACATAGATGCATCCTTCAAACAGACGCATATTGTAAAAAGTGGAGGAAGTGTATGTATCCATATTGCCTTTAAGGGAAAGCCAACACCTACAGCTTCATGGACGAAAGTGGATGGAGAACTTGGTGTTATGACAGACATTGCCACCACTGAGACTTTCACGGCTTTGACACTGGAAAATTGCACTAGAAATGATACTGGAAAATACACTCTCACTCTTGAGAACAGTAGTGGCAATAAATCTATTACTATTGCAGTCAAAGTGTTAGACACACCTGGTGTACCAGGGGCTCTCTCCATCAAGGAAGTAACAAGAGGAGCTCTCACAATTGCTTGGGAACCTCCTATCAACGATGGTGGTGCACGTGTTCATCATTACATTGTTGAGAAACGTGAGGCTAGCCGTCGTACATGGACAGAGGCAGCACCCAAGACCACTCAAACAAGCGTGAGAATTTCTGATCTCCTGGAAGGTGTACCTTATTTCTTTAAAGTCATGGCTGAGAATCAGTATGGTCTTGGTGAAGCATATGAAATGCCGGACCCAGTTATTGCAACAGCTGAACCTTCTGCACCAAAGAGAGTTGATATTATTGACACAACTGACACATCAGCAACCCTGGCCTGGCTCAAGCCGGAGCATGATGGAGGAAGCCGTATCACAGGCTACTGTGTGGAGTCAAAGGCCAAAGATTCAGATAAATGGGTTGTTTGTGGCACAACGAAAAACCTAAGCCTTGTAATTGAAGGACTTATAGAGAACAGTGAGTATGAATTCCGTGTAAAGGCAAAGAATGATGCTGGGTTCAGTGTGCCAAGGGAAGCTTTCTCCTCAGTCATCATTAAAGAGCCACGAATTGAACCTACCGCAGACCTCAGTGGCATCACCAACCAACTCATTATCAGCAGGATTGGTGAATTGTTTGAGATTGATGTTCCAATTAGTGGAAGACCTGCTCCAAAGGTATCCTGGAAGCTTGAGGAAATGAAGCTAAAAGAAACTGACAGGGTGTCAATCAAGACTACCAAAAACAGGACCACTCTCTCAGTTAAAGACAGCATGAGAGGTGATGGAGGCAGATATTTCCTAACTCTGGAGAATGTCACAGGGTCAAAGACTTTCAGTGTCACTGTCAATGTTATTGGCAGACCAAGCCCTCCAGAGGGCCCTATTGAGATTTCCTCAATAACATCAGAGTCATGCATACTATCATGGAATCCACCTGAGGATGATGGTGGAACAGACATCACAAACTACATTGTCGAGAAGCGTGAATCTGGCTCCACTGCTTGGCAGCTTATTAACTCAAGTGTAAAGCAAACTTCCTTCGATGTTTCACATCTAACTAAATACATGCAGTACACTTTCCGTGTCTGTGCTGAAAACCGTTTCGGTGTGAGCAAACCAACAGAATCTGAGACAATTGTTGCAGAGCATCCATTTGGTATGTAATAGCTAATAAGAAATTAGCAGTTTTATATACTGTATGAAATATCAAGTATCTTATTACCTGTTATTATTTTCACAGTTCCTTCAGGCCCTCCAACAAAACCAGAAGTGTTCTCTGTAACTGCCAACAGCATGAGCATTCGTTGGGAGGAACCGTACCATGATGGTGGCAGCAAGGTCACTGGATACTGGATTGAAAAGAAGGAGCGTAACACAATTCTCTGGGTGAGAGAAAACAAGATTCCCTGCTTTGAATGCTACTACAAGGTGGAAGGCCTTGTTGAGGGTCTTGAATATCAGTTCAGAGTGTATGCAATGAATAGTGCTGGCCTCAGTAAAGCAAGTGAAGCATCAAAGAAACATGTGGCACAAAATCCCGTTGGTAAGTATATTACAAAATTAAAAAAGTAATTCATATCAGTTTAGAAAAAACAATACTGATATATATTTTTTTATTACTATTATATTTTTGTTATGATACAAATATATAGATCCTCCAGGAAAACCAGAAGTTACAAATGTATCAAGATCAACAGTCTCAATCAAGTGGTCTGTGCCTCTAAACGATGGTGGAGGCCCAATCACAGGCTACATTGTTGAGCGAAAGCCATATACCATCACTGGAGAAGGTCGCTGGCTTAAGTGCAACTACACTAATGTTACTGACACAAATTTCACTGTCACTGCACTGGGAGAAGGAGAGGAATATGAATTCCGTGTCATTGCCAAAAATGCTAACGGAGTATTGAGCCTGCCATCAGTTTCAACAGGACCAGTGACCTGCAAAGCAGAATACAGTATGTATCATACAGTACATGGTTCTGTCACAATACACACAAGACTAACATTGTTTTATTATTGAGAACCTAAATACTCATGACACTTAAATGATTTTTTAGCTCCTCCTAAAGCAGAGTTGGACAGCAAACTCCTTGTGGACACAGTTACAATCAGAGCTGGATCTGATTTAGTGCTAGATGCTGCTGTTGGTGGAAAACCTGAGCCAAAAGTAAGCTGGGCCAAGGGTACGAAAGAGCTAGAACTTTGTGAAAAATATTCTCTCCAGTACTCTAGCACCCGAGCTCTGGCAATCATCAAGTTCTGTGACAGAGATGACACTGGGAAGTATGTTCTGACAGTTAAGAATGCGAGTGGAACAAAAACCGCTGAGGTCAATGTTAAAGTGCTTGGTAGGTGTTCTAAACATATAGCCATAAGATAAACAAACATGATCTTCAGTTTTAAATATGCAGTAAATTCATTCATTCAAAAATCTTTCTTCTTTTACAAGATACACCTGGTCCCTGTCTGGAGATTACAGTCAGCAATATATCAGAGGAAAAATGCACAGTGTCTTGGAAAGAGCCACTGGAGGATGGTGGTGACCCAATCACACATTACATTGTTGAAAGAAGAGATACCAATAGACTTACCTGGGTTATCATGGAGGCTGAATGCAAAACCTTAACATGCGAAATTAAAAGACTTTTCAAAAACAATGAATATTTATTCCGTGTGAGAGGTGTGAACAAGTATGGCTCCGGAGTGGCTGTACAGTCTGCCCCCATATTTGCCAGAAATTCATTCAGTAAGTACCATGATTCATTTTAAAAACCTTTAGATGAGAGATTTTGCATGTTAAAATTTCAATTTTGCACCTTTATTTACAATTGCAGCTGTCCCATCACCCCCTGGAGCCCCAGAAATCCTTGCAGTTGGAAAAGACTTTGCAACGATTGAGTGGCTGAAGCCTGAGAGTGATGGTGGCAGTGAAGTCACAAACTACTTAATTGAGTTTCGTGAAAGAAAGAGTGTTAGATGGATCAAGGTTAACAGAGATTCTATTCTCAAGGACACATCTTTCAAAGTCACTGGTCTTCATGAAGGCAACATTTACCAGTTCCGCATTACAGCCATGAATGCAGCTGGAGATAGTGAACCTAGTGAAGTGTCAATGTATGCAGTATGTAGAGTACCAACCGGTATGTTTACGGAATAACATAATTTATATCATTTAAGTGTTTATATTACTAAAGTAAAACATGTTTACCGTATTATGTTTAATTCTCATTTTAGGCACTTCAGGTCCACCCTCAATTCCACGGGTTACTGACTCACACAAAGAGAGTGTTAGTCTTGCTTGGACACGACCAGTTGAAGATGGTGGTGCTGATGTTATTGGTTATGTTCTTGAGATGCAAGAAGCTGGTGCAGAGGAATGGACAAAAGTGCATGAAAAGAATCTTAGAGTTACAGAACACATAGTTACAGGCCTTTCTGCTGGCAAAAAGTACTATTTCAGAGTTGCAGCAGTCAATGTAAATGGAATGGGTGACTTCAGTGATCCTTGTGCAGAGACTGAGCCTGTAGAAAGAATTGGTAAGTTCAAACAACTTCTAAATGCTTGTATGGTACTGAAGTTTGATATACTGTATATGCAAATGCAAGAAAGAAGTAATGTCCAATATTCAGTCAGTGTATTCTCTAATAAATTCTCTAATTGTTTTATTATTTATTCTAGAAATTCCTGACCTTGAGCTGCCTGATGAACTGACAAAGACAATTTGTCTAAGAGCGGGAAGTTCGCTGCGCCTACATATTACTGTTACTGGTAGACCAATCCCAAGTGTAACCTGGAGCAAACCTGGTGTGGACCTCCAAAATCGTGGCTTTATTGAAGTGACCAATACTACCACAACTCTCATTATTGACAAGGTGCACCGCTATGATGCTGGTAGATATACAATTGAAGCTTCCAATTCTGCTGGGAAGAAGGATGCAAGCATCCTTGTGAAAATCTATGGTATGTTTTCTCATATTAAATCGTGTAAATTATGTTGTAAATTATGTATAGTGCATATAATGGAATACCATGAAATGGTGTCTAACCAGCTTGGAACATGTTTGTGCATTTTTTCTCAGATACACCTGGTCCACCTGGTCCAATTAAGATGAAAGAGCTCACAAAAGACTCTGCTCATATTACTTGGGATGCTCCTGAGGTTGATGGTGGAGCACCTGTCAACAATTACATCATTGAAAGACGAGAGGCATCAATGAGAGCTTACAAAACGGTCACATCAAAATGCAGCAAGACATCCTACAAAATTGCTGGTCTAACAGAAGGAATGCTGTATTACTTCAGAGTCTTACCAGAGAATATCTATGGTGTTGGTGAACCTTGTGAGACAGGCGATGTTGTGTTGGTGTGCGAAGTTCCACTGCCACCAGCCAAGCTTGAAGTTGTAGATGTAACCAAATCCAGTGTTTCACTTGCATGGGAGAAACCTTTACATGATGGAGGCAGCAGACTCACTGGCTACATTGTTGAGGCTTGTAAGGCTGGTACTGACAAGTGGATGAAGGTGGCAACTTTGAAACTTACAGACTTTGAGTTCACTATCGTGTCACTGAATGAGAATGAGCAGTACCTCTTCAGGGTACGTGCTGTCAACAGCAGAGGAGCTGGTGAGCCAAAAGAAACTGTGACAGCTGTGACAGTTCAAGAACAAAGAGGTATGTATTATAATAATTACAATAATAGTCACAAGATGGTGTTATTGTTTGTTGTGTCTCACTGTTTTTTATTTATTCTTTTTCAGTTATGCCAAAGGTTGATCTATCTACTATTCCACAAAAGATGATCAGTGTTTTGGCAGGCAAACCCCTTGAGCTTGACTTGCCAATTATAGGAAGACCACCACCAGTTTGCACTTGGTTCTTCAATGACAATAGGATAAAGATTGTGGAGCGTGTGAAGACTAAGTCAACTGGAAAATTCTCTAAATTAACTATTCTTGACACCACCATTGATGACAGTGGAGTGTATACTCTAGAGGTGAAAAACGTAACAGGAGTAATTACTGAAAACATCAAAGTCATCGTTCTTTGTAAGTACCCACTCCCTACATTAAAATTTATATTTTATTATATTTTATTATTTTCAAATGATTGAGAAATAATATTATTAATAACCCTCTTCTCTCTTTAGCTAAACCTGATGAGCCTCAAGGACCCATTAGATTAGATGAAATTGATGCAACATCAGTCACGATAAGCTGGGATCCACCTATGAGAGATGGTGGTGCGCCAATTAGCAACTATGTGGTTGAACAACGTGATGCTCATCGCCCAGGATGGGTACCTGTTTCAGAATCAGTTAGCAGACCAACATTCAAATTTAACAGATTGACAGAGGGCGATGAATATGTTTTCCGGGTTGCAGCAACCAATCGTTATGGCACTGGGGAGTACTTACAATCAGAAGTTGTGATGTGCAAGAGCTCCAAATGTATGAAAAACATGTTTTTACAAAATAGCATATGCACATATATAGATATATATATTATGTAACACATATATTGGACCTACATGATCGCAATATTGAATTGTTGTTACAGCCATTCCCGGGCCGCCTGGGAGACCCATTGTCTTTGATGTATCACGCGATGGCATGACTGTTGCATGGGAGCCACCAGATGAGGATGGAGGATTAGAGGTGTCTGGCTACATTATTGAACGCAAGGAGGTCAGAGCTGACAGGTGGATCCGTGCTAATAAAAATCCAGTAACAATGACAAGATACAGATCCACTGGTTTAATTGAAGGCCTGGAATATGAGCACAGAGTAACAGCCGTCAATGCTCGTGGTGTTGGCAAACCTAGCCTTCTTTCTAAACCAGCAGTAGCAAATGATCCAGTTGGTAAGAAAAAATGAGCTAAAATGCAGTAGAATTTTGGTGCATTCAACTTATTATCATTTATTAATCTATGGCATAACCCCTACAGATCCACCTGGATCACCTCAAAACCCACGAGTCACAGATACCACAAAATCGTCTGTGTCTTTGGCCTGGAGTCCTCCAGATGAGGAGGGAGGTGCTAAGGTGACAGGCTATCTAATTGAGATGCAAAAAGTTGGTTCAGTAACCTGGATAAAGTGCAACACTACACCGTCACTGATCTGTGAATATACATTGACAAAAATGCCACAAGGAGACGAATTCAAATTCCGTGTCATGGCTTGCAATGCTGGTGGTCCAGGTGAACCAGCTGAAGTACCTGGAGTGGTGACCATAACAGAGATGCTTGGTAAGATCTCATGACCCTGTCATTAACTCTTACTTAAATTTAAATGTAAGTGTTAATAATAACTTGTGTTTCATAATTTGAAATGTTCTATTTCAGATCCTCCAAGTTATGACCTTGAAGCAAAATACAAAGACGTACTTGTAGTCAGATCTGGAGGAGTAATCAAACTTTCAGTGCCCATCAAAGGTAAACCTACTCCTACCAGCAAATGGACCAAAGATGGATCAGAGGTGTCCAACCGTGCAATGATTGCCTCAAATGAAGACGTATCCGAGCTTGTAATCAAACAGGCTGAAAGGTCTGATTCTGGCGTTTACTATCTCCATCTGGAAAATAAGTGTGGCAAAAAGATGCTTCCTATCAAGGTGAAGGTTATTGGCCGCCCATCTGCACCTGAAGGACCACTTGGATTTGATGATATACAAGCACATTCTGTAAGAGTTAGCTGGAAACCACCAACTGAAGATGGTGCTTCTGAAATTGTTGGCTACATTGTGGAGAGACGTGAAGTTACAAAAGCAGCTTGGTACACTGTTGACTCACGGGTGGTTGACACATCCCTTGTGGTTAAAGGACTAGAAGAAAATGTTGAATACCACTTTAAGGTGACAGCGGAGAACCAGTTTGGAATCAGCAACTCTCTGAAATCAGAGGGAACTGTTATACCAAAGACTCCCATTTGTAAGTGCTTGTCATTTGTCTAAATTCTAGTCATTGCATGCTTGTTATTAAACATAATAAAAACACACACACACACATATATATATATATATATATATATATATATATATATATATATATATATTTGCTTTCTTTTATTTTAGGTGTCCCAGAGGCTTCAAGCACTCCACCAGAAATCATGGATGTTACTAAGAGTTCTGCTGCTTTGGCTTGGACTAAACCGAAGGATGATGGTGGATCTCGCATTACTGGCTACTTCATTGAGTATAAAGAAGTCGCGTCTGATAAGTGGACTCGTCATGAGACAAAGATTACCTCAACAATGTTTACTCTTAGTCAGCTCACTACTGATACTGATTATCAGTTCCGTGTAATTGCTGTGAATGACATTGGAGAGAGTGAACCAGGACCTGCATCAGATTCAGTAATCTGCAAAGATCCATTTGGTATGCTGCCATTCTTATTTTGTCTTCATAATATGTATTAATATAATAATACATAAGACTACGTAATATGTAGTCTGTTCAGTAAATGATTCAAAATTGTTGCCTTGATTTATGGAAAAGTATTTTTTTTTTATCACACTCTTTATTTATTTAGATAAACCAAGCCAGCCAGGAGAAATTGACACAGTGACTGTAACCAAAGACTACATTACAATTAAATGGGAGGCTCCAGCATGTGATGGTGGAAAACCAGTCCTTGGCTACTGGATTGAATACCGAAAGTCTGGAGAGAGTACTTGGAAGAAATGCAATAAGGAGCGCACTAAAGACAAGCAGTACACTCAGAGTGGTCTACAAGAGGCAACTGAATATGAATTCAGAGTATTTGCTGAGAATGAAACTGGAATCAGCAGACCACGCAGAACAGCAACTGGCATCAAAACTAAACTGGGTGGTAAGCACATTTTGAAATAACATTAGAACGATTGTTGTTTGTATTGTGATTTATCGATAGAATGATGATATCCAATATTTATCCCAATGCATTTTTTGGGGTGTTTGACTAAAATAAATTTCACTATTGCTGTCCCATCTGTCCTTTTTTTAGTTGGATCTAAACCAGCTCTTAGGAAAGAGATGGATGAAGTCACTGCCAAACTTGGACAAACTGCAACTCTCAAATGTCAGATTATTGGACGACCTATTCCAGAAATTAAATGGTATAAGGGCGGAAAAGAAATCAAAGAAGGTCGCAAATATGCAGCAACCTCTGATGGTCGCAACCATACATTAACCATTTCAACAGATCAACAGGAAGATGAGGGTCTGTACACATGCAAGGCAGTGAATGAAGCAGGTGACTGTGAGACCAGTGGAACTCTGGTCCTTGAAGCAGCTCCACAGTTCCCAGTGCCACTGAAAGACAAATTCTTTACAACATGTGGTAGCACAGTGCGCATTCATGTTGTTTACATTGGCCGACCTCAACCTAAAATCATGTGGCTTTATGGAGCCAAGGCTTTGGAGCCCTCTGAGAATGTGATAATTGAAAATACAGAGCATTACACTCATTTGATTCTCAAGAATGTACAGCGCAGCGTAAATGGAGGAAAATACAGAATCAGGATCAACAACCATTTTGGGTCTGCAGATACTGTAACTCACGTTGAAATCTTAGGTATATGCTTCATAATGTGTCTTTTTTGTACTAAGTAGGGGAAATAAGAGTAATTAACATATATAATTTTGTGTTTTCAGATAAACCTGCTATGCCAGAGGGTCCTCTTGTTCTTGATGCTCTGTTGAAGAATTCTGTGATTATTAGCTGGAAAGCACCCAAAGATGATGGAGGATCTATGATAACTAATTATATTGTGGAAAAGCGTGAAGACAAGGAAGGAGCAGAGTGGGAACTTGTATCATCATCCATCTCAGGCATTTCATGCAGAATTCCTAACCTTGTTGAAAATGAGGGATACCACTTCCGTGTTTCAGCACAAAATCGTTATGGTAATAGTGAATCACTGGAGACTCCTTCTGCTATCCTCATCAAGAGTCAGCTAGGTAAGTTATAAAGAAATATGATCTATTAATATATATTCTTTAATATCTATTAAAGGGATGGTTCACTTTGAACTAGTTTTTTGGTTTGTTTTAGCTTACCTCAACGGCATCCAAGATGTAGGTTTTTTTGTTTCTGCAGTAGTTTCAATTTTGATATTTTAGGTCAAACCGTTCTTGTCTATCAGTCATATAATGCAGGTCTATGGTCCCCGCCTCAAAGAGCATGCATAGAGAACTCCAAATTAAACATGATTTAATGACTCGTAAATGTAAGTACACATTGATGGCCTAAGACATGAAACGAGTGGTTTATGCGAGAAAACAAACAGTATTTATATTAACAAACCAAAAATTATTTTCAAAGTGAACTATCCTTTTAAAGGAGTAATTTTTTAAAGGAGTAATTCACAGTTTTGTTGGTATTATTTAGTGTTATTATTCAAATGAAAATTTATGTTTTGCAGAACGGCCAGGAGCTCCATTAAAACCAGTTGTGTCTGGAATTACCAAAAACTCCTTTGTTGTGTCTTGGAAGCCACCTCTCAGTGATGGAGGTTCTAAAATTAAGAACTACTGTCTTGACAAGAGAGATAAGAAGGGTGAATGGGCTGCAGTTACAACAGATGAAATCCACCAGACTGTTTATTCTGTCAAGGGCCTGACAGAAGGTGTAGAGTATGTATTCCGGGTGAAATGTGAAAACATTGGTGGAGAAAGTGAATACAGTGAAGTATCTGACCCTGCCATTCCAAAGACTGATGTTGATGTGCGTGCTCCTGCCTTCAAGGAAGACCTTAGAAACATGAGTGTAAAATTCAAAAGCAATGCAACATTTGTCTGCAAGATAACAGGACAGCCCAAGCCTGTAATAAAATGGTTTAAGCGTGGAAAGGAAATTCAAGCTGATGGTACCAAAATCAAGATCCAAGAATTCAAGGGAGGCTATCATCAGCTTGTTATAGCTAATTGTGAGGCAGAAGACTCAACTGTATATCAGATCAGAGCAACAAACCAGGGTGGATCAATTTCTGCTACTGTTTCTTTAGATGTTGAAGGTAAGCTTACATTAAAGTTTTATACTTTACTTTACTTGCCTCTACAAGCTATTTCCAACTGATGTATTAAAATGTTTCTGTTTTTTCAGTCCCTGCTAAGATAAATCTACCTAAGAATCTGCAAGAAAAGGAAGCAATCCCTGCCCTTCGTGGTGAAGTAGTGAACATCAAGATTCCATTCAGTGGAAAACCAGATCCAGTTATCACTTGGCAGAAAGGACAAGACCTACTTGATAATGATGGACACTATCAAGTTATTGTCACACGATCCTTCACATCTCTTGTATTTTTGAATGGAGTAGAAAGGAATGATGCTGGTTTCTATATTGTGTGTGCTAAAAATAGATTTGGAATTGACCAGCAAACAGTTGAGCTTGATGTTGCAGATGTGCCTGATCCACCACGTGGCATCAAAGCCAGTGATGTTTCGAGAGATTCTGTAACACTCCACTGGGTAGCACCTGCCAGTGATGGTGGAAGCAAAGTCACAAACTACATCATAGAGAAGTGTGCCACCACAGCAGAAAGGTGGATACGTGTTGGCCAGTCTCGTGACACCCACTACACTGTTGTCAATCTGTTTGGAAAGACAAGTTATCAATTCCGTATCATAGCTGAAAATAAATTTGGTCAGAGTCAACCCTCTGAGACAAGTGGACCTGTTGTGACAAAGGAAGATAAATCAAGGGTTCTTAACTATGATGAAGAGGTTGATGACACAAGACCAGTTTCCAAAAGCAAAGCACCTCATTCAGAGACTAAGAATATTCATAACAAGTACATGATTGCTGAAGAGCTTGGCCGCGGACAGTTTGGTATTGTTCACCGGTGTATTGAGACTAGCTCTGAGAAAACTTTCATGGCTAAATTTTTCAAAGTTAGAGGTGCGGATCAGGCACTAGTGAAAAAGGAAATTGCAACACTGAATGTGGCACGCCACAAGAACTTCCTGTTGCTGCATGAGTCATTTGACAGCCCTGAAGAGCTAGTCATGATTTATGAATTCATCTCTGGTGTGGACATATTTGAGCGCCTTGGAACAGCCAACTTTGAGCTCAGCGAGCGAGAAATTGTGAACTATATCAGACAAGTGTGTGAAGCTCTTGAATTCCTTCACAGCAAGAGTTATGGCCACTTTGATATCAGGCCTGAAAATATAGTGTACACAACAAGAAAGGGAACCAATGTCAAGATCATTGAACTTGGACAATCTAGACACCTCACGCCTGGGGACCAAATTAAGCTTCAGTACACAACAGCTGAGTTTGCGGCACCGGAAATTCATCAAAATGAGATGGTTAGCACTGTGACAGATATGTGGTCTGTCGGTGTCCTTGTTTATGTTCTTCTTAGTGGACTTAATCCATTCGCTGCTGAAACTAATCAGCAAATGATTGAGAGCATTTACAATGCTGAGTACAGTTTTGATGATGAAGCCTTCAAGCATGTTAGTGTTGAGGCATTAGACTTTGTGGACCGCCTACTAACCAAAGAGCGCAAACATCGTATGACTGCTACTGAGGCTTTGAATCATCCTTGGCTGACGATGAACTCAGAGGAGCTCAGCACTAGGTCAATCAAGACTACACGCCATAAGAGATATTACCAAGCCATGGTGAAGAAAGAATGGAACACTGTTGTCTCTTCTGCTCGTGTTGCCATTGGTGGTGCTATCAGAAATCAGCGAGGAGTAACAGTCTCTAAAGTGAAGATTGCACCATTTGAACATGGACCAGTTGCAGGACAAATTAAACACAGTGTTGCCGATGAAGGCGATGATATCAAGTTTATCTGCAACATTGACAATTATGATAGCACTACCGAAGTAACATGGTACTGTGGAGTAAGACAACTAGAAGAAGGTGCTAGATACGAAATTACTTACGAAGATGGACTTGCTACCATAACTATCAAGGGAATCAACAGAACAGATGATGGAACATACAGATGTAAAGTTGTCAATGAGTATGGTGAGGACAGTTCCTATGCTGAGCTCTTTGTCAAAGGGGTAAGATCCTATCGTGAGTTCTTCACTACACGTGTGGTAAAGAAAGTAAAACGCAGAGTTGACACATCAAGACTACTCCAAAGACCTCCTGAATTTACTTTGCCATTGTGCAACCGCACTGCTTACATTGGAGAGGATGTGCGCTTTGGTGTCACCATCACAGTGCATCCTGAACCTCGTGTAATGTGGTTGAAAACGGGTCAAAAGATTATGCCAGGAGATGATGACAAGAAATACACTTTTATTAGTGACAAGGGCCTGTATCAGTTAGTGATTCACAAACTTGACCCAGATGATGATGCGGAATACACTGTTGTGGCACGGAACCGATTTGGTGATGACAGTTGCAAGGCTCGTCTCAAAGTGGTCCCTCGTCCTGCTCCTGCTGATAACACCTTGAGACCTATGTTCAAACGTCTTCTTGCTAATTTGGAATGCAGAGAAGGACAGAGTGTACGTTTTGAAATGCGTGTGTCAGGACATCCTTCATTGAAATGGGAGAAAGATGGCATGCCTTTGGCATTTGGTCCACAAATTGAGGTTGTGCATGAAGGCTTAGATTACTATGTCTTACATGTAAGAGATACTCTTCCAGAGGATTCTGGCATATACAGAGTCATTGCAACTAACTCAGCAGGGTCTGCAAGTTGTCAAGCTACACTCAAGGTCGAACGTGTGACACACATCAAGAAAGAGGTGAGTGACGAAGGAAAGAAGAAACAACACGATCTTGATCAGCAAGAGATGGACAAGAAAGTAAGACTAACTCAGATACTAGCAGGTGCAGACGTTACCCCACTTACTCCAGTCGCACAGCAAGCACTAAGAGAAGCTGCAACCATGTACAAGCCAGCAATCACTACCAAGAAAGTCAAGAGTGAAGCTGATGAAGCCAAAGAGAAAGAAGAAAAAAAGAAGAGAGCAGAAGAAAAGAGATTGAGAATGCCATATGTTGTCCCTCTGCCTCGCATTGTTGCTCCTACTGCCCTTGATGAGGACATGGAAATCAAACACTTTGTGCCATTCTCTGATATGAAGTGGTACAAGAAACTCAGAGATCAATATGAGTTCCCGGAGCCAATTGAAAAGTTCCCCCAGAAAAGACTTAAGCGTATCCGGCTGTCAAGGTGGGACCAGTTCTATGAAGTACCCCTGCCAAGAATTAAAGACCAATACAAGCCAAAATGGCATATTCCTGTTTCACAAGATGACCTTGAGACTGTAAGACCAGCAAGATATCGCACACCTTCTCCAGAAATGGAGGCTTACTACAGAATCAGGAGACGCTCTCTTGGTGATCTTTCTGATGAGGAACTGCTTCTACCAGTTAAAGATTACCTCTCAATGAAGAGAACAGAGGAAGAAAGACTCAAACTTGAGGATGAACTTGAGTTAGGCTATTCTGCTTCTCCACCAAGTCTGAGCCCTGTACGCTTTGAACTTTCTGCACTGCGTCACCCATCACCTAAGAGAGCTACATATGATGAGGAGGAGGGGGAGGAAGTTCCAACATATGACTCATATCGTATTCCATCTAAATATGAGGCTGGTCCAAGCTATATTGACTTGCGTCAGCGTCACGAAAGGGCAACATACAGACCTCCAAGGCAAAAGCAAAGGCTGTATGAGGAAAAAGAAGACCATGAACTGCTTAGGTCAGTAACTACCACAACAAAATTAACTTCCTACAAGAGCCAACTGCAACACATTGAGTTTGAGGAGAAAACAAAGGTCAAAAGAAAGGAAAAAACAAGAGTTTCTGTGTCAGCAGCAACTGAGGCAGCAGTCATAACTGATACATCTACAGCAGCATTCTCACCTGGCTATGCTACAGTAAGCCATTCCAAGAAACCGTCTGCAACTCTGTCAGAAAAAGGGATTAAAACGGCTTCACCTGAAAAGACACGCCCTCGTTCACCCAGCCTTGATACTTCTGAGAAAAGAATCACTACACAAGACTTGTCAACACAAATTGATTATATGTCAAGGTATGAGTCTAGAAAGAAAGCCTTGAAAACTGAGAGGAAGTTTGAAATTGTGTCCCAGCAACCTTTTACTCTTGACCATGCTCCCAGGGTGACTGTAAGAATGCGCTCTCACCGTGTGCCAATTGGTCAAAACACCAAATTCACACTGAATGTCCAATCTAAGCCAGAAGCACAGATTAATTGGTACCACAATGGGCAGCAGATTGAAGAAAGCAGAAAATATCATATGTTTAACATGAGTGGTGTTTTGTCTCTTCAAATCATTGATTGCCAGGAAGAGGACAGTGGCACTTACCGTGTCGTCTGTACAAATGCAAAGGGAGAAGCTTCTGACTATGCCACTCTCGATGTTGCTGGGGGTGGATTTTCTGCATATGCCTCACAACGCAAAGATGAGGAGCCACCTACCCCCTTCGTCCCTGAGATGACTAAAACAGATGTGTATCATGTTTCATCCATAACAGCAGCAACTGCATCAGAAACACAAGTGGAAATATCTGAAACTAAAACAGAGAGGATAGAAGAGACAATTAAGACATCTGAGATCAAACTTGAGGAAGTGACTGCAGTTGAGGAAGTTGTGGTTAAGAAATTGTCAGAGACCAAACTTGAAGCTACAGAAGTGACAACAGTAGTGGAAGAAGTGGTTGAGAAAAAGAAAGGGACTCCAGCTACAATTCTGACTAAACCACAGTCACTCACAGTATCAGAGGGAGAATCGGTCAAATTCACATGTGATGTTGATGGTGAACCTGCACCCACTGTAACATGGATGCGAGAGGGACACGTCATTGTGTCATCTCGTCGTTACCATGTTACCTCAGCTGAATATACATCTACTTTTGAGATAACCCAAGTAGAAATGTCAGATGGAGGTAATTACACTGTAGTGGTTGAGAACTCTGATGGTACACAGGAGGCACAGTTCAGTCTAACCATTCGTAAACCAACACCTGTACAGAAAGTTGTTGCTTCACCTCCAAGAGTAAAGTCTCCAGAGTCTCCTCGTATAAAGTCACCATTTGGAATTAGGTCTCCGCAGAGAATTAAATCACCTGAACCAGTCAAATCTCCACCAAGAGTTAAGTCCCCACCCATGGTAAAATCACCAACTCCAAAAGAAAAAACATCCAAGCCAACCTTTTCCACAGAACTAAAAGACATCTCAGCCTCTGTGGACACTATTATAAAGCTGACAGTAAAACTGTCTGGTGAGCCTAAACCAACAATCTTCTGGATGAAGGATGGAAAGGTAAGAACGATATTTTTACTTACTTTATAAAAATATATAGTTTAACGGATTGATTTAATAATTAATTTGAAAATTTTTCCCCAGAACCTCTCTCAAAGTGGAAAATATAAAATCTTTGAAGAACATGGTTCAGAACATCTTGAAATCTATGAAGCTGATGTCTCTGATAGTGGAGTATACACATGCACTGCCAAAAACAGTGCTGGATCTGTTACTACAAACTGCACTGTTACAGTTCAAGGTATTATTTAGCATTATTTTCAGGTTTCAAAATACACATACAATATAATTTTAATAAAAAACGTATCTACTCTTTCTGCTCCAGCACGAACAGCAGCAGTTGCCGTTGAAAGAAAAGCAGAGTTTCTTGAACAAATAGCAAAAAAGGAGACTGCCTATGAGGAAGTGCAGTCCTTCACAGAAGTGAAAGCATCAAAAACCCAATTAACAATAAATCAAGGTCAGACTGTCACACTACGAGCAAACATCCCTGAAGTTATTGATGTGAAATGGATCCTGAATGGTGCTGAGCTATCAAATTCAGAGAACTACAGATATGGTGTGTCAGGCAATGATCACACCCTGACATTTAAAACATTCAGCTACCATGACCAGGGAATTCTCACATGTGAGGCCAAAACTGAACACGGTGTGGTCAAGTGCCAGTTTGATTTGACCATCAGTGCAGTCTGTTCAGATGCACCAAGTTTCCTTGTGCAACCACGCTCCCAGAATGTTAACGAGGGACAAAATGTCACATTCACATGCGAAATTACTGGTGAACCTTCTCCAGAAATCGAATGGCTCAAGGATAATGCAGTCGTGAGTAGTTTGTCATTATATTTTGGGGGAAGGGAAAAAAAAACTTATTTGTGTTTCAGTCATAGCAGTTTGTTCACTTTGTTTGCATTTCCTTTCAGATATCTGTTACATCAAACATGAAATTCAGCTCCTCTAAGAATGTGTACACACTTGAGATTCACAACGCTACCATTGAAGACAGTGGAAAATACACAGTAAAAGCTAAGAATAAATTTGGACAGTGCTCTGCAACATCATCACTGAATGTCCTCAGTAAGTGTTTGATCCATTCCTAAGAATAAATTACCACCCTTACAATGACCAAGTATGAGCATCCTGTCCATTACAGTACATATAAAATGCATGCTCAAACCAAACACATTCAAAACGCATACACATCTCTTGATTTAAACTCTAACTTAATGGGTTAGTTCACCCAAAAATGAAAATTCTGTGAGTATTTACTCACCCCCATGTTGTTCTAAACCTCTATGTGTTTATTTATTCTGCTGTACACAAAGGAAGATATTTGGAAGAATGTTTTAATCAAACAAATCTCATTCCCCATTGACACCATAGTAGGAAAAAATACATACTATGGTAGTCAATGGGGAATGGGATCTGATTAAAACATTCTTCCAAATATGAAGAGTTCAGATGCAAAAGCCTCTAAGTGCCATTTGAAATTTTCTTCTAAAATGATCATTTGTATCAAGCTTATATGTTCAAGTTCAGTAATTTCACTTAAATGACAATTAATAGGTAATCCTCAATGCAATTTAAGTGAAATTACTGAACTTAAATATACAAGTTTGATAAAAATCATCATTAAAGAAGAAAATGTCAAATGGCATTTAGAGGCTTTTGCATCTGAACTCTTCATATCTTCCTTTGTGTTCAGCAGAACAAATAAACACATAGAGGTTTGGAACAATATGAGGGTGAGTAAATGCTGACAGAATTTTCATTTTTGGGTGAACTAACCCTTTAAAAAATCATACTCGCTAATCTTCATTGCTCACAAAATAACTATTAACGAATTGTCACCATTCCCTTCTACAAATGGAACTATGTTATTTTTATCTTTTTTTATTTCATTTATTTTTTACTTTGTTGGATTGATTTGCATCCTGATTTGTGCCTACCGAATTAATAATTACCACACTATATGATGATAAAGCATTGCATGTTAGTCTTCAAATAACCAAACCATATGTTATTTAACCAAACCATCCATTAGCCGTGCCTTCACATAGTTTGAATGATGTATACAAACATTTATGTTCAACAAAATAGCACTGTATTTAAAATATAGTCAAAATGATCAGAAATCTGTTCTTTGATTAGCCTTGCCAAATGAATTTTCTTAAAAGGTACAATGTGCAAATGGTGCAACTTAAATATTTTTTTATTTTATTAATACCAATGCCATCACAAATGTTTCAGAATAATTTACATTGGATATCTTCAAATGTTTTAATTTGAAAACAGAGACCAGTAATGCCATTTGAATTGACTGTTGTACCATTTTATGAAATCAGTTGCTTCAGTGACATGGTAATTCTGTATTGCACTCTCACAGCTCTGGTTGAGGAACCTGCCAAAATGATAATTATGGAGAAAACATCTGATGCTACAAGCATGCTGGGAAGTTATGCTGCAAAGCATGTGGTTTCAAAAATGCAAGAGAAATCATTCTGCAGTTCCAGCATGGCTGAGGTTAAATTTGAGAGCATGTCAGAGTCTAGCATGACCTCTATGACTTCTGAAAGAATGATGGCTTTGAGCTCCAGCAGTATGGTGGCAATGTCCAGTCACTCGCATGTTGAGGGCTCATCCATCAATGCCATTTCTCATACTCGCAAAGGTGAGATGGAAAATATATGCATCTTTGCAAAAAACAAAAACAAAAAAAAAAAAGCATTCACTGTGCAACAAAACAGAAATAAGCAGAGCTATATCACCATAATAATAACATATTTGTTTTTTAACCAGGTATACCACCAAAGATTGAGACTGCCCCTCAAGATATCAGCATCGAATCAGGGAAGGTCCTGACTGTAGCCTGTGCTTTCATTGGAGACCCAAGTCCATGTATAGAATGGTCACATTTAGGGAAGACACTGTCCAGCAAGGAGGAAAGTGGACGATTGCAGATTGAGACTTCTCAGGATGTCACCACTCTAGTAATAAGTGGAGTGAAAGAGACTGATGCTGGTGCATACACCTTAAAACTTGTTAATGAGTTTGGATCTGATACCACTACTGTCAATGTCAACATTCGATCCATGTAAAAAAAAAAAAAAAAAAAAAAGTTAAATGATTATAATTATTATATAATAGTAATCCAATCCTCACCCAATTTCCCTCATTCAAAACATTTTTATTTATGGAATGAGAAAAAAAAATACTCTGTTCTTGATAAAGACCTGGATTTCTGTTCTTGTAAATATGAACTATTTTTATACCAAACTTGACGCTAATTTATGCCAAACTAGACTAAAGTCTAAAGCTGTTATAAAATGTGCCATATTGGATAATTATGACCAGAAGTTCTGCACCATTTTGTGACATGTACATAATGTATATAGCCGAATTTACCGGTTATGGAAAATGTATGCGTTGTTATTTATGACAATAGTAACAAATGGAACTAAATGTTTAACAGGAGAAAGTTTCACATGGAACGAATACCCTGTAAAACTTTAAACGAAACAAAACTATGTGCCTCAACAATAAGTTGAAGTCTTAAGATTGCCTCAACAGGTAGAGAGGCTCCCTGTTGAAGTTTACTAAAAATCAAAGAGACAAAGTTATACACTGTACATATGTGTGTGCAGTAATGCAGTACACAACAATTTATGACTTGAACATAAGGCATTGAGTGCTGTTTGCATTACCCTCATGTAAGCAGGACAACTAGGCCTTGTGTTCAGACTGACGAAGTCATACCGCCATTTTAATGACAAGCTCAATGTGCGAGCGGCCTGCACAACGAGTTAATTATAATGTTTGTGCACAGTTTCTGGCAAAGGACTGTTTGAATTTGGATTTTATTAAAGTAACATCACCTGGCCAATAGTTGTAAAATCAGTTCAAGTGCTTCTTTGCAGAAGCTGTGCCAACTCTTGGAGGATTTCTAGGTTATATTTTGTGTGTTTGTGTTAGCATTAGAATATTACTTTGTCAGCAGCCAGGGTATCCATCAAGCTATGTGCGTACCACAGAGATTTCATGTGTTGTATGAAGAAAAGAAAAATACATTACTGAAAAACCCTGCACATTGATTTATTAGAACTAATTTATGTAGTATTACACATATATTCAGCCTCCTTGAGTTTTATGAATTACTAATTTAATAAAGCATGTTTTCAGCACCATAAATTGTCTGTTCCATGCTTCTTATGTATGAAACATGTTTACTCAGTCATTGAATAACAGCTTCATGTCTTCGTTACAAGGACAATCTATTGCACAAAAAAAAAAAAAAAAAACCTAAGCACCTCAAACATCAAGTGAGAAATCTGAGAACTGGGCGGCCCTGCCGCGTCAGCGTTCGGCCTCCGACGCCACGACGACAGATGTGCAAGATGTCCCACCGATCTACGTTTTACTTTTGTTTGATTTTAACTCTGCAAACGCTCACTCTCTTTATCGTATTAATTCGTGCAAATGAATCAAAAGTTAAAATTGAGGTTACGTTTCTGCCTGAAAACTGCGGCCAGAAATCCAAGAGAGGAGACATGCTGAATGCGCATTATGATGGATATCTAGTTAAAGACGGATCTCAGTTCTATTGCAGGTATTGGTAAACGCCTTTTTTACACATAAAGTTATTGCATTAAATATATGTATTGCAGGTTATTTTTATCTTCTTTAAGGTAGAGTAATAGCAGTGTTTAGCAGAAAATAACGTGCTACATAACGTGCTACATTATTTTATTTCCAACCTAAACCAGTGTTTGTTTTCTTTTTGAAGTCGTTCGACAAACACGGGTCACCCACACTGGTTTGTGTTAGGCGTTGGAGAAGTTATTAAGGGGCTGGATTTAGGGCTGAAAGACATGTGTCCCGGTGAAAAGAGAAGAGTTACAATTCCTCCTTCTTTGGCATATGGCGAGAAAGGAAAAGGTAGGTCTATTACACCGCGGTCAAGCCAGCCGCATTTTGAAAATACACGGTCAAGCCAGCCGCTAAAAAAATAAGCGTGTGCGCCTATTACTATGAATACGGTAATTTCAGTAACGGCAGAGAGAATGCGCTTTCATGGCGCTTCAGTTGCCCAGCTCTCTCTCTCTCTCTCTCTCTCTCTCTCTCTCTCTCTCTCTCTCTCTCTCTCTCTCTCTCTCTCTCTCTCTCTCTCTCTCTCTCTCTCTCTCTATCTATCTATTTTCTTTCTATTTTTCTTTCTTTCTTTCTTTCATTCTCTTTCTTTCTTTCTTTCTTTCTTTCTTTCTTTCTTTCTTTCTTTCTTTCTATTTTTCTTTCTTTCTACTTTTTCTTTCTTTCTATCTTTCTATTTTTCTTTCTTTTTCTTTTTTCTATTTTCTTTCTTTCTTTCTTTCTATTTTTTTTTCTTTCATTCTTTCTTTCTATCTTAATTTCTTTCTTTCAATCTTTCTATTTTTTCTTTCTTTCTATCTTTCTATTTTTCTTTCTTTCTTTTTTCTATTTTCTTTCTTTCTATTTTTCTTTCTTTCTATCTTTCTATTTTTTCTTCTTTCATTCATTCTTTCTTTCTTTCTTTCTTTATATTTTTCTTTCTTTCTATCTTTCTATTTTTCTTTCTTTCATTCTTTCATTCATTCTTTCTTTCTTTGTAATCTATCTATCTATCTATCTGTCTGTCTATCTATCTATCTATCTATCTATCTATCTATCTATCTATCTATCTATCTATCTATCTATCTATCTATCTATTTTCTTTCTTTCTTTCTTTCTTTCTTTCTTTCTTTGTAATTAATCTATCTATCCATCTATCTATCTATCTATCTATCTATCTATCTATCTATCTATCTATCTATCTATCTATCTATCTATCTATCTATCTATCTATGATGATATATTCCATGTTTTGAGAATGTTTTTGTGTTACTCTGTTTTCCTTTTTATATACACTCATTTCGTCTTTGACATTTGTAATTCTTTGACATATGTTTTGTTTTTTTTCTTTACAGGTAACACCTCAAGACATTTTTTATGTACAGGTTTACAGCATAATTATTTGTAAAAAGAGATAAAAAAAGTATACACTCTTTTTAAATGCCTCTTTTTTCATGTTTTTTTAGTATTAAAATGACAGTTTCTCATGAATTAAATGTCCCATGTCCTAATGTCCCAATGCCTCTCTTCTACTTTAGACACCTATAAAAACCTATTTTCTAATAAGTAGAAAAAAACAATGGTCATGTCATGTACGGGACGTCCAATAGAGTGTGCTCACCAAATATCTAACCATTTTACTGCAGCGTTTTAGAGATATAGGCCTCTATTCTTCTTTAGACACAAATAAAAACCTAATTTCTAATAAGTAGAAAAAAACAATGGTCAGGTCATGTACGGGACGTCCAATAGAGTGTGCTCACCAAATATCTAACCATTTTACTGCAGCGTTTTAGAGATATAGGCCTCTATTCTTCTTTAGACACAAATAAAAACCTAATTTCTAATAAGTAGAAAAAAACAATGGTCAGGTCATGTACGGGACATCCCATAGATTGTGCACACCAATTATCTAACCATTTTACTGCAGCGTTTTGGAGATATAGGCCATTATTGTACTATAAATGCCAATAAAAACCTCATTTCTAATAAGTAGAAAAAAACAATGGTCAGGTCATGTACGGGACGTCCCGTAGAGTGTGCACACCAACTATCTAACCATTTTACTGCAGCGTTTTGGAGATATAGGCCTCTCTTCTACTTTAGACACAAATAAAAACCTCATTTCTAATAAGTAGAAAAAAGCAATGGTCAGGTCATGTACGGGATGTCCCATAGAGTGTGCACACCAATTATCTAACCATTTTACTGCAGCGTTTTGGAGATATAGGCCTCTCTTCTACTTTAGACACCTATAAAAACCTATTTTCTAATAAGTAGAAAAAAACAATGGTCAGGTCATGTACGGGACGTCCCATAGAGTGTGCACACCAATTATCTAGCAATTTTACTGCAGCGTTTTGAAGATAAACGTCACTATTCAACTATAAACACCAATAAAAACCTCATTTCTAATAAGTAGAAAAAACAATGGTCAGGTCATGTACGGGATGTCCCATAGAGTGTGCTCACCAATTATCTAGCCATTTTACTGCAGCGTTTTGAAGATAAACGTCACTATTCAACTATAAACACCAATAAAAACCTAATTTCTAATAAGTAGAAAAAAACAATGGTCAGGTCATGTACGGGATGTCCCATAGAGTGTGCTCACCAATTATCTAGCAATTTTACTGCAGCATTTTGGAGATATAAGCCTCTCTTCTACTTTAGACACGTATAAAAAAACATTTTCTAATAAGTAGAAAAAAACAATGGTCAGGTCATGTACGGGACGTCCCATAGAGTGTGCACACCAATTATCTAACCATTTTACTGCAGCGTTTTGGAGATATAGGCCTCTCTTCTACTTTAGACACCTATAAAAAATATTTTCTAATAAGTAGACCAAAAAACAATGGTCAGGTCATGTACGGGACGTCCCATAGAGTGTGCACACCAATTATCTAACCATTTTACTGCAGCGTTTTGGAGATATAGGCCTCTCTTCTACTTTAGACACAAATAAAAACCTCATTTCTAATAAGTAGAAAAAAGCAATGGTCAGGTCATGTACGGGACGTCCCGTAGAGTGTGCACACCAATTATCTAACCATTTTACTGCAGCGTTTTGGAGATATAGGCCTCTCTTCTACTTTAGACACCTATAAAAACCTATTTTCTAATAAGTAGAAAAAAACAATGGTCAGGTCATGTACGGGACTTCCCATAGAGTGTGCTCACCAATTATCTAGCCATTTTACTGCAGCGTTTTGAAGATAAACGTCACTATTCAACTATAAACACCAATAAAAACCTATTTTCTAATAAGTAGAAAAAAAACAATGGTCAGGTCATGTACGGGATGTCCCATAGAGTGTGCTCACCAATTATCTAGCAATTTTACTGCAGCATTTTGGAGATATAAGCCTCTCTTTTACTTTAGACACGTATAAAAAAACATTTTCTAATAAGTAGAAAAAAACAATGGTCAGGTCATGTACAGGACATCCCATACAGTGTGCACACCAATTATCTAACCATTTTACTGCAGCGTTTTAGAGATATAGGCCTCTATTCTACTTTAGACACCTATAAAAACCTATTTTCTAATAAGTAGAAAAAAACAATGGTCAGGTCATGTATGGGACGTCCCATAGAGTGTGCTCACCAAATATCTTACCATTTTACTGCAGCGTTTTGGAGATAAAGGCAACTATTCAACTATAAACAACAATAAAAACCTCATTTCTAATAAGTAGAAAAAAACAATGGTCAGGTCATGTACGGGACGTCCCATAGAGTGTGCACACCAATTATCTAACCATTTTACTGCAGCGTTTTGGGGATATAGGCCTCTCTTCTACTTTAGACACAAATAAAAACCGCATTTCTAATAAGTAGAAAAAACAATGGTCAGGTCATGTATGGGACGTCCCATAGAGTGTGCACACCAATTATCTAACCATTTTACTGCAGCGTTTTGGAGATATAGGCCTCTCTTCTACTTTAGACACAAATAAAAAAATATTTTCTAATAAGTAGAAAAAAACAATGGTCAGGTCATGTACGGGACGTCCCATAGAGTGTGCACACCAATTATCTAACCATTTTACTGCAGCGTTTTGGAGATATAGGCCTCTCTTCTACTTTAGACACCTATAAAAAATATTTCTAATAAGTAGAAAAAAACAATGGTCAGGTCATGTACGGGACGTCCCATAGAGTGTGCACACCAATTATCTAACCATTTTACTGCAGCGTTTTGGAGATATAGGCCTCTCTTCTACTTTAGACACAAATAAAAACCGCATTTCTAATAAGTAGAAAAAAACAATGGTCAGGTCATGTACGGGACGTCCCATAGAGTGTGCACACCAATTATCTAACCATTTTACTGCAGCGTTTTGGAGATATAGGCCTCTCTTCTACTTTAGACACCTATAAAAAATATTTTCTAATAAGTAGAAAAAACAATGGTCAGGTCATGTACGGGACGTCCCATAGAGTGTGCACACCAATTATCTAGCCATTTTACTGCAGCGTTTTGGAGATATAGGCCTCTCTTCTACTTTAGACACAAATAAAAACCTCATTTCTAATAAGTAGAAAAAAGCAATGGTCAGGTCATGTACGGGACGTCCCGTAGAGTGTGCACACCAATTATCTAACCATTTTACTGCAGCGTTTTGGAGATATAGGCCTCTTTTCTACTTTAGACACAAATAAAAACCTCATTTCTAATAAGTAGAAAAAAACAATGGTCAGGTCATGTACGGGACGTCCCATAGAGTGTGCACACCAATTATCTAACCATTTTACTGCAGCGTTTTGGAGATATAGGCCTCTATTCTACTTTAGACACAAATAAAAACCTCATTTCTAATAAGTAGAAAAAAACAATGGTCAGGTCATGTACGGGACGTCCCATACAGTATACACACCTCATATCAAACCATTTTACTGTAGCATTTTGGAGAAATGTCCCATTATTCGACTTCAGAGGGCCATAAATACCTCATTTCTAATAAGTAGAAAAAAATAATGGTCAGTTCTTAGACGGGACGTCCCATACAGTACACACACCTCATATCAAACCATTTTACTGTAGCATTTTGGAGAAATGTCCCATTTTTCAACTCCAGAGGCCCATAAATAACTCATTTCTAATAAGCAGAAAAAAATAACGGTCAATTCTTATACGGGACGTCCCATAGAGTACAACAACCTCATATCAAACAATTTTACTGTAGCATTTTGGAGAAATGTCACATTATTCGACTTTAGAGGGCCATAAATACCTCATTTCTAATAAGTAGAAAAAACGAACGGTCAGTTCTTATACGGGACGTCCCATAAAGTATACACAC